GCCACCCATGTCCCAATAGCAGAGGTAGAACATAGCTATGGTGATTGGAAGTCACAAATAGCCTTATGTACATTTCATCATAGCTGTAAGCTTTAAGTGAATTCTGTGGTGTTCTATGTGAACTCACCCTTAGGTTCAGAAAGTAGCCATGCCCTATCACTGTTGTGCAACCCTGGCGGGTCCTTTGCATCTCCCAAGGAATCCTGGGAACTGTAGTTTGGTGAGCCAACATGAAAGATCTCTAACCCCAGGGTACTGATTTGTCAGTGTCGATATGCCCTATAAATAAGGTCTGTGGTTTAACAGAAGTCAGCGTTATTATATATGACGGTGCTGCTGCTGCTGCTGCTGCTTGCTGCGTACACACCCACAACAAAGCTGGGAATCTTGTGCCGTGATTTTATGGGCCTGAGTTTTGATTTGCAGTTCTAGCCACAGTGTTTACTCTTGAAGGTGAGTCTCGCCTTTCCATAAAATATGAGTTAGACAGGAGCTCCAAAACTCATGCACAGAACTTCCTCCTTAGCGTGGTTCCTCAGAAGGGACGGGACACCCCCCTTTTCTTTTCTTTTTTACAGAAGGCAGCCCATTGTCACCAAACGAACTATACAAAAATTGAACTGCATTCAACCTTGAAGGAACTGAGCAGGCTGGCCCACGTAAATGGCTGTCTCAGCACTGCCACGTCTCTGGGCTGTCCCCAAAGCCTCTCAGTTTTATGGCCATCAGGCCTTGGAATAGGTGTGGGTTTTTATAGCAGTAATAGCTGGTGGATTTTTTTAAAAAAGCATACTATATGGGGCTATAAAATGCTCTCGGCGGCACCATATTCCACGAAGAAGTTTTAAACGATCATAGAGGTGGTAGAGAAAGTTCTGAAGCCTTTTAGAGGAGCTCACTCAGGAATACTTAAGGGAGAAAAAGAAGAAACGCTGTTCACTTCACAGCAGTGTATAATCCTAAACACCACGAGTGCAATCTAGTTGAAATATTGCAACTCATAAATTTCAATGCAGGGTTCCCCGATTTCCCACTGAAATCAGAGAGACTTAAGTGCTTAACTTGACCTGTGCTGTGCCTCATTTTCTCTGATAGGGAATTTTTCTGGATTGCTGTATATATATGATTAGGAACGCGGGTGGCGCTGTGGGTTAAACCACAGAGCCTAGGACTTGCCGATCAGAAGGTCGGCGGTTCAAATCCCCGCGACGGGGTGAGCTCCTGTTACTCGGTCCCAGCTCCTGCCAACCTAGCAGTTTGAAAGCACGTCAAAGTGCAAGTAGATAAATAGGTACCGCTCCAGAGGGAAGGTAAACGGCATTTCCGTGCACTGCTCTGGTTCGCCAGAAGTGGCTTAGTCATGCTGGCCACATGACCCAGAAGCTGTACGCCGGCTCCCTCGGCCAATAAAGCGAGATGAGCGCTGCAACCCCAGAGTCGGCCACGACTGGACCTAATGGTCAGGGGTCCCTTTACCTTTTTATATATATGATTACTATTAAAAGAAGCTAAAGGACAAATGATATCAAATGGCGGTGGTCCTTTTAGAGAAAGAAATGTTATCCCTGGTAAATGGAAGTGGAGAGGTGAGAGTGGGGTGTTTAAAACGTACTTGAAAGCTTCAGGGGTGTGGGTGGATGGGTAGAACCACTGAGGGAGACAACCTGGAGCCAGGAATTATGGGAAGGGCTATGGTCTCCCTCTTTGGCCGCTGCTTCTCCATTCCTGATTGCACACATACCTGAAAGTGGCTTGTCTTCTTCAAGAATGGTTATGGTCACGTCCACACCAAACATTTAAAGCACTATGATTCCACTTTAAACGGTAATGGATTTCTCCTAGAGAATTCTGGGAGTTTGTGAAGTGTACTGAGAGTTGTTAGGAGGCTCTTACTCCCCTCAAAGAGCTACGGGTTTCCTATGAAGAGGGATGGAGTGTTAAAACATTCTGTAGTTCTGTGAAGGGGAATAGGGAGTCTCCTAACTCCTGTCAGCACCTCTAAGGGACTACAGTTCCCTGAAGAAGTACTTTTAATTATCTGTCCTGAATCTTCCAACATTAATCTTCAATGGATGGATGGCCAGCAATTGTAGTGAGAGGGAGGAAAACTCTTCTCTGTCCACTTTTTCCGTGCCAAGCATAGTTTCATCAACTTCACCTCTTACCTTTCTCTTAACTAAGAAGTCACAAACAAATGCTGCCGTCTTTCCCCCAGAAGGGAGTTGCTTCACCTGCTTGATCATTCTGGACCTAAGTTGAAAATGGACCACCACTCCCCCCATTTGCATGCCGCTTCACTGGGGTGCCCCTATTCCTTAATGCTTTAGCCCCCATGTTGAGGCTAAGGGGTCATTCCACTTCTTGAAGGGGTCATCCTTCCAACCGTTCATTTCCAGAAAGACATCCAACTCCACATGTAGCCCCTCTGTTCCTTTTCAGACATCTCCAGTGAAATTGTAGTCAGTCACTGCTGGATCCTACTGGAGCACCAATGGCTGCTAGTCTCTCATGGGCAAAATCCCAGTAGCAGTAGGACCATGCCGGTCAGTGATGCTTTGCCCTTGTGAGCTTGCTCCCTTAACCACCACGTCTGCATCTCTCTCCTGCAGTTCAATGCACATGTTTTGCCATGTCCAACCGACGGCACACAGAGGTCTTGTGATTGGCGAGGAGGGGGCGAAAACTGTTTACAACCTTTCCTAATCTTCCGTGCGTTTCTTCACTTTTACAACCGGTAACAAATTAACTTTCACTTTATCTTCCTTTTGTGCTTTGTTGGCTCTATCCTGCCTTGGCGTCATCCACTTAACCCAGCAAGCTATGCGAAGGATTAAGGCAGGCACAAAACCTACTTGGCTCGGGTTAGTGGTCCCACAGGACGGGTGCTTCTGTCTCAGCCATGCAAGTACAGACGTCCTTGGAAAGGGACACTATCTCCTCACATTTATATCCCACTTCTCTTCAAGCGAGCTGAAGGTGGCATGCTAGGAGGCTTTCCAGGCCATCTGATCCAGGCCCAGCCCATCTGCCGAGCCCAGTCAATGCTTTTAGACCATTCCCTGGAGCCTCAAAGGTAGAACCCACCAGTGTGTTCCAGGATCTCAGCTTTAAGTGAAGAATAAAAATACAGTGGTACCTCTGGTTATGAACTTAATTCGTTCCGGAGGTCTGTTCTTAACCTGAAACTGTTCTTAACCTGAGGTACCACTTTAGCTAATGGGGCTTCCCGCTGACGCGCGATTTCTGTTCTCATCCTGAGGTAAAGTTCTTAATCCGAGGTACTACTTCCTGGTTAGCAGAGTCTGTAACCCAAAGTGTTTGTAACCTGAGGTGTTTGTAACCCGAGGTACCACTGTATCTTGTCACACCAAGAACCCTCCTAGGTTGCCCAGGTCTAAGAAACAACAGAGGCGAGGCTGGCCCTACCGTTAAACAGAGCAAGGGGGCTGCCTCGGGTGGCAGACACTGGGGCGTGGCCGCAAAGTGTTGGGAGGACGCAGCTGTGTGTGCCATGCATGACCCTTGCCTGCTGCCCTTGCCTGCAGTGGAGGAAGCTGTCCTGATGCAACATACAGAAGAGCTGCCATCTAGTGCTTTGTGAGAGCCAGTGTGGTGTAGTGGTTAAGAGTGGTGGACTCGTAATCTGGGGAACCGGGTTCGCGTCCCCGCTCCTCCACATGCAGCTGCTGGGTGACCTTGGGCTAGTCACACTTCTTTGAAGTCTCTCAGCTCCACTCATCTCACAGAGTGTTTGTTGTGGGGGAGGAAGGGAAAGGAGAATGTTAGCCGCTTTGAGACTCCTTAGGGTAGTGATAAAGCGGGATATCAAATCCAAACTCCTCTTCTTCTTCTCAAGCAGGAAGATGCCTGAGCAAATGCATGATCGATCAATGTCTGGGTTGGTCTGTAGAACCCATGGCTGAATGCACTTCCATGCAAAATTGTGGGAGGGGGGGAAAGGAGGTGTACTCTTTCCTGGCCTTCTCCCCGATATAAACAGTTGGGGGACAGTCAGTCATATGGGGCCTACCGCCCAAAGTGGGTCAGTCCACATCCAAGTTGACTGCCTCTGCTGCTGATTTTGAGAGCCAGGCCACAGAAAAAGCATTCCCATTTCCATGAAAGGGAGAGAAAAGAGAAATGTCCCTTCTAAGATGACATCTACTGGCTATGGTTTATGGAGGTGTATTCAAGAGGGGTTTTGGGGGGGGGAGGGGACTGTTCCCTGATTTAATTGTGGGAGCACCGCTTTCTTCGGAACCAATAAATCTGCCTATAATTTTTGTGCACTTATCCTGAAAACTTCTGAGCTCACAGGCTGCACCTCTGGTATTTTGTAGCCTTTTAGCAACACTGCATCCTTACACATACAGATTGACCTGGGAACAAGGCCTGTTGAACCAAATGGAACTTGCTTCTGAGTAGACAGGTATAGGGTTGTGTGTTAAAGATCTGTCTATCAATAGCTACATGTCTCTTGTCTTTCTGGTCTAAATCCACTGATTTACTCAGAACTTCCAAGTGTCTTTATTGTCCAGGGGCAGTCCTGGATTTACAGATGCCGTCCAGGTTTCTAATTTAATTCCGGAACGGCTTGCTTTTCCTTAGGCTGTCCCTGTTTTCATCACAGAAATGTTGGAGGGTATGGTGTTTTGCAACCCTCTAGCCAAGGAGATAACTACAAATTTAGAAGACATCTGAAGGCAGCCCTGTATAGCGAAGGTTTTTTTTTTTTTTTTTTTAAAGTTTAATGTTTTATACTGTTTCTATATATGTTGGAAGCCACTCAGAGTGGCAGGGGCAACCCAGTCAGATGGTTGGGGTATAAATAAAAAATATTATAAATCTTAATATTATTGTTATTATTCAATAAGATGTCCCTATTTTCATCAGAGAAATATGTTTACTTACTGCACTCCACTGACTCACAATTTTGCGGGGGGGAGGGGGCGTGGGGGAGGCAGGGAATCAATGTACAAAGTTTCATGTTACGACACCTATCTGTGAAAGGTTAGAAAACATTTTGTATTTATTTTTCTTTAAAACACTAATAAAAGAAATACAGCTCTCTCTTTTCCATTGGAAGGCAGTAGTCAACAAACATTAATGTACCATACTAAAAGTAAATCTACACCCCAAATACCTTCTTCCAGCTATCCCTACGTATAGGAAATGTTGCTGCAGCTGGAAAAACAATCCTGTAATTTACACTATTCACATTCAATTTTGCAATTACACATAATCAATATGATTTACACAATAATTTAGGGGGGGATGATTTGACGCATCATTACAATAAATTACATAGCATAACACAGTCGTGTCTGGCAAACGTTAGAATACTTTGACACCCGAGGTCTGCTGGCAGGATGTTTATTTTTGCATATGAAGTAAAGGGACTAATCCCTAAGCAGGTGTAAATGAGATGACGTCACTTAATATCCATTGGTCCGTTTATTCCAGTCAAGGATCCTGACTGAGGTCTTTTTTTTTTTGGCAGTTGGAACTATTCTTACAAGGAGACAACTCCACAGAATTTGCAAAACAGCTAATATTTTCCCCGAACTATAATTCCAGTTCTTGAATTCAAAGGGATGGCACTCGCTTATTATCTACCTTCTACAGCAGTGTCTTTCCAACTGTTCCAGGGAACCCCATGATACTTTGACAAAAAAATATGCAGTGATGAACATAACTTCCAGGAAAGAGGGATGGCACCTTTGGTCATAGCTCAGTGGCTTGGGCCCATGCTATGCAATCACACAGAGAGGTCTCAACTTCAATCTTTGGCACTGTCATCTTAAAGAATCTCAGAAGCAGCTGCAGCAGAAAAGCAACGTCATTAGTTCACCCCTTCTGATCTTTCCCTGTCCTGCACATTGGGGGTGGATATAGGGTATGTTCTCAATCCACATAGGGTGATAGGCACAATAAGGTCTAGTCTGTGGTGAGGAATCTCCAATTTGCGGGGCAGTACAGTGGTACCTCAGGTTAAGAACTTAATTCGTTCCGGAGGTCCGTACTTAACCTGAAACTGTTCTTAACCTGAAGCACCACTTTAGCTAATGGGGCCTCCTGTTGCTGCTGTGCAGCCGGAGCCCGATTTCTGTTCTCATCCTGAAGCAAAGTTCTTAACCTGAAGCACTATTTCTGGGTTAGTGGAGTCTGTAACCTGAAGCGTATGTAACCTGAGGTACCACTGTATTGGACCTCCAGGAGTTAAACTTTGGTCTGTGAGACTACTTTTAAAAAACCACACCCACCTGCCAATCACCTGGCATCACTCTGATGAGAGGTAACACCCAGGGCTTTTTTCAGCCAAACTCAGTTCCGGCACCTCTCAGGTGGGCGCCATTGCTGTTCTAAGAGAACAAGCGAGGCGTTCATGGTGAGTTCCAGCACCTCTTTTCTAGAAAAAGAGCACTGGTGAAATCAGCTAGAAAGTGCAGGGGGTGTTGGTTTTAGGAAGTGGAGCAAGACTGAAATCCTGCTCAGTTTGGTTGCCTGCAAAGCAGAGGTTCAAAGAGCAGCAAAGGCTGTTTGCAAAAAGGCTTTCAAATAGCCTCAAACAGTGCTTTAAAGCCCCAACTGTTCAGGCTAGTGTGTACCCTATTTGATCTCAGTTTGCACCCTAGGGCATTTCCTCATTCTTCAAACCCTCTGCAATACACAGGGATTCAGTGGCAGATGTACAGAGAGTTCCTTAGCAGAAGGGGTTCCCCAAAGACAGAAAATCTGAAATCCACCAGTGAGTATATATCACAAACAGTTCTATTTCCCAGTCAGTGCCCTTTTTGGAAAGTTGGTCTTTCTTTTCTCAGCCGTGACATGCAATAATGAAGCAGATGATCAGCAGAGAGCGCTGTGCTTATCCTTCCAAGGGAACAGAGGAAGGTAACCTTTTATTAATAATAATAATAATAATTTATTATTTATACCCCGCCCATCTGGCTGGGCTTCCCCAGCCACTCTGGGCGGCTTCGAACAAAATATTAAAATACCATAATGCATCAAACATTAAAAGCTTCCCTAAACAGGGCTGCCTTCCGATGTCTTCTAAAAGTCTGAATAATAATAATAATTTATTGAGTTCAGGTCACTGGTCAATCTGCTTCAGTATTGTCTACACTGACTGACAGCTGTTCTCCAAGCTTTCAGATATGTATCATTTCCATGTCTACCTGGGGAAGATATGAATGTGCTCTCCCACTGAGCTACATACCTTCAGCCCCAACATTTGAAGATTATTATGGTCTGCCTGCATTCTGGACACATTAAATTGGATGTTTCTTCTGTAAAATTAAGGGACATGTCAGTATCTATTAGGGTTTTAGCAAGAGAAAGCAGATGAGCGCAGGACATCATTGGATAATGAATATTGAATTTGGACTTTGGGAAAGATTCTGGTTTACAACTTCTTTCTCAAATCCAACACTTCAGAACTCAGTTCCGGCACCTCTCAGGTGGGCGCCATTGCCATTATAAAAGAAAAGGGGGGCGTTCATGGTGAGTTCTGGCACCTCTTTTTCTAGAAAAATAGCACTGTGTACACGTTTGGAGATGGTTATCCCAAGATAAACTTTACTCTGGTCTGCACGTACTCCAAGGAATCCAAACAAGTTTCAGACACCCTTCCTTGCTAGCTGCCTTGGCTCCTAACCTTGAGAGGCATCATATCTGGTGTTGCAGAACAAGACTTTAATTATTCTATTTCCATTAACTTTCTCTGGCTGGAACAGTTTACAGCTGAGGACTCAGGACAGACAAGGACACGGAGTGCAGTCTATTCCCTGGTGCACCATGAGAGATGGAGAGAAAATGGAGGCTCTGGCACTGATATGCAGCCACACAGAACAGAAGTCAGAAAAACAGCTGAAGGGAGAAACTTAATTGTGGATGTTGAGAATAAGGCATTCAATAGAGGAGGCTTATCTGCATGGCAGGCAGAAGTTCAACTGGTGAACTCCATACCACATACAATGGTAAGGCAAAGAGCCTTCTCTGTGGTGGCACCTTCCTCACCTTGGAGATTAGGCAGGTACCAAGTGTCAGATGCTTCCAGCATGCTTTTAAAAGTCATTGATTTGCTCAGGCATTTCCAGACTATTATTGCCAGTTTTTAGATTTTAGCACCTTGTTCGTCAAATTCACAGATGACACCAAACTGAGAGGGGTAGCTAATGCTGCAGAAGACAGAATCATAATTCAAAATGACCTTAACAGATTGGAGAACTGGGCTCAAGCTAACAAAATGAATTTCAATAGGGACCAATGTAAGGTTCTGCACTTAGGCAGGAAGAACCAGATATAGGATGAGGGACACCTGGCTTACTAGCAGTACATGTGAAAAGGACCTAGGGGTCTTGGTGGACCACAAGCTTAACATGAGTCAACAGTGGGATGCAGCAGCAAAAAACCCTAATGCTAGGTTGTGTCAACAGAAGTATAGTGTCCAGATTAAGGGAAGTAATATTCTGCCTTGGTCAGACCACACCTGGAATTCAATGTCCAATTCTGGGCACAATTTAAGAAGGATGTTGACAAGCTGGAACATGTGCAGAGGAGGGCAACCAAGATGATCAAGGGTCTGGAAACCAAGCCTTATGAGGAGCGCTTGAAGGAGCTAGGTATGTTTAGGTTAAGAGGAGACTGAGAGGAGACATGATAGCCAACTTCAAATATCTTAAGAGCTGTCACATGGAAGAGGGAACAAGCTTGTTTTCTCCTGCTCTGGGGGGTAGGACTCGAACCAATGGCTTCAAGTTACAAGAAAGGATATTCCAACTAAACACCAGGAAGAACTTTCCGGCAGTAAGAGCTGTTCAGCAGTGGAATGGTCTCCCCTGGGAAGTTGTGGACTCTCCATCCTTGGAGGTTTTCAAGCAGAGGTTGGATGGCCATGTGTCTTGGATACTTTAGGTGATATTCCTGCATTGCAGGGGGTTGGACTAGATGACCCTTGGGGTCCCTTCCAACTCTACAATTCTATGATATTATTTGACTGAAATATTTTATTATTTATTGCTATGTTATTTTTTGTGGTTGTCAATTGCTTTGGTACTCTCTGGAGTGAAATACCATGAAGAAATAGTTCTATAAAATAAATAGTATTTTCAGCAGCCACCCCGGGCCATTTCACATGAGTGTTTCTGAGATGGAACAACCACCACGAGCCACCAATGTGGTATCTGCATGTACTAGTGTGTCCACCAGAACTTCCTATGGTGTTTTTGGAAGGCCTCAGTGAATATCCCCTCAAAAATCCAAGACACAAAGGACCATTTGCTCTTCCTGCTTCTCCTACATCATACACACACCTTTAAACATGGCCACATTTCATAGGATGCCGGGACTAGTCACCCACCCTCCCACTTGTTTGAAATTTAAGAGACTGCAGAGGACTTCCCTCTGTGACCGAGTGTGGCAATGGCAGATGGAGGTGCATTTTTTCCATTGATGGGGCAGGGACAACATCACATTCCTATGTGGCTCTGGCTCTTTTTCTGCTCTTTTAGCTGTGGGTGCCACTTTGTGTGAGATTTCACACCCTTGTGAATTTTGCAATCGGCACCCACAGCGCTTTCTCAAAATTCCCAGTGTGCTCACTAGCACCAAAAGGCTGGCAACTCTTAAGTTTCCTTTAAAGAATTTGTAATCGCACCCTATAGTTTACCACATAAACACTGGGCAGGGGAAGTCACCTCATAGGGATTCTTGCTTCTCTGAAATTGTCTTATGGATGAGGCCTGCCTTCTCCAAGAAACAGGTAATTTTACTCATCAGAGAAGAATTCAACTATTGTTATGCTTATCCTGAGATAAAAGAGAGGCAAATCACGAGCTCCTGATCTTTTCAGTAGCCTTTGATTCTCTTTCAACTTCAGTTTCTTACTTGCTCCTTGAATGTGCTAAATAAATCAGTTTGAGGAAAAATCAGGGCTTCTTAACTGAGAATAACTGATGGTGTAAACATGCCCCCGGGGTGTGGTTCAGTGTGCAGATAATGGCATTTCTCAGCTGTGTTTTAAATACCAAGGAAATTCCACAGTAGTCAACATACAGTGATACCTCTGGTTAAGAACTTAATTCGTTCTGGAGGTCCATTCTTAACCTGAAACTGTTCTTAACCTGAGGTACCACTTTAGCTAATGGGGCCTCCTGCTGTGCCGCTGCCGCGCGATTTCTGTTCTCATCCTGAAGCAAAGTTCTTAACCCAAGGTACTATTTCTGGGTTAGCGGAGTCTGTAACCCGAAGCGTCTGTAACCTGAAGCATCTGTAACCTGAGGTACCACTGTATATCACATGTGGTGTCGGCGTGACTTTGGCCTAACTGCTTAGATTGAATAAAAAAATTATCCTCACACAGAACAAGTCCAAGCCCTCATGCTTGCTGAGGTAAAATTAAAAAATGGGAAGGTAAGTTAATTTCCTTTTGACATCTCATCAGATCTAGGGCATTTTCAAAAGATTGTCAGCTGTATATTCATTGGAATGAGGTCCCCAATCCTTGTGTTTAGGGGAGGATCGATGACTCAGTGGCAGAGCACATGCCTTGCATTCAGAGGGTCTCAGGTCCAATTCCCAACATCTCTAATTAAAAGGGACTCTAGCTGTGGGATTGGGAAAGATGTCTGCATCAGGCTTGCAGCATAATACTAGGCTGGAGAGGCCGATGGTCTGACTCTGTATACGGCAGTCTATGTTGCGTTCCTGCCATACATACACAGTGGGTGCATCAAGATGGCTGCCACTCACAAGTGGGAATACTACCCAAGGGGCACAGCAGCAAGGGCTTAAGATCAGGTAGAAACTTTGCATCTAGAGGAGATGGTTTGCATCACAGTGCAGTCAGCGTGAATTAAGGCAAAAAGTGCATTTGGCCCATGCTGACCTGGCTTATCAACCTCCTTGGCAGCGCCTAGGCCTAGGAGAAAGGTTCGCTGGTGCCAGCCCTGAACCTGCGTCACCTTCAGATCTTCCCCTCATTTGTTCTCCATAATTCCCAACAACGTAGCACCTGGAATCATTATGAATAGGGACGAGAAATGGACGAGGCCAGTAGTGGGTCGCTTGATTAGGAGATTCACCGAAGCAGAGGAATCTGGCATCATTAATGCAACTGAATTATCTCTTGAATGAAGGATGACATTGAAATCGACATTTGTGTAGCACTTCCACATACAGGCATCCCCTCAAATAAAAGGACCCTTGGCTCTGTTGCAGCAAGAAGGCAAATCTTACAGTCTCAACAAGGACTAGACAAATTCAAGGAGGACTACTTTATCAGACATGGGACCTCCATGTGCAGAGACAATGCACATGAGTAGCAAGTGAGGAAAAGAAGAGCATAGCCAAGAGAAGACCATCCACTTTCATGCGTCACTTGTGAGTCCAAGAGGCATCTGGCTGACTGCTGTTTGAAGGAGAGAATGCTGGACTGGATGGATCTTGGTCTGATCCAGCAAGCCAATGCTTTGTTCAAACAAGCTGCTACTTCCTCATAGAAATCACCAGACACCAGGTGGAAAAAGCACCACCAACTACTTTGGCCACTGAATTTTGTTTATTTCTGAAGATCACTGGAAGCATCTAGTCCTGGCTTCTGCTTCTGCTACTGCCCCAGGCAGTGGAACTGTGGAGAAGGCAATAAAGAGGCTGTACTTCTGCAACATCCGGGTCAAACTTTCTGCCTCTTCCGTAGTGTGGACCACCATGCCTGCTTGGGATTGTCACGAGAGGGCTTGCAGCTATTTAGAGATCTTGCAGTGAAGGTGTTCACCCTTCCCTTTCATTCGGATGCCTTTTTTTAAATAAAAAAAGTTAAGATTTGAAGTGAAATAAACACAATAACATTGTGTAACTCAGTGGCAGTGATGAAACAAGCATGTCAGTGCAATAGTCAGCTACGTATCTGAAATTTGGGATCTGGCTCTATAGGATAAAGACTTCCACCAAGGCTAGTTCATTCGTTCTGCAATGCTCGGGTGCAGATGTTCTCCACAGCCACATGAAGAGTCAGCTTTGGGAAGATGGCTTTCTCCCCATCCAATTTCCAAATAACAATTTGATGCGTTTGTGCCCTGGGATGCCTCTGTGAATATTCAACCTCCAGAGTGATCAAAACGGGAACGAGAAAGGGCTTGTCTCCCTCATCATGGTCTTTGTGGCATCTGATACATTCATTTGGTTGGATGCTAGATGACCTCTTGCTTCGTGATGGCGGGTTGAGGGATTGAACTAGGCTGCTTGGCCACAGTTGCAATGGCCCCAGGAAGCAGTTTGTATTGTTCAGCTCCTGAGCCAGCGGGTGGGGAAGGCTGGGGAGTTTCAGGAGTGGCTGTTGAAAGAAAAAAATTGATGTTTTATATTATATATAAAAGGCATTGTACAGGATCAGTCAGAGTATAAAGGATCACATCAAAAGAAGGTTACCAGTGCAACCCAATGCATGTTTACTTTGAGGTAAATCCTACTGGGTTCAATAGCATTTTCAAGAGTCTTTTCTTTACTTTTGATTAGATGTACATGCCAAATGTTGTTATGCACTTGTGCACTCAGGTAGCCTCTTTAAAAGTGGGAAAATAAAACATTACCCCCTTCTGCTCTTGTCCCATCAATATTAGAAGGCTTTTCTTTTAAATATTTCTTCTTATTCGAAGGATGTGTGTTCTCCCTCTTCACATACTCATGTAATCATGTACACCATCCTATGGCGTTTTATTGTGTTTTCTAAAAAGTCTGACTGAGGCTCCTTCCTCTTCCTTTCCTACTGGTGTTAGGGAGAGCAGAGCATTATGGGAGATGTTGCTCCCAGTACTCTAGCAAACTGAGAAATCTGCATACTAGCCCCACTTACTCGGTTTACCATGACGCAGAACACAAACGGCATGCCTAGAGAGCTGGTTCTCTTGTGCAGGAATACTCACACAGCTGCCCGTTGTGCATCTGAGTAGGCATTGTGTTGGCCACAATCACGTTCGTCCCCAGGTTCTCCTGGATCAGGTGCGGGTGAAGAGCATGGTGATGAGCGTGAGGTGTGTCACTCGATGACCCTAAATTATATATATTATTCTAAGTATTGCATAATAAATGGATATAGTTCTTTTTAAAAAAATAAATAAATAAAAATGCAGTAAAATGGTTACGTGCAAAATTCGATGAAACAGAGAATGCAGCGCAAAGCAATACATAGTGTAACGATACCAGTTCCAAAGCGGCCCAAAAAACCAACAACCCAGCCAGTTTAATTGATTAAAAACCTGAGAAAATAATATAGTTTTTTTTTAACCACCTGACTACAGTGGTACCTCAGGTTAAGAACTTAATTCGTTCTGGAGGTCTGTTGTTAACCTGAAACTGTTCTTAACCTGAGACACCACTTTAGCTAATGGGGCCTCCCGCTGCCACCGCGCCGCCACCATGTGATTTCTGTTCTCATCCTGAAGCAAAGTTCTTAACCCAAGGTACTTTTTCTCGGTTAGCAGAGTCTGTAACCTGAAGCATCTGTAACCTGAAGCGTCTGTAACCCAAGGTACCACTGTATATTATATGAAGCAGGCACCAGGCAAATGTCACTTTACATGTTGTAAAAACACTGGCAGTCTGTACAGGTTCTCCACAGACAGGTCTGTGAGGCTCGTGGGAGAGCTTTGATTTGGTGGGAGATTGTGACCTCTGAAATGGAGACTCAGCAGATGAGGGTTGCTTAACCTGTCTATCCCCTCTACTGCTATTCCCCTGCAACTTCTCGCTGACTTTGTTTTGAATCATGTCCACCCTCAGCTGTTTGGCAGACCCAGTTCCCTACAGTACATCCAGCTTGTTCCTAACTGAGTTAAATGCACAGGATCCCTGTCCTAAATGGAATTGGGCAACACAAAATGCTTGGATTTTCCAAAGAACCTGAAGCCTGTTAAGGAGAGGTCCAGTAAGCATATCAGGATGAATGCTTGTTGTCATATAACGGCCTCATAAATTGATCGTGACCAGTGCTCTATAAAAACCGGACATATAACCACCGTGTAAGTTTTGTGTATGCTAATCAGGATAGAGGCTGAATAAGATGGTCATCTGGAGGAGCCCCCGAAATTCAATAGGTAAAAAACCCCACTTCCTGTAGGGTCAACACTCACCTCCTAGCAGCATCTCCTGCAGAAGGTTGTCGATCTTGGCCATGCCAAAGAGCTTGACAAACTGGATCTGCTCAATCATCTGCCAAGTGATGCTCTGGAGGGTGGGCAGGAGGAGGAGGAGTTCCCCAAAGCGTCCCCGTGAATCATACTGCCGGTCATTGATGTAGTCCTCCAGGCTAACTTGAACTTGGTACCGCATTCGCTTGATCTTGATGGGGTCGCTCAGCCCTTTAGCATCTGGGGGAAACCGTAGGAAATTACGGACTATGGCATTTCTCAAGAAAGATGCAGTTTCAAGTGGGCCAGTCTGGGTGGTCTCCTGAAGCACTTGGTTCCTTACTTTGCTCAAACTCCTTTGTTAGGCACTGGGGAAGGTGTGCCAGTTTCATTCTCCTCATCCTGCACTAACACAGACTTTGCATGAGTTCCGATTGTGTAAGAGCAAATAGAGGGACGCTGTGACAACTCCAGCTTATGAAACAGGGTGAACAAAAGCAACACAGGACACAGGACACATGTGCCTCAACTAGTTATCTATCATCCTTACCTAGTCCCATTTTAGAGCCATCCAAGATGGCAGCCATCACTACATATTCCAGATTTTAACTATATGTTGTGTGAAGAATTATTTCCTTTTGCCTGTCCTGAATTTCTCCCATTCCGCTTCGCCAGATGTTCTGTGTTCTAGGAGAAGAAAAAACACCTCTCTATTCGCTTTCTCTACTTCCCTCACCTGCACTCATGTTGTTGGGAACCTTACTGAATGGTTCTTATTCGTGAACAAACGTTATAGGAGGAACTTGGCCACGAGGAAGGGCATTGCTAGACAATACAGTCCTATATTCTGCGGAACCTTCATTTTAATTTTATTCCCCACACATTGTAGAAAAGCAATTCCCCAGCCGTGTTAAAGGGGTTGGGGCATGGAAGCAGCCTCAGATGCCTCTTCCAAGTTACTGAAAAATCAGCACCTACCTGGATCAAAGAAGATGATGGCTTTCAAACATGCGTATTCGTTTTCGTCAATCTGCAGCTCTTGGAACGTGAGCACTAGCTCATCCAGGATGCGTACAGCCACACGGCTGATCTCCAGCAACTCCGGACAATTACGGGGGATTATGTGGTCATTTCCTGCAGGAGAATTGTTTGTTTTAATTAAAACCCAATTCTATCAAAAATCGTCACTGTTCACTACAGTCATACCTCGGGTTAAAGTTGCTTCGGGTTGAGAGTTTTTAGGTTGTGTTCCACAGCGACCCGGAAGTAACGGAATGGGTTACTTCCGGGTTTCACCGCTAGCGCATGCGCAGATGCTCAAAATAACGTCATACGCATGCGCAGAAGCGGCAAATCGTGACCTGCGCAGATGCAGGTTGTGTTCTGCTCAGGATGCGAACGGGGCTCCAAAACGGATCCCATTCAAATCCAGAGGTACCACTGTATTTGAAATCCACAACCCATTCTTCTTCTTCTTCTTCTTCTTCTTCTTCTTCTTCTTGTTTCGATTTATATCCTGCCCTTCCTCCCAAAGGAGCCTTGGGTGGCATACATAGCAATGATAAAACATTTTAAAAAAAAACCAACCAAAAGAAATTTGAAAACATTCTAAAAACACTTTAAAACATTCTCAGCCAGCATCTCAGGGTTTCTAGGAACAGTGTATTTCAGCCATCAAGTGCCTGGGTAAATAAAATATCTCACTAGGGAGGGTATTGCACAAACAAGGAACCACCACTGAAAAGGCCCCGCACAGGTCACTGCCAATTAGACATCCCCCAGTGATGGCAACATCAACAAGGCCTTGCCTGCCAATTGTACGATCCAATATGTCTGGAATTGGGGAAGGAATTTGTTGCGCTATGACATTTTTGTACTGCACCACTATTTTCTTTCAGAGGACAAAGAAGCAGAAGTAGGCAATTGGTTCCCCAGTCCACAAAAAGGGTCTCAGGTTCAAAGAGGGCAGGACTTCTGCACTTTTGACAGTAGTGTAGAAAAGGGAGTTTCAACAGATGTAACTAGCATGATATGGATCTTCTGCACTGTTTCTGAAAATACAGGAGCCCTGACTTCTTTTGTATCTGGCCATCCTGATTTTTACTTCCTCTCCCACTGCCCAAAAAATGACTCACTGATATACTCAGGAGGAGTAGCAGCGTGTTTTAAGTCTAAACTGGATCCTAAACATGTTTCTCATCAGCAATTCCACTCTATAAATGGCTTGCGTTGAGCAAATGGATTTTCTACTTCCAAAACCCACCGAAAACATTTTTTAAAAGTTGGATGGGGCCTGTGGGGGTGGGGAGAGTCAGTTTTCAGCCAGTTCAGTCATTGTAAAGTCCCATTGCTGCAACGCTGTGTTGATTTGCGGGGGTAGCTCAGGCTGGAGACAGAGGGGAGATGGTTCTCTATTTTCCAGAGCTGAAGGCAGGAGAAAGGAACCACAACTCAAAATGTCTACCTATGTCCCACTTTTACCTCTGGTGAAAAGTTCTTGCAAAGTTGGACAAAGGAGTGATGCCTGTTGCAACACACATTCAGCTCTTAAATCACCCTGCCTAAATATACCCTCATGTTATAATGTTTGCTTACAGAACTGCAGAGATAACTGAAAGCCATCAAATCAGGTGTTGGGAACTTTTTTGTACTCGAGGGCCACGCTCCTTTTCAGGGGGCCGCATCCCTGTGTTGGGTGGGGTCAGAGGCAACAGTGGGCAAAGCAACAAATGTGCCCTTTACACCTTTGTGTACAGTAGACTAGTTTCCACACAAACAGAAACACACACACAGAAACACCCACACCACCCAAGCAAGCAAGAAGCATTATCAGAGTTCAATGACACATTCCTGCCTGGCAAAAACATCCAAGGGGGCGGTACAAAACAGGGCTGGTGCGGGGTGTGACTCAGGAGGGTGTGTGGCCTGAGGAGAGTTCCAAGGGCCAAACAGAGAGGGCATTTGGCCCCTGAAACTGAGGTTTCCCACCCCTGTGGTAGGTGACAAAGAAACCTGACAGATTACCGTATTTTTCCGTGTATAAGACTATATTTTCCCCTAAATTTTTGAAGTTTAAAATAAGGGGTCGTCTTATACACAGACAGTGCATAGTGCATTTTCTCAATTTTGAGTCCCAAAAAATTGGGGGCGTCTTATACAAGGGGGCATGTTATACATGGAAAAATACAGTACATTGCCTGCTTCCTTCCAAACCCCCACGCTGAAAAAAAGCAATACAATACAGTATTTTTAACAGGAGGAGATGGGAGGCATGTTGTTATACGATGCAATTTTACCTAGGAGTAAGATGTCTTTGAACACCATCGACCTCTTGGCGGCTCCCAGTAGCAGGTGCTCCCCTGCATGGGCCCGTAGCAAAGCCACCTGGAGGAACAAAGGACTATTATTAGAGGGCTGATGCAAGAGGAGGACAGATGGCAGGGCAGAGGGAGACAGAGAGATGATCACCTACAGAAGAAGAGCGCAGAAATTGCAGCTTGCTGAACTACTCCTTTGAAGACCACATGATTGAAAGGATCACAATATAAGCCAGGCATCTAACGTCATGACCCATAAGGGAATTTGTTTTCTATCGGCGGGAACACGACACGGAGGAATAGCAATTCCTGTGGAACTGAAGTCTTCTTAGCTCCTTCCTCTTTCTCTGCTGATGTTTGCCTACACAAGCATCCCAGGCATCACTTACAACAGTAGGCTGGTGAGCACTTCCTGTAAATTCCCACATGGGAAGTACTCACCCTTCTGTTTTTCAGGAACTGGCATAGTATGTCTCATGTTCAACAGGATGGGGGGGGGACCTCTAAATTGCTCGGTAACGTGGCCTGATTTTTCATCAGCTTCTGGGGACTAGTTGTTGTTGGCACCCGTCTGTCTCAGGCAATGGAGTGCACCTCCAGGGGTGAAGTCAATCTGCCGCATTAGCAGCACTGAAGTGCCCTCCCCTGGGCGTAAGCCTGGGCAGTGTGTATGGAGATCCTAGGCTGCCTAGATGACAAGACACACACACCCCACCTCACTGATATGGTCCAAAGGAAAGCAGAGCAATACGTTTGGCACCAGCTTGGCTGCTGGAGTTGCCAGAAGGAGGCATACAAAGCGCCATCCAACCGTCTTACGGACTCTACTCTGGATTTGTGCAGGGCTTACTCCTTAGCCTTTTCTTCTGCCGGAGATATCCCGCAAGGTAGTGGAGGTTGAAGACTAACATAACAATGATAGATAGCCACCTTCCTCACTCAGTGCTAGGATGTTTGGGGACCAGAGCTCTCAGAGCAGGAATAACTGGTTGGAACAAAGGCCCCCGGAACAGAGCAGCAGGCAGATGCGTAAGTGAGAGGTGCTCAACCACCCCCTTTGCAAGCTTGTTCCCAGGGTCCAGGGAGCCTGAGCCTATAGCAGAGGGGGAAAGAATGCTCTCTTGAGCCCTACGCTGATCCTACGCTGAGGGCACACATGTGCAAAGGTGAAGGTGGATTGTGCCTAGTTCGTAAACAAGTAAAATAATGCTGGCCCTCCAATCCAGAGGTTGGGATCCAGTGACATTAGGGCTCTCTAAGGGAGCCATAAGGTCGCTCAAATGGCCACATGTTGGACTACTTTCCCCAAGTCTAGCATTGTAATTAATTTCTCTGCTGACTGTGGACATCTTGCTGTGATGAGCAACCCGTGGTTGTTCTTTTTCTCTTAAACCCTCTACTCTTGCTCTGTTGTTAATGATTGCATTCTGTCACTTTATGCCCTTCAGTGATCCTCAAGAATGTTCTGTATCTCCTGTCCCACTTCTGTTTTTTAAAAGAAGAAATCTGTGGAAACTAAGGTTAATACTAAGACGCAGTGTGGCATGGATGCTTCTTAATGTCCAACCGGGACTTCAGCTGTGCAGCAAACAACCACTAAACATTAACCAAAGGATTTGGGAAAGGGTGTCTTTATAGGGATGGGCCCATCTGTATACACTGAACAAACATGAAGAAATATCTTGCGATGAAAGAGCTGGAGGAAAGAGGAGAGAACGTTATTTTCTGGAGGTTTAGATCTCACCACTGGGAAGGAACGAACTTAAGGAAAGGAAATCTGTCCAAACAGAGTTCTGATTTAAAGGTACCCTGATGTTAAATGGACACAGCTTTCAAAACAAAATGGGGGCCCCTATCAACCCACTTTGCTCTGCTGTGCAACTGTAAATGCAGGCACCGCTGGCAGTAAGGACGTAATCCTTGCAGCCCAAATACTCGACAATGTCTGCTTGCCTCACAGCTTGTTTGCATCAGTCATTTTCAAGGGCTGGTTCTGCATTAGTTCAGCTTTGACGTGCATGCAGCCCCCGTGAGTCACAGTTCGTAAGTATTTTATCAACTTAGGTTGTACAATAGCTGCACCCTTTCCTGGACACGGATAACTCCGCCACAGTCATTCACAATGGGCCTTGCACTGAATTATTAGAAATGGAACAGGAAAACCAACGTTTAGTTTCAGCTAGGATAAATAGGACTCACCTGATCATCCAGAGGAAGCTCACAGAAGGCCGGGATGTACTTGGCCCACTCCACTAGCACTAGCAACTGCTGCTTCATGGACTCGCAGACGTCTGCAATATTCGCGATCTTCTTCCCTCTGATATCACCATTGATCACTGAAATTGGTGACGATGATATCTGCAGGGGGGAGAAAGAGGTTTTACCTAACATTGCTCAGAGGGAGAGGGAGAGGTAAGCTGTAAGGAAGCTGCACAAACGACCAAATAATAATCGAAATCTGTGCGACAAATTTATGTGAGAAACTGTAACACCTTTCTTTTTTGCTGTAGAGTTTGCTATGTTTTTGCTGCAGAATTGCAAAGGCTCATGCCCTCTAACCAAGGTCAAATCCGTTCTCCATCAAATACCATGATCCACAAACAAGCTAGGTTTTAGATTTCCTCTCCCCCATCTCCCTATTTCTTCAAAATACTCTGCTAGCTAGCCTTGTGGCCAGCAAATAAGAGATGGAAAGGTGGGATGAGGAAGCCATGGCCTGCATGGCCAAGGTGGATGACAGGTGGTTGAAGTTGAAGTCTAGCCAATATCTGGAAGGTCACATCCCTGCTCTAATGCTAAACCCATTTAAACTGAAATGCCGCTGCATTCATCTGTTTGGGATTTGGCTCCGGTTGCAACATCTTAAAGCCAAATGTTCTTGGAGCACTTCTAGATGGTCCTAAAGGGAAGTTCACACAGAAATGTTTCTCAGTTGATGAGCACAGCACAGCATCCAGTGATGATGTGTGTTGTGTTTGTGAAATGGCTGCTGAAGATTGCAGACAGAGCCTGCATAACATTTGTTTGCATCACTGATACACAATGCTTCCCAGCAGAGGCAGTTCACATTCAGCAGGGAACCAGTTGAGCCATAACTTCTACAGTGATGAGCTATAAAGTCATGCACGTGATGTACAGATCTGCTTTTATGATGGGAACCAGAAGTGCAATTCAAGTTCTAGACGGATGCTTTGGGCTATGCTTCCTCCCTGTTGGGTGCCTTCCAATCCTGGCTAGTCCTGAGCAGCAAATACCCAGATACGAGCCAATATAGTTCAGTATTTAGAGTAGGGGTGGGTAGAATTCAGGATTGCACAATCTGCTTTGGTTTTCCCTAGAGCCCTGAGATCCATCAGCCGGTGAGAGAAAGAAGGGAGTTGAGTGACAGAGAAAGCACTGTGCAAAGTGGCCATCAGGGGAGTGTGAAGATGCATCTTATGATAAATACATTAAAAAGTGCTGAGTATCAATCTCAGTGAATAATAATGCCCTTTTTCAATGTGTTTGCAACAAAGAAGTCCACCTGCATGCATGGTTTGCAACCCCCACAAAACACACTGAAATCCAAGTCATCCTCCCCAGTCAACTGTTCTCTTCCTGTCAGCTATTTCATTTGCTTGTTCTCTCCTCCTTCCTTGCTCTCCCAGGACCATATGTGTGCTATTCCTCCTCCCATGTTAATGCAAAGATCCCAATTCCATTTGGGAAAGAAATGTGGCTCCAAAACAACCAAGAAAGCAATCTCCAGCACCACCTTAATCTGTCCCAAGCAGTTTTATCTGCTGCAATCTTGGCAACTCTAGAAATGTCATCAAATAAGCAATGCTTTACGATACGATACGATAATCTTTATTGTCATTGTCCCATACAGAACAACGAAATTGAAAAATCTACATCAGACATTCAAAAACCAACAAGCCTGCTATCCCAGCCTGGTTAGCTCCCTCAAAACTCTGATACCCCTTAATTAATACAATATACTCCCATAGAGACTACCTTAAAAAGGTAAAGGTACCCCTGCCCGTACGGGCCAGTCTTGACAGACTCTAGGGTTGCGCGCTCATCTCACTCTATAGGCCGGGAGCCAGCGCTGTCCGCAGACACTTCCGGGTCACGTGGCCAGTGTGACAAGCTGCATCTGGCGAGCCAGCGCAGCACACGGAACACCGTTTACGTTCCCGCTAGTAAGCGGTCCCTATTTATCTACTTGCACCCGAGGGTGCTTTCGAACTGCTAGGTTGGCAGGCGCTGGGACCGAGTGACAGGAGCGCACCCCGCCGCGGGGATTCGAACCACTGACCTTTTGATCGGCAAGTCCTAGGCGCTGAGGCTTTAACCCATAGCGCCACCCGCGAGAGACTACCTTACACTGTGTTTAAAACCAAAATCGCAAATTGAATAGAAACTGTTTCTCAGGAGGCTACTCCTAGTCTTTATAACCCTGTACCTTTTTCCAGAAGGCAGAAGCTGAAAGAGATCATTTCTGGGGTGCGCACTGTCCTGCACTATCTCTGCGGCTTTCTTATGGCACCTGGAAGCATAGATTTGATCCAAGGTGGGAAGAGTGCACCCAACTATTCTCTCTTACAGTCTTTGCAACAAACAAAAACCTGGCTGTTTAATATAGTGAACCTGCAAGATTTAATACAATAATACTGATCCTGGATGACCCCAGGCCAATGGGGAAGAAGTCCCTCATCGGTATCTGCCCAGTTTGGGGGCCTTTCCCAGAGTTCATATTTTTGGTGCAGTCAATGCACAGTTGTTATTTGTTTCACACGAGCTAAGCACCTTCCTTCCCTTGAAGCGACACTTCTGTTACATTTTCTCGGACTCCTCAAGGCAGCATTTTGCACCTAGGAAGCTGTTGACAGCATATGCGATGCTATGACTGAGATGGCAAACGTGGTTGTACGAGTACTGTGTTGATCTGTTGGGTATTCCCTCTGTCATCTGCAATCCATCAAACTGGAAGCTGTCTGACCAGAGACTAAACCGTGCAACTCAATGCTTGTTTATTAAGAAGTAAACTAAACTGCAGGCATAGGCAAACCTGGCCCTCCAGATGTTTTGGGACTACAGTGGTGCCCCGAAAGACGAATGCCTCACAAGACGAAAAACTCGCTAGACGAAACAGTTTTCCGTTTTTTGAGTCGTTCCACAAGATGAATTTCCCTATGGGCTTGCTTCGCAAGAAGAAACGTCTTGCGAGTTCTTGCGAGTTTGTTTCCTTTTTCTTAAAGCCGCTAAGCCATTAATAGCGGCTAAGCCGCTAATAGCCGCTAAGCCGCTAATAGCCGTGCTTCGCAAGACGAAAAAACCGCAAGACGAAGAGACTCGCGGAACGGATTAATTTCGTCTTGCGAGGCACCACTGTACAATTCCCATCATCCTTGACCACTGGTCCTGCTAGCTAGGGATCCTGGGAGTTGTAGGCCAAAAACATCTGGAGGGCTGAGTTTGAGGAAGCCTGGCTTACATGGTGACTAGACTACATCTGGCCTTTATAGAGCACTCATTCCAATTGGTTTTACGGGGAGGTTATATAACAAAGAGCATTCATCCTGATTTGTTTGCAAGGTGTTTTTACATCTTGCCATTAATCATTCATTCATCCCACAGTTTCCCATGTATTTCCACTCCACTTTCCCAACCAAGAAAAGTCCCATTTTTGAAAGCAGGTTTGTTCTGCTGGGGCAACAGAGCCCTTTAATCCACTTTAACATTGCAAAACTAATATCTGGGTATGTGTTTGAATCCGTCCCACAAAATACTGGTGGTCTGGAGGCACCCCCGAGCTGGAAAGAAGACTAAAATGATTATTATTTCTCTACATTCTAAAATAGAAGACGTACCTGTTGTGAGAGAACTTCTGCTTGCAGTAAAACGTTAATGGACGGCAAGCTGCTGTCTTCGTAGCTGGATCTCCGAGTACTGATTCGGTCGCGTTCGTTCTGTACAGCTGCAAAACCAAAACAAACAAAAAACAATCCCAAAAATGAAAATGCAAAACACTCCGGATTACTATCAGAAGCACAAGACAAAGCAAGAAGCTGTCATCACCTCATACACTTTTGTCATTGCTTTTATGCAACATAATAACATTTTAATATAACATAACATGGGAAAGCTCAATTGGTAGAGCATAAGACTCTTCATCTCAGGGTTGAATCCCACATTAAGCAAAAGATTCCTGCATTGCAGAGGGTTGGACTAGATGATCCTCGTGGTCCCTTCCAACTCTACACTTCTAGGATTCTAGATTTTAATTTCTGTAGTTTGGAAAAGTGCAAAGGAAACGCAGGGGGTGATGGTGGCGATGCCATCATCTGCCCTATCCCAAGAGCGATTTAAAGTGGGTAAAAGTAAAAGAATGGAATATATGTATGAAACATCCAGATAAATGCATGCCCTTATTCTAAGGAAGTCAACTCAATGGGAATTGTCTTCAGGTATTTGAGTTCTTTAGTTTAAAAGAGCTGCACGCTATGTTGTAAACTTCTGCCATCTCCACGCTATGGTCACTTTCAAGCCATTCATTTAATGCACATGGTACCCCAACCAAAGAATCATGGGAACCATAATTTACCCCTCACAGAGCTACATCATCCTTAAGAAACTGCAGTTCCCAGGACTCTTTGGGGAAAGCCATGTGCTTTAAATGTGGATGTGACCATAGTCGGCTTTCTTTCCTAAATCAATAAACTCCAAGCACCACTTCCTTTTTAAGTGTTCCAGAATGTTTTGATCATTTTAAGCACACCAGGGAACTGTGTTCTAGGATCTTTTAAGACACGTAGTCCACTTGCGACTTCCTGGGAGGTTAGCCAAGTTTGCCGAGTCATGGAGTTGCCTAAACTATCCCCTATGATAACTCCACAATTAATGGAGATATCAAACAATATCTGATTGTTACGGTTACACCTGTGCCTCTCCAGATTTATTTCCTAGTCATATCATTCTGCTTGATAATACGGCTATAATGAGGCTGTGCTGAAATTAAAAGCCTGCAGTCAGCGGCTGTTAACAGAGGCGCTCAAGGTTACGCCATGCGTTATCGGGATCCACGCAGCTCTGTCACGGCATGATGTAGTCTGAATGTTTACTCAGTATTTAGCTGGTCACGGACCTAATGTAACTTCTATTGAATATTAACAGGCAAATACAAGTTGAGTAGGCACTCCAGAGAGAAAAGAGAAAATTCCCCAGTCCTTTGCACAAACCACAGTAATGCTCGAACCCACTGATGCAACTATAATAACTAATGTTGTGGAAGGAACATGAATCTCCAGGGTTTGGGGTTAATGACATTAGTCTGTTGCAGAAAAAGTGACAAGAGAGCCTCCTGGCACCTTTAAGACAAGACAGATTTATTTCAGCCTAACCATTTTATGGACTGGGGCCCAATCTAAAGCACAAAAACTGTGCCAAAAAAAAGTACCTTGTGGCTTGTGAAAGAACTAACGTATTTATTACGGCATAAGCTTTTGCAAGACAGAGCCCCCTTTATCAGGTGCATTTGGGCCAGAATCATAACAAAATAAAAAGAGCTCTGTTGGGGCAGACCGAAGACTAACTAGTTCAGCATCCTGTTTCTTGTAGCGGGCAACCAAATGTCTTTGGTGAGGCCACAAGGAGGACATGCGAGGAACAGCAGTCTCCTACTATTGCTCCACAATGGTAACAGGTAAAGGGACCCCTGACCATTAGGTCCAGTCGTGGACAACTCTGGGGTTGCAGCACTCATCTCACTTTACTGGCCGAGGGAGCCGGCGTACAGCTTCCAGGTCATGTGGCCAGCATGACTAAGCCGCTTCTGGCGAACCAGAGCAGCACACGGAAACACCGTTTACCTTTCCACCGGAGCGGTACCTATTTATCTACTTGCACTTTGACGTGCTTTCAAACTGCTAGGTTGGCAGGAGCAGGGACCGAGCAATGGGAGCTCACCCCGTTGCGGGGATTCGAACCGCCAACCTTCTGATCGGCAAGTCCTAGGCTCTGTTCCCAGGAAGAAGCATAGAGCTGTCCTTTTAAAGCATCTAAGATGGACTTCATTGCATTTCATGGGAGCGAATTCTACATCTGAACTATGCACTGTGTGAAGAAGTAGTTTCTTTCTTCCATTCCTAATCCTGAATACGTTGTGAACCGCACTGTGATCTTCGGATGAAGGGCAGTATTAAAAATTTAATAAATAATGAAAAATTATACTTGGAACTTTTTATATAGTAGATATCAAATGTTCAAACCACTTCTTCTGCACCATATTAGTAATTCCCACAACAGTCCACTTCCTCTCGAGAAGTGAGTTGATATATATCCCAAAATATTGCATGCTCCCCACCCCGCATCCTCAGAAGTTGACAAAGGTTGAAACAGTGATTTGGGGAGCTTCTATTGGAATTGCATAACAATCCCTTCAGGTGCGAACTGGCATGGATGTTATTGTCTCAGTTGGTTTGGAGGCTCAGTTTGTAATATGCTGGATGATGGTAGTGAGCAGGGAAATAGGTTTCCCCACCCCTAAAGAAAACTATTCATTTGCTGATCAATAGTTGTTGAATAGGTCAAACGCTAGTGTAGCATCAAGGAGAAAAACTGCTATCTTGCCTTCAGGTTTTGTTGAAAACTGAGCAGCAGCTGGCACAGCAAATGGTCTGAGAACCTGGTGCTGCAGCACTGCAGAAGTTAAGCAGGTGTGGGACTGCAAAGACGTGTAGGGAAAGGAGTAGGCATTTGTTTCATAACCCAGTGACCTACATGGCTGGTTTACAGACTACGCTGCCTGCAGTTTGGGCACACAATAAGAGGAAAGCTACAGTCAGTGACACACAAAAAGACCTCACCTTCTTTCTTCATTCCTGCTCGAAAACATTTCTTTAGCCTGCAGTATCGACATTGGTTTCTTTTGTCCTTGTCTACAACACACTGCCTGTTAAACCTGGCGGGGGGGGGGGGAGGAAGGAGATAGAATCATGAGTTTAAAAGGGAAACACCATTCAGAGACTTAAGAGGGTGACTTGAATTAGGCGCTATAATTGCCCTAGGACTGATCAGCACCCCAAGGAATGAATAAGCAGGAAAACGATAGTAACTCTGGGCTCATCTACACTTTGGCTTGAACTGAATTTTGATCATACTCTGTACTGATTAATTCCCCTGGAGCTGAGAACTTCTCTCATTGTTCCGTGGCTGTGCCTTGCTAAAATCAGATATTGCGTGCCCAGCTGTAGAGGGCCTGCCCCCCACACTCACAGCAAAAAAGGGAGGGATAAAATAAATGGACAAGACAACCGTCTGGGATTTAAAATGGCCATAACTTTATTGATTTCAGATGTAGGGAGTCTTGGCATAGGCACTGGGTGTGTATCCCTCTCAACCCCTGGCCCCCGGCTGCTGGGTCTGAGACATGACAGGGTCTATTTGCAAAACGCAAGTTTAAGTGGATGGGCCCCAAATGCTGAGGGAAGCTCTATGGCTCACTAGCCCTATGCAACTGGCTTTTTGGACAGAGACTTCCCTCCAGACCCCTCTAACGGGGTACCCTGTTATCGTCGCCACAGGGGAAAAAGGGAAGTGCAGGAAAAATTCCTTCCTGACCCCGAATATGAAGACTGTCAAAAGACCACAGCGAAGCCCTCCTAGCTGAAAAGGAATTGGTTAAAGCACCAAACAACTGGAATGAAGGGAGGGAGAAGGGTGAGTGACGCTCCTGGCTGACTGGATGAGGAGGGCAGGGTCGGCCAGGAATTATAGTGGCCGAGCAGACCAGAGTGAAGCCTGCCTCCCTCAGGTCCGTTCATCAAGCCACGCCCCCCCAAGGCCGCTGCAGTTTGGCTCATTTGAATCAGCAGGTTTTGCGGGAACCTGTGCGCCTCCAATGGCGGTCGAGGGAGACGTGCAGCACTCAAAATGGCGCGTCAGCATCCGAGCAGCCGGGCCACAAGAACCGGTCACCGAGGAGGTATGGTAAGCGGCCATTACCCGCTGAATCGGATCTTATCACATGTGCAAAAAAACCAAGATAATCCCTGCTCCAAAGCATGAAACTTACTAGACCAAGAGTTACCAGGACTAAGGAATCACCCACACTTCTGCTTCCCCCCTGGGGAAACTTGCTGTTTACCAATGAGTCAGGGGTTTCTCCTGATTGATACTTGCTCTGATTTAGCGCTAAAAAAGAGGGTTTTCCGGGAGAAAACAACAGGGCAGAGGCAAAACTGCTTGGACCCAGGCCTAGAAAGCACAGGACAAGTGTGGGCAAGCCCTGACTCTGAAATGATTCCTCTGCTGCTGCAATTTTGTGGAGTGCTCAACACATGTACAAAAAGCAGCATATTAATGCGACATGAAAGGGTAACTGGAATGACAGGCAGGGAGAAAAAACAGTAAGGTTAAGTAGGACAGGTTGCAACCTAAGGAATGAGCCTGTCCCTTTAAATGTATGGATAAAGTGAGAGGTAATGTAGATCCAGCTGCTGCTGCCTCTATTCCTCACCAATCCTTTCAGCCACCTTCCTCTTTTTTCTCCTGCCCTAATGAGCAGGACTCCACTACCTTCTACTGCAAAGAAGAGAGAAGTGGGGAATAAAGGACAGAGGGGGGAACTGGGCATGAACACTAGGAATTAAGGCTGCAGTGCTGCATCCACACATACTGACAGGTCTCTGTTTTACTGTCTGGTCGCTTTTTTTGCCTTGACACTTTACCCGGGAAAACCTGCTCTTTAACACTGAATCGGAACAAATGGCAATTCGAGTTTCTGTAGATTTCCATCTGCTTCAGTTCAGCAGTAGAGAGTGTGTTTTCACAGGGAAAGCGCAATGGCAAAAAACAAGAACACTACGACACGGTGCTTTAAAGTGCCTAGAAACACAGCACAAAAAGTCTGGATGAGCCCTTTTTTCCAAGGAAACCTGTGGGATTGCTCTGTCTCTTGCATTCCAGTTCCTTGTAGCACTTATAGATAAGTTCTCATTCCCTTGGTTATAACCTGTCAACCCAAGCTGGGCTGTCTCACATATTTTAAGGATCTATCCGGTAACATCCCGCTGCCCCCACCTTCCCCCCTTTACCTGCAGGAATACATGTGATTCTTTCTGACGCTTCTCCTGAAAAACCCTTTGCAGCCGTCACAGCTGGAGGCCCCATAGTGTTTCCCCGTTGCACGATCTCCGCAAATGGCACACAACGCACTGGCCCCGATGCTGTTGGGCGCATTGAGGTTTGCTGCTTCAGAAGGGGAGGTGTCTGTTCAAAGGGGAGACAGGGAGGGCAACTGTGAAACAATTGGGAATGGGTTCAGATCGAAGCAGGAAATTACAAGGGCAGGCCCTACAAAGCATTATTATCCCAACAGGGCAGGCGGTTCAGGCTGACAGAGCAACTTGCCTTGGGCTGCTTGATGAGCTCCGGCAGAGGTGACATCTTAATCCAAGTTCAATCTTTGCAGCCCGCTTTTCCTTCCAAAGGGAAGCTCATAGCATACCAAAATAAATACAACAATACCAAAAATCAATACGATAATATCAGGCAGCAAACCAAACAAAAAGCAATGCTGTAACAACTCATAAATAAAATTTCAATTCAGTATCCATGGCAGTGGTTCTCAAACTTTTTTTTCTTTGGGCCACACTTTCGGAATAAAAATTTGCTTGCGCCAGACCTAATTTTTAATTGATGAGAAATGCATTGGAAAACAAAAAGAATCAACTCCTAGCAGCGCTTGATTTATAACATAGAATGCAACTACTTTATAATATGATCGTGAGACATCCAGAAAATACAAAGCAATGCTGCTACGTAAGTACATGAATCATTCCCAAAATATAATATTGATTGTCTTCACTCTTCCTGCCGCACATGCCATCCTCTCTTGCCACACCAGTATGGCACAACACACCCTTTGAGAGCCACTGATCTATGGGAACAAATTAAGGAATCAGATCAACTGAATCCCTGCAATATGGACATTTCATATTAGTCCTCTTATCTTTGCCTCTGTCCTTCTTCCCTTCCCCTAATTGTCTCTCTCACTGTCAAAACCTATGACTGTAAGGTCCTTGGGGCAGGGCCCTTTTATTTTTATTCAGCACTGAAAAACACCACATATACTGGTGGTGCTAGATACACGAGTGCCAATACTCCCAATAATTTACTCCTTCTGGGACCAATACTTCTCACTAGCTTTGAGTTGGCAGTTCCATTATGATGGCTAACCCAACACTCACTCCTTTCTGTACAGATTTGTTATGGCATATTGGGCTCTTACAGAAGATTCAAAACCCATTCATTTTCCCTTGACTACTGTTCTTGAGCTCCTGCTGATCTAGTATCAATAGGTTGTGATGCCATCCCTGTGGCATGGAAAGCGGAGGCGGCCCTAGCTGCTTGTGTGGGGGGGGATATTTGCCTGTCTCCCCACCCACAACAGCTCATGCAATTTTACACCTGTTTACCAATAAGCATCAGGATGGTGAAGATGCAATTGAAGACGGCAGGCAACAGAGGAAGTTAGGGAGGGTTTCGCTGGCAAAACTGAAATCCTGATAGCCAGCTCCATTACATCTGAACTCTTTAATCTAGAAATTAAGCAAATGATTGCACCAAGTAATCTAATAATACAGTACTGGTACCTTTACCTTTTTACCAGGAAAATACAGAAAGATAAAGAGGTTTGTATAATAAATCATAACATTTCCTCTATTTCCAAGACACTACCCCACAAAACAAACACGCACAGCTTTGTGCCATTTTATTGTTTTGCTAGCATATAATGCATGTTGTATTTATTTGTATGAAACATAATATTTAAAAATATGATATCTAAATGTTAAATAAACATGTCTTCTAGGTGATAGGAAGCTGCACATTTTGAAATTAAAGTTTTTTACAATCTCGCCACTCCATGGCAATCTACGGGAAAAGTTATGTCTTCATGTAATGCATAACAACCAGGGTCCTCATTTTTATCCGACAAACATTGCAGGGGTCAAAGGAGGCTCTGAAATGGTTCAAATGATTTCTGTTACTGGACCAACATTTCTGATAGGGAAGCAAGCTTGCGAGGGCCACAAAACTAACTTCTCGCCTGAACAGCAGCTTTGTACAACTTGAGAGCTTGCTGCCATAACAATATCATTTGCCCGTTGTGATGCGCTGTATGAATTAGTCGAGATACTTGGTACTGTGGCAATTCCACCCCCCACCTCCAAAAAAAACCCCTTCTCTCAAAGAATTTACAACGAGGCTTAGTTTTCCAGCCTGAAAGAGGTTAAGATATGAGCTATTTGCTGATGGGAAGTTTTCAGGCTTCTGCCGGATAAGTTAAGCCAGGAAAAGACAGACTTCAGTCTAGTGGGACTTAGAGCCCCTGAGTAGTCCCTGAGCAAAGGATTTGTTGTAAGTACTGGAACTAAGCTGACCTCACACAAAAACCCATTCCTAGTTACCCCAAGCTTTGTTCATCCCAGCAGCCTAATTTAGAGTGTGCGCATCATTTTGTTGTTGTTAGAATTGGGACTGACTGACAGAAATTCCTGCCAGCCTGCTGCAAACTACCTGGAGATCAAATTGTAGATCCCAATATATCTTCTGCCCACCTTGACTTAGGCTGTTCTTGGAAAATCATTTCTGAAGCATGTTGGGAGCCACTTTCCTCAAGGCTTGGGTCTTGATCCAGCCTTGCTAGCTTGATCAGAGCTGTTTTATTATTTATGTTTCTAAGATGTTACTGGAGTCTTCCTTACAAAGTCTAGAGAAATATGGCTTGTTGTAGTGCCACATGAAGCAGGCAGAACATCCCCAGAAGATTTAAGAGTGCAAGGAGATTCATATTTCTTCACTGCAGGGGGTTGGACTAGATGACCCTCAGGATCCCTTCCAACTCGACAATTCTAAGATTCGTTTATTCTATGATACGAGAGCAGGTGGTCCCCAAAGCAATGAAGAGGGAGCACCATCTGCATGTGTCAGGAAGAAAAGGAGGCCTATTCATTTTCATGAATAGTGCTCACTGGAAGTGCTCACTGGAAGGACAGATCGTGAAGCTGAGGCTCCAATACTTTGGCCACCTCATGAGAAGAGAAGACTCCCTGGAAAAGACCCTTATGTTGGGAAAGATGGAGGGCACAAGGAGAAGGGGACGACAGAGGACGAGATGGTTGGACAGTGTTCTCGAAGCTACCAGCATGAGTTTGACCAAACTGCGGGAGGCAGTGGAAGACAGGAGTGCCTGGCGTGCTCTGGTCCATGGGGTCACAAAGAGTCGGACACGACTAAACGACTAAACAACAACAACAACAAATTCATTTTCATCCTAATTCTTAATTCCAGCCTGCAATGAATCTGAACAGCGCTTGCAGCCGTTGCTGTTGTGACTGGAAACCGTATTAATCTTGTTTTAGAGCTCCAACATACTCAAATACACATGCACTTCGTGCTTCTAATGAAGCGGATCTCACAGTCCTCAAAAGTTTGTGTCACAGTAAATCTGCTTGTCGATGTCACAAGGTACTTTGTTGCTTCTAATTACATCAGTTTCCTGGGGGTGGGGAATCCACATAACTGAGAGTGATGGCAGAGGGGTGGAGTGGGGAGGTCGAAAATACCGTGGTGCCCCGCAAGACGAATGCCTCGCAAGATGAAAAACTCGCTAGACGAATTTCCCTATGGGCTTGCTTCGCAAGACGGAACGTCTTGCGAGTTCTTGCGAGTTTGTTTCCTTTTTCTTAAATCCGCTAAGCTGTTAATAGCCGCTAAGCCGCTAAGCCGTTAATAGCCGCTAATAGCCATGCTTCGCAAGACGAAAAAACCGCAAGATGAAGAGACTCGCAGAACGGATTAATTTCGTCTTGCGAGGCACCACTGTAACTAGAATCAAATTCACTTCTGAAAGAAAGTTCAGAAACAAACAAGTGAGCAAGCTCCCTGGCTGTTGGTGCATTACTGCGAGAAAGAGAATGTGCTGCACTGCTTTCCTATTCTTCAAAACACAATTTCATAGAATTTTGGAATTGGGAAGGGACCTTGGATGCCACCTAATCCAGCTGATCAGTGCAGGAATCTTGGAAGCACAGCAGCAGCAGCTGTAACAACAACAACAACAACTAGCTCCATGGTGGGTGGAGGTCTGTGGGTGAGGAGAGGACTGATTTCCTTACCGTAGCCACCTTGCAAAAGCGGCCTCTGACAGTCACACCCAAATGTCAAAATGTATTTTGGAGAAACCTGCAAAAGTTTAACCAGAGACCATGCTCTTGTGCTTCATGCTTCCTGGGGGTGGGAAATGAACATACGTAATAGAAGCTCACTGTATGACTGCTTTTAGTGGTCTGAAAAGCTAGTCTGCACACAGTCCTTAAAGCACAATTTTTTCCATCACTACAGATGGACAAGTCAGTCAAGTTCAGTTTCTCTTACTTTTTGTAAAAAGAAAATTCCCAAAACTCCTGTACATATTTCTCCAAATACACCCATCTTTGCAATATTTTTTCTGCAATATAATGCATTTTAATATGTTATTTTAACTAATATATGCTTTCCCCTTATATATGCAATTCTGTACACACAGAGGACAGCATCTCAAAACACAAAAAAGTGTGAATTTCAAAGGACAGGATGTATTTTGGTTTGCGTGCAAATAAGGTAGGTTTGCAGAAAACCAAGTTTCTCCCCCAACCTTACTGGTTGTACACCATTAGCTTGTAATATGACAATAAGGGCAAGGGTTAGGAATACAGAATTTTGGAAAATATAAGAATGTTGAAAATTAGGAGCATAGGACAAGAAGAGAAAATTTAGTATTTAATTTAAAAGAGAGTGCAAAGCTCTTTTGTCGTTTTTTTAAAGGATGGATGGCATGTCTTTGCCTACATTGGAATTTTGCTAGGATTGCATAATTTATCATACAGCAGCTTTCTCTGCTGGGTTTTAGAGGGAGCATTTAGAAATGGCTAGGCCACCCAAACTAAGAAAACCCTGTTGGTTATCGCTGAGTGGAAACTGCAGGACAGTAATTTTCTGTGAAACATAAAAATACGTTGTTTGTACATGATGCCTTTAAAATGCATTGTAAACTGCTTGGAGGTTCTCCCACCTCCTAAAATATAAGTAATATATATGATATTGTCTAAGTAAGTAAGTATTTTGAGAAACTTCCTAACCGGCAGATGTGGTTGGCAGTGAAACAGCCTCAGGCAGTGGTGTGCTCTCTGTTTAATCAGAGGCTAGATGGACACCTGTCAGGGACACCATAGTTGCATCCTGCATTGTAGTTCTTGCACTGAATGGGGGTTTGCCTTAATGAGCTCTGTGGTCCCTTTCAACTCTGATCCTGCAACAGGGGTGGGGAACAAATAGGAAGTGTGAGGATCAAGATCCCAGTAAGGGGATAGGCAGGGCTGGCACAGGGAGTCTGCACTGCTTGTTATGCCACTGCCACACCGCCCAGGGCCAGATTTAGGTTTGATGAGGCCCTAAGCTACTGAAGGTAATGGGGCCCTTTATATGTCCAGCTGTCCTTTGTCAACAACCAATTGTAGCTGTTTTTTGTGTTGAATATATGCTATATGATAATTTATGGACCTAATAGGTATCTAAAGCCATTTGCACATATCAAATAGGAGCCTATACAACACAAAACACTGTTGCTGTGTGTAGGTTTTATTTTATTTGTTTTTTATCTTATATTTTGGAACTGTACATCCAGTTTCTTTTCCCTTTAATTTTTTTGGGGGGGCCCCAAGAGAGTGGGGCCCTAAGCTATAGCTTGTTTAGCTTATATGTAAATCCGGCACTGCACCCACCCACTTCCTCCTCTTCTTCTCCCCCACTAACAACAACGCTCCTTCTCCCCCCTCTCTTTTTCTCTCCCTCCCTCCACCTCCAGCTTTCTTCTCCTTCTGCCATTGGTTTAACACAGGTGTGAAGAACCCGTGACCCTTCCGGCGCTGCTAAACTACAACTCCCATCATCCCAGGCCATTCGTCATGCTGGCTGGGGCTGATGGGAGTTGGAGTCCAGCAAGCTCTGGAGGGGCACAAGTAGCTCATCCCATTTTACAATATCCCACAGTATTACGTACAGGTTTGAATTGGCTCATGGCAATTAAATTTCACACAGCAACTGGGGGGAAAGATGCTCCAGTATAATGTTGTTGTCCCAAACAGGGTTGGGTTATATTCCAAGGCTATGATATATTATTGTACATTTCAAGTATTTATATTCCACCCTCAGAAGTAAAAATAAAAAATAGAATAAAAAATCCATGATAATATTGCCACCTTCCCAGTGTTAAGGCAATCAAAAATAAAGTGTTAAAAAAAACACCAGACAACCAGGCAAATATTCAATGCACGCACTATAGAGGAGACCTGTATGCATATTCAGAGAATTGGCATTGTGCTTATTAAATAATGACATGTGCGAAGTATGAAACCCTTTCTCCTTGTAAAATCACTCAGTAAAGACCTAATAGGTGTCCGTATTAAGAAAATTTGAGTAGAGAAGATATCTTTCTGAATTTCAGAATTAATGTAAGGCATGCTTCTGAATTACACTAAGATTAGCCATTAGCCTGTTCAGAGAATCCACGGGTAAACATGCCAAAACACAAATCTTGGATCTTGTGAACAAAAACAAATCCCCAAACGTTTTAGGAGTGGAATAAGCTAATGACTCCTATGGGCTAAAGCAGCTGAAGGAAGCAGAAATGTCAGCCTGCAGTACTTCTTCATTCCTTGCTATAAAACATGCTGAAGCTGTTTGCAGTTTGAAAAGCTGCAAGGCTATTATTTTGGCCTCACAGTCTATGCACACACTGGCATAAGGCAGGATGTCATTTTCCACCGCGAAATGTGACTGGCAAAACACCCCAAAAGGCTACATACACACTTGACAAGGTAATCCAGGAATTTGTGAGGTATCTTACGCATTTGATCCGTGAGGAAGGAAGTTTCTGGATCAAATTTGGCCTCGGCCACAAAATCATTAGGTGCACTTCAGCCAGACAGTGTTTATTAGCTTCAGCCCTGCTACCTGCAATATGGGAATAATAATCTGGGCCAACGGTGCAGCGCTGCTCTAAGGATGAGCTCTTTGGCCTCTCAAAAAGCGCTGGATATAAACAGCAAATATTATTATGTGAAATAAGCACACAGTGGCCCATCTCTATAGCACAATTCTGTGTAAATGTACTTGCAATTAAGTTCTAATGTGTTCTGTGGGGCTTACTCCCCGGTTTGTGTGCATAGGATTGAAGTAGCAGATCTTTTCCAATCCTTCCTGAATTCTGAACCAGTATCCCTCTAAGTCAGTGGTTCCCAACCTTTTTTTGGCCATGCCCCACCTAAGCATCTCTAAAATCCTGGTGCCCCCTCCCCCCGGGGACATTTTATTCAAAAAGTGAACACCTATTCATGTGGAGGAAGCCTAAAAGGCCATTACCTATTAATAACTCTCAAATCCCCCCCCCATTCAAATTGCCCCCCTGCACTGGCAACACGAAGAAATGTATTTGGCATAAAGACAAATTCTGTTCCTAATGAGTCCTTGTACCGCAGAAGTGCCTCTAGGCAGGGAAAACTATACTGTATTATCTAATCACATCCCTTCGAAGCCAATCCCTTCAGGAGACAATCACAGACACGAGTTGGAAGTTCTTTCCGATTCTAAATTATATTTTTTCTTAGAATTTAAACCTCTTGGTTTGGGTCCTACACTTTGGATCAATGACCTAGCTCTCTGCTTTGTTCCCTTCCCCCTATATGCTCACCATCCATGCAACCTTCTGGGATTCTTTCTATGCCTTCCTCTGACAGATATGTCATGTGGGAGAAAACCCGTAATACTCTACAAGATTTCTACGGCGCACCCATCCCTGGAAAAGTCACCCGGTTCGAGCTAAACGGAGCACTGGTCAAACAAAATCTTGCCATAAACAGGCAGGGAGCCTGGAGAAGAGCCTCCGCCGACAGGGAAGGTTTTCCTTGGGACAAGAAGGAAACAGACAGGCAACGAAGCCTCCACACCATCTGGCCGCCGCTGCCTGTTTGCAAATGCGCCTCTGAAGGTCAGCTGTCCCTTGCCCAAAATTTAACAGAGAAGAGCAAAGTTCCGAGTCGGACTTACCGTTGCCTATTGCCAAGACTTGCATGTTCTCAAACTCCAGAGTCGTGTATGCCGGGTCTAAAGCCGCACTATAATCTGCCATCTCCATGTCTATCAGGGCTTTGGAAAGGCGCATTATCATCAGCAAACACAGGCCAGATTGCAGTGATTCCGCAGCCAGAGGTTATTGGCCCCTCAACCTCTCCAACTGATTTTGCCGGCGTCCCCTATCTGTTGGCCTTTATTTCAAATATTTCTCTGAAAGGATCTGCTGAGCTTCAAGGCCTATACAACCCAGAGGGGTGGAGGCAGGAGGCAAGGGGGGTTAATCTTTAATCATCTCACTGGTGCGGACTGCTCTGCTCAGCTCCTTCTGTCTTCCTCTCTCACTTCAATTTTGTTTATTATTTCTTATTAGTCAACGGCACAATGCTGTTCAGGTTTGAGACAGGTGTAATAGGTATGCAAGTGATCTATGCTAACCTTTCTCAGGGTCTTCTGTACCTCAAGCCCAGCTGTTAGGATTACCCAGTGCTATTTTTCTAGAAAAAGAGGTGCCAGAACTCGCCACGAACACCTCCCTTGTTCTTTTATAATGGCACCTCTACCTGAGAGGTGCCTCTACCTGAGAGGTGCCAGAACTGAGTTCCGGCTGGGGAAAAAAGCCCAGGGATTACCTTACTTGTAGTTAAAGCGCCAAAGAATTGGACAAATGGATCTGGAATATAAAAAAAGCACCGATTTCTCTATTCCTAGCTTGCCTCCATTTCACCAATCTAACTCTTTCTCTTCTCACGCCCTGTTGTCTCTCTGTTTGGTGAAGGTCGGCAGAATTGTAATTCCTGCTCTGTCATACACAGGCCTTTCGTTTTACTTCCCTATAAAACGATGTTTTACAGGCTGCGACTTCACTGTAAACAACTCCCACCCCATGGTATTTTTCTACCACACATCTTTCAGGGCCAGGCAAGCCCTGAAATGTCAAAGTGGGCCTTCACCATATTCCATCATGCAATAATACTTCGCTTGGACAAGTAAGATCTTCCTTGTGGTCCCCTCCCACAGGTACCGTTTAGCATGTGGGCCAAATGGCATGTGATACTCAAAATCTACGATCGGATTGCCCAATGTCTTTTTTAGAAGCTTGGAAGCTCCTGCGAGAGGCCTGGAGCAGCAGTGCTGGGGAGGGGGCTCTGCTTAGCCCTCCCCCCTGTGCCATTTTCCTGATTGAAATTCTATCCACCCTCCTCAACCCGACTGCTAATAGCCTTGGCAGGTACAGTGCAGACACCTGCACTTTTACTCCAACCAATTAACAGCTGATTCAGAGTCCAATAAATATGCACAGAAGTTGAGTTGTCTACATACGAGCATGTGTTTTCTATCATGCAGGGAAACACAGGTTTTGAATATTGGGGTGGGGGGGGCAGGTTATGCCAAAAGAAACTAGAAAGCCCATGCAGTATGGTATTGGACTAGGACGATCTGGGTGCAAATAATTGTTCTGTAATATTTCCTATCTGCACCATTGCTCACTTCAGAAGCATAATCACTGCATTGATTGTGAAAAGCAAATGAATAAGACCTTTGGCTATTTGGCTTGATCACTATCAAACCATGAATCTCTTCTGCAATTGTACCAAAAGTAGCCTTTACAGACCCTCCAAGTGTCCCTGTTTTAGGGAAGTCGTCCTGGTTTCTGATTTGATTCCAAAATGTCCCGCTTTTCCTTAGGATATCCCCATTTTCATTGAAGAAATGTTGGAGGGTATAATGTTATCTAACCGCTGAGCCGTCTGAAGGCAAACCTGTATATGGAAGGTTTTTTTTTAATGTTTAATGTTTTATTATGTTTTTATATATGTTGGAAGCCGCCCAGAGTGGCTGGGACAACCCAGTAAGATGTGTGGGGTATAAATAGTAATAATATCCTTATGGAATGGGATGTCCCTATTTTCATTGGAGAAATGTTGGAGGGTATGCCTTTATGCCCCATTTAATTTTTGTGGATATTATGCTGCCTATGCATCACTGATTTGACATTCAAGTGCTTATTCCTGCATTTGGGGCAGAATCAATAACTACTAGATTTGTACATGTTCTTTCTCAGACTCATAAGACGAGACCCTGTTTTACATGTCTGGATCTTCTACATTTATGCTTTATTTGCTTTTATTTTTTTTATACTGTTTTTCTGGTTTTAGGTTGTGCTTTTTAAATATTTTAATTATTATGGGCTGGATTTAACTAACTGATGCCACTAGGACCTCCACTATTGCAGCAGGATTCCTCTTGCACTGACAGAGCAATCTCAGCACTACATTAAATTCCTAACATATTGTTTATTTTTTTAGACAGTACACAATGTAGAGATGTTGTCGTCCCCCCCAAAAAATAATAATAATTAAGTGGTATATAAATGATTTTAAATAAATAAAATCTTCTCTCGGAGTCTGCACCACTCAAATCAATCTACCGTACATTCCCATGTATTAGTCAAAGTTTGTTTCCTTAAAAATCATGCAAAAAAGTGGAGGCGGTCTTATACATGGGTAGTGCATAGGGTGGACTTTTGATTGGTTGCTGCTGCGGCTGTCAGCAACTATTGTGCGTGTTATTGGTTGCGGCGTCAATGTGTGGTGTTGATTGGCTGACGCTGCAGCAATTGGTCGGGTGATGATTGGCAGCCTCTGCCGACGAGGGGACAGATGGGAGGCAGATTTTGTGATGTGTGCGGGTGAGCGATTTTCGGCATTCCCCGCCCTAAAAAAAGCTCAGCAACTCTCGGTAATACCCCCCAAAAAAGCTCAACAACTCTGAGCAATCCTCCGCAAAAAAAGCTCAACTTACTGCTTTCTATCTCCCCCTATTTTCCAAAATTTCAGTCCCCCAAAATAGGAAGCGTCTTATACATGGGGGCGTCTTATAGATGGAAAAGTACAGTACATATATTTTAGTTAGAGCTATCCGAAGTCCCATTAAAGGCATTCACAGTTTCTTCACACAGCCGACTGGCCTTGTGCACAAGTTTCTGATTGGCAAGTATGGAGGGAACCCCAAAATTAATTGCCCTTTGTCTGGTACTTGTTTTCATCTCAAGCTTGGAGAGACACCATTATATGCAGTGACTTGGTTTTCAGTGGCCTCAGCTGGGGAGGAGTTTTATGACTCGCTGGAAATTCTGTTGTGTAACCACCACAGATTAATAACTGTAAATCAATTTATTGTTTAACAGCATCAGCTGAATTGCACTGAAAAGCCAGTAATAATTAATGATTATGGCAGTTTTGTTTATTTTTTTTGCAACCATTTTTATGATTTAGTTTCCATGGAATAAATTAATGACCCTGAACTAGTTTTCAGCAACTCTTTGCTAGGTAAACCAGACACTGATTTAAATCCTTGGATAAATCTGGTTTCCCAAGGGGTATTCTCCAATCTACCAGCCCCCCAGTTACCAACACAGACTCAAAAGAAGAACATGGCAGGACAAGTGGCAGTGGCCATGAGATGGGGGGGGGGAGTGAAAGAATCTGAAAAAAGCAGCCATATACTAAATGGAGAGAAGCTACCACCTACATCTGTTTGAAATACAAGTTGGTTGGTCTGGGACCGTGACACATATTTAGGGAACAAAGCCCCAGCTAGAAATCTGGTGGGGCCAGGTCTGAGACATTATGCTGCAAACCTCTACCTATTCTCAACCTCTATCTATGTGTAAGTAAACCATATACCGTATTGGTCCGAATATAAGCCGCACCTGCAAATAAGTTGCCCCTTTACAATTGAAGGGCAAAAGAAAAAAAGACAATACCAAGGCTGCTTTGGGGGGGGAGGGGGGAGAGAGAGCTGTGCCGCTTTTCCAGTAGCATAAGGTCTCGGATATACAATAAGCCGCACTTTAACTTTTCAGGGTCTGAATTTGGAGGGGGGGGAGTGTGGCTTATATTCGGGCCAATAAGGTAACACAACATGCCAGTGGCTCTCCAGTAAAAAGGTAAAGGTAAAGGGACTCCTGACTATTAGGTCCAGTCATGGACAACTCTGGGGTTGCAGCGCTTATCTCACTTTACTGGCCGACGGAGCCGGCATACAGCTTCTGGGTCATGTGCTCAAAGGAAACCAAGCCTAGGTAGCCCTTGAACCCTGAAAACGTCTCACCATTTGAAGAAAACATGTTTGCATAGCACTTGTGTGTAGTGATATATTGGACGCATCCAAACTAAGTGAGTTGCTTTCAGTTAGCCACAACTGAGATCGACGGGACAGGTTAATCAAGACTTAAGTCCTGTTGATTTCAGTGAGAACTATGGGCAGCTAACGTAATCTGGATCCAAACCATGGGCTGGATGAAGTAGCTCATGGTTCTCAATGAAAACAGGAAGCCTATGATTCAAGGTGAGGGTCTTCCTACCCCCAGACATCCTTTTTATTGGGCATTCATGAATACTTCTGCTCATGATGCCATTTGGAAGGTTCTAGGCCAGGGGTTGTCAACCTGGTCCCTACCACCCACTAGTGGGCGTTTCAGGATTGTAGGTGGGTGGTAGGGCACAAGCTGAATCCTCCTTCCATCGAGCACTGGTGGGCGGTAAGGAAATTTTACCATCAAGAAAGATGCATTAGTGGGCAGTAGGTATGAAAAGGTTGACTACCCCTGTTCTAGGCAAACCTACTTTCAACACTGTTTATGCACAGAGGTACCACAAGGGATATGCAGCTTGGTTTCCAACCAGTGCATATTCCATAACTTCCTGCTGAAAACCTGTAACTTTTTACAACACAAATGTTCTGTTGTTATCCACCCCCCACTTTTTCGTTCGGCTATAGTGCAAGAGTGCCCCTCCAGACAACAACAATGCAGTAACATTAAGAAAATAAGAAGAGCCTGCTGGATCAGACCAATGGCCCATCTAGTCCAGCATCCTATTCTCACAGTGGCCAACCAGATGCCTGTGGAGAACGAGTGAGCAAGATTCAAGCACAAGAGCACTCTCTGCTCCTGCGGTTTTCAGCAGCTGGTTTTCGAAAGCATTGCTTCCCCCAACTGTGGATGAGGCAGAGCACAGCACTCTCCTCCATGAATTTGTCTCATCTTCTTTTAAAGCCATCCAGGATGTGGTCATCATCACTGTGTCCTGGGGAACTGAGTTCCATTGTGCTTTCTTCTATCTGTCCTGAATCTTCCAACATTCATCTCTATTGGATGCCCATGAGTTCTAGTGCTATGAGAGAGGGAGGAAAAACTTCCCCACATCCAGTTTCTCCATGCCACGCAAACTTTGATAAACTTCTGTCATGTCACCTTGCCTTTTCTCCAAACGAAAATGTCCCAAACACTGCAACCTTTCTTCATAAGGGAGTCACTGCACTCCCTTGATCATTGGGGGAGCATCACAAAACCACCAATAAAGCAAAATGATGTGTTGGCGGTCTAGTATAAATCCACCACGAATGTACCACTATTGTGACAATGGCATGTTGCAGAATACGCCAGCAAAGGAAACAAACAAACAATGGAGCATAGACTGCCCATGGGAGCCACACACAAAGCACAAACATAAGCCACACTCTTACCACGGTCACATATTTCTTGCATGTAGTTCCTAAACTAAAAGCAGCAATACTGAGAGGCCTGGTTCAGAATTACCATCTTCCTCGGGAGGGGATATTAAACAGAATAGCACTGCATGGCCCCTGAGAACGCAGGTCATTTGGAACAAACCAATGCTTTCCGATGGCTATTTACATGGATCATTTTAATACCACGCACCCTATGAGTGCACTTAATGAGTATTCAAGACTATCGCACAGTTAGGAAGTTCCTGTGTTCCTGTGTTTCACCCATCCATGTGACCTCACTGAGAAGATAAGAGCCTTGCTGGATCGGACTAAGGATTCACGTAGTCTAGCATCCTGCTTCCTGTAGAACAAACCAAATACCTGTAGGAAGCCCACGGGTAGGACATTGGGATGAAAGGCTAGGGCTCCTTCCTACTGCTTCTCTCCAGGAGCTGATATTCATATACTGTCTCTAGAAGTTCATAACAGCAACAACAACTTTATTATTTATATGCCATGCATCTGACTGGGTTGCCCCAGCCACTCTGGGGTGCTTCCAGAAAAATATAAAAACACCACAAAACATCGAACATTAAAAAATTCCCTATACAGGACTGCCTTCAGATATACAGTGGTACCTTGGGTTACAGACGCTTCGGTTACAGACACTTCAGGTTACAGACTCCGCTAACCCAGAAATAGTACCTCGGGTTAAGAACTTTGCTTCAGGTTGAGAACAGAAATCGTGCGACGGTGGCACGGCAGCAGCGGGAGGCCCAATTAGCTAAAGTGGTGCTTCAGGTTAAGAACAGTTTCAGGTTAAGAACGGACCTCCGGAATGAATTAAGTTCTTAACCCAAGGTACCACTGTATTCTAAAGGTTGTGTAGTTGTTTATCTCCTTGACATCTGGTGGGAGGGCGTTCCGCAGGGAAGGCGCCAATACTGAGAAGGCCCTCTGCCTGGTTCCCTGTAACCTCACTTCACTCAGTGAGAGAACTGCTAGAAGGCCCTCTGATCTGAACCACATGGCCACTGTGATTGGTGCAATTGCAGCTCACCATGGTTGCACAAATCATGACTTCTGCCTCTCTGTTGGTGATGGCATCTGGTGGATGACTATCAAGGACATAAAGGTTGCTCCTTGAAATAACATGGCCAGGTTATTTCCCCTTCAGCTAGGAGCCTGCTAAGCCAATAACTCATTTGCTTGATAGAAAGGAACAATGGAGTACGAGATGGTCAGGGAAGTGGAGAAAGAGCTTTAGCAGCCCCATTGAGAGATCTTCCACCTCAATCTGGGCTCGGATAGAGTGATCCCTATGATTAGATAAACGCGTACAGACATCAAGTTAAATATGTGCAGGATTTGCCGTAGTGTCTAGTACAATATCGTAAACCTCCAGCTTATTTTGCTCCGTTCAGCAAAACAAGCCTTTTGCTCAAATAAACTCCTTACGAAGGAAGGCAAAAATAGCTTCTTCGCCCCTACAAGGTCTGCGGGAACCAGCTCCGGAAGGATTAAGGATGCTAGAAATAGCAAACGAAAGAAGTGTATGCACAAGGGTATCGGGGTGGGGAGTTTCTTAAGGGGAACAGAACGACTAAATACCTGGAAATTGCCAAAGGGCCATATTTAGCCTTTCTCCTTTAGTGCTGATGACTCAGATGTATTATTGCTAGTGTTTTCAGCCTAGCTTCCAGGGAACAGGCAACTTTCCAGAAGTGGAGGCTGCTGGATTAGTGGGAAGGGGGCACAGTGTCCACCAACCTCAGTTTGTCCTCAGTGACCCCCCTCCCCACCCACCTTCTTACTTAGAACCAGTCCATTGGGGGGCAAAGCCTGCTAGCTTCCCCTTCCTTAGTTGTTGCTCTTGTAGAGCTCAGCAGGGAGGGAGACAAAGCTAGAACTGGTTGGCTCTGACACCTCCTACTGTTGATCTCCCTGCCTTCCACACTACCAGGTGCAGGGGGGCACCAGCCAGTTAACTTTTCTCAGCTCTATGAGGCAGTTTGATTATCCTCTGTTCCCATACTATGGAAGGGAGCACATAGCTGTACCTCCACTCAAAATGATAACAACTGGGGAGACATGCACTGTCTCTAACCTAGATGGAAATGTGTACAATGCATTTCTACAGAGTAGGTAAATGGCTGGTGATCTATAGCCTTGCCTGTGCTTAGTTGTGGTGTGTGCAGTGACATTACAAGTTCTGGTACCAAATAGAGACAGGACAGGAACATGGCTTAGGTCACCTCCCAGAAAGAATCTTGGGAACTGCAGCTTGTTAAGAGTGCTGTGGTTCTAGTGGTAGTAAATTACAGTTCCCAAGGTACTTTACGGGAAGTCGTGTGCTTTAAATGTATGGCGTGAATGTGACCTCAGAAGAAGTTCACAGTTCAGTAGCAAGACAGTGAGCAAAGCTGTTTCCGGAGGCCCTGCCCTCTCCTCAAGCTTTTGAAATTTTAGCTACCATATAGAGTGGTACCTCAGGTTAAATTCGCTTCAGGTTACATACGCTTCAGGTTACAGACTCCGCTAACCCAGAAATATTACCTCGGGTTAAGAAATTTGCTTCAGGATGAGAACAGAAATCGTGCTCCAGTGGCGTGGCAGCAGCAGGAGGCCCCATTAGCTAAAGTGGTGCTTCAGGTTAAGAACAGTTTCAGGTTAAGAACAGACCTCCGGAACGAATTAAGTTCTTAACCTGAGGTACCACTGTATGCAGTTTCCAGACACAGTTTTTAACTGATAGGAAATGGCAAGATGACAGCCCAACTTGGGGGGGGACAGGGACAGGAAGCATCCTTGGGAGAAGAAAGAAGCATTTCACTTGCTTTTAAAATGCATTATTTAAAGCTGTCTACCACCAACACTTTAAAAGGGGCAGGACAAATTCATGGAGGAAAGTTATACCAATGACTACGAGCCATGGCAATGTCTATACAGAACTTCTGTATGCTGCCACTGAATATCCAGCTGCTGTGGAGCAACATCAGCACTGGATGGGGGTCTTTGTACTTCTGCTTTGTGGGCTTCTTTGAGGCACTTGGTTCACCATTATGGAAAGCAGGAATATTGCATTACATAGACCTTTGGTTTGACCCAGCAGGGATCTTTTAATGTTCTAGTGGAGGGGTAGCCAACTTGGTGCCCTCTAGATGTTGTTAGACTACACCTTCCACCCTCCCTGACCATTAGCTATGCTGGCTAGGACTGACTGGAGTTGAAGTCCAACAACTTCTCGAGGGTGCCACGTTGGCTAACCCATTTCTAATAGAAGCCTTGCCATGCAAACTACATGGGTAATGTGGAAGTGGGAGGAGAACTGACCCTTTTCACTAAGGTGGGTGGTGGAGTCTGCTTCAGAGGAGATTGGGAGAAGTTCGTGTCTGTCCTGATGTTCCATAAAGAGGCCTTCCTTGCATTTAAAATCATTTGGATTTTCTCTTGCTTCTGTAGAGATGAATGTTTAAGTGTACATGCGCAAAAGCTGCCTATTTGAGGCTATTCAGTCTTCTGTTTACTAGCCCATGTGGTAAGCCAGTTTGGGCAGGAGTACCTGAGTTACAAGAATCACGCCAGCATAATCATCTCAAACCGTCCCTTCTGCTTTTTCACACACACACCCCCCTTTGAAATTTCAAATTCCAGTTTGTGGACAAAGTCCTATCTATCTGAGAATATAGATCTCCGACCACTGACCAAACTCCATTCCAAGCAACTCCCTAGTTATGCTTCTCCCCAGGCTCTGACATTCAGTGCTTGGAGCTGCAGGAAAGATTTGCGAACCAGCTTTTCGTGCCTGAGCAGCTGTGCACCTTTGAAGAGTGGATCTGGGGGCCCATTTTTTGTGGCTATGGAAGAGGATAACCTTCTGATCACCAGTAACCAACCAGGTAGGAAGATCCTTGTCGCCTGTAGTTCCAAAAAGCCTCTAATTCAAAGGAAAGAGCCGAAAGCGTCTATTGTACTTGAAGTATTCATTTTGGGCCACTGGTTAAGATTAAAAAAGGAAAACAATGTAGAAGGGTTTGGCTACTGAAAACCAAAGAGATAGGAAGGAAGGAACTCCAGTTGGAGACATTTGATGTAGTTAACAGATAACTCTCCAGAACAGCTTTCTCGCTCTCATCCCTTCTGATTCTCCCCAGATTAGTTCAAACTTACTTTTGTGCTAATCATTTCTCGGCCTGTTTATCTTGCATTAAAAAATTAACAGAGAATAGTTTACTGCATGACTTGCTAACAACTGCAAGAAATGGCACACAAAGCTGCCAGGCTGAATTCTGAGCCCTTGTGCAAGATCTTGCTTTGGATCTAGGCACCTAAGTTTTCAAAAGTTTTTAAAAAGAATGATTATTCCCACCCCTCTAAAGTCAATATTTTGTTCCTGCCCCTTTTCCATGACCTGAGTATATATTTGCTCTCCGGCTGTTTCCAAATGAAGCAGATAAAGCCCGCAAAGGCTTGTATTTTGTCAGACATTAGTAAACAGGGATCTTCTTTCCACACCATCAAATCCCGTTTGCCTTTTGCCTGAATTCATGTCTTAAATGATTACAGAGCAGTTCCCCCCCTTCCCCCACGTGTTAATAACCACCCCTGTGGAATTCAGCTGAATCAGAAGGATGAAGCACATTTATGGATTACTAGCCAGCTGGAAGAAAAGGAAAAAGCAGCAGATATAGGTATCAGGGGGGTACATCCATGCTGCAGCTCAGAAAGGGGTCAGGTATGCAACTGGTGCAGAACCCAGGTAAACAGTTCAGGCAAACAGAGGCTTCAACTGCACTGGTTTTTCACATGACAGACAAGCAGCGCCAGCCCAGCAGAACAAGTTCACTCACCTCAGGCAGCTGCTCTTCAGTGTTATGAAAGGGCAGCAAATCGTTAGTTGTTGAATTCATTTTATTGCGTTTTTACTCCCAGGGTGCTAAAACAACTTGATTAGCATTGGGTAACATGCACCATGACTATGACACTTCCTGCTTTGTTCCCGGCAGCAAAATATATTTGGCTTGTCTTACAGATATGAGCCACTGCAAGGCCAGTGTAGACTCCTCTACAATTTTTATGCCTGGCTTCCAAATGCTAGTGAAAATGCATGTAGAAAATATAGGTCCACCTTTCCTGGTGATGTTCTGGGTTAGCACTCCCAAAGCTGAACCAAGAACTCGGGAATCTGTTTTACTGATGTGCCTAAAATCAGAGAGCACACACAGGAGGTCCCTTTGCACACACACCCAAATATTTGAGGGGTGTGGGGGGCCCCAAATTTCATGGTCATTGCCATTCAAATGGTGTGTGCGTGCCATGTTATGCGATCGATTATGTGGGGCGGGGCTTACCTGCCCTCCCCCAGTTTTATTAAAGTTGGCACCCCTGCACACACACACACACACACACACACACACACACACACACCCCACCAATGCATTCCCTGCATAGACCTTCCTCGGTCAGAAACAAGCAAGGCTGCCAACTTTTTATCTAGCAGGGCTCCTGTGACTAAAACAACTGCATGACAAGCAGGAAATCAGCAAGCAAAGCTTTCCCTTTCACTGCAGGGTTGCCTCCAGACTGTCAGCATTTTGCAGGAGGGAGTGAAATGAATACTGGCAATGTAGGTTTGCACAATTCAAGTAGATTCAATCTGTCGCCCTAGTGCAACAAATCCCATTAGAAATAAATGATGAGAAATGATGGGGATATGCACTGAAAAAATTGGGAGGGGAGAATCAATGATTAATAAGTCAGGATGCATGTTCATTGTCAAATAACCTCCCTGCAAACAAACAAATCAGAATGAATGCTCAAGAAAGACCGGAAATAATCTAACCTCTGCATAAGCTTTGTGCAAGCAAATCAGGATTGAATGCTCACTAAATAGGTCATCTGGAGGAACCCTGCTAGAAAAAAGCTTCACCAAGCAAATGTTGTGCTTGTCATGTAGTTGTTGAAGAGCAGCCCTGCTAGATAAAAAAAAAAGAAAACAGCTGGCAGCCATGAGATGGAATTCCCCTCCCCTTCTACACTCCATTTCAATGCAAGGTCAACTCGAAAAAGTAAGGAAATCTTTAAGTGTAAATGCATTTCTGATACATGGGACATTAGTTGGTTGCTGGAAACTTGTGGGGAATCCACAGTCAATTATCCTGACGTGGAATTGGATTTGCATAGCCATTTGACTACGTACACAAACAGCAAAATCATACTTTACTCATACGGCCATTTTCTATGGGAAGGATGAAATCACTATTCACAGTCAGCCCCGACAGTTGTGTTGCTGCTGCTTAGCAGGAGGGAGAGTGGAGAGTTCAGTGTGGTGCAAATGCAGTGTTCCTGCTGGTGTGTTTTCACTATGCTGACCTCCCACTAAGCGGCGACTCAACTGTCAGGATGTCAAGTGAGCATCTGCCACAGAGTGTGGCGGCTATGGGGGCTTCCATGCTGTTTCTAGCTGGGATTCTGATGCAAAATTAGCATTTGCTCTATTTGTTCTTTAGATGTCTGTTTGCACTTTACCTGCTCTGTTTTTATGGTGATAAACATTACAAAAGACATGGTAAATCTACAATGCTCATTTCATCCAAAAGAACTCTCTACTTGAGGAAGATGAATATTTTGGAAGTTTAAGGCACGGCCACGTGCATCATCTAACTACAATAACTACAGCAACCCTATAAGGCAGGAGTGAGGAGCCTGTTTGGCTTGGTGGATCAGATCTTTATCTCGCCGTCCACACTGATGACGTCAGGCGATTGATAGGTAGGCTCACCTGTCAAAGTAGACCCACGGGGTGGAGGGAGGGACCTGATTTGCCAGTTTGTTCCACACAGGGAACATGCTGGGAAAGCAGCTCCAACAGGATCAAACTCTTGGCTTGTCAGCTGATGAATGAAGACTTCCACCCTGCTTCTGCAGGTGCAGGGTTGCCGTATTTCAAAAAGTAAAAACCAAGACACCCCAAAAGTTGACTTTCCTAAGTTCCAGGACAAAGCACCACCAATTCCACCTTTGAAATCCCAGTAACGTCCAGAAAAATCTGGGCGTATGGCAGCCCAATGCAGATGGCTGTTTTGCCAGCACCAAGTGGAAGGTGCATCATTCTATTATTACCCTGTATTTTAGATGGAGGTGAGAGAGACCGGCTTGATGAAGGCTGCAGAGCATATCCGCTCCCCCCCCCCCCCAACATTTCAAGAGGGAAAATTGGAGCAACACACCAACACTGTCGCTCACCCACTTCCTCCCCTCCCTCCTCCCTCCAATCGTTGTCCTCTGGCCTTCAGTGTTGCCGCCTCAGAAGATGCTGTGCTGGTCCGCACAGCCTAGGGGAAGACACAGCCACCGCCTCTGCTGCTGGCACCAGCTTCCAAAAGTGCCGCAAAAGAAGGAGGAAGAAAAGTAGAAGGGGCAAGTTTATTCCCGCCCCCCCGCCCGCTTTTTTCAGTGTTAACTAACTGACACGAGCCACAGTGTGGAACCAAAAGCCACCTGTCTTTTGGCCCTGCGTTCTGGCGTGGCCAGAGGACAGGAGCCAAAACAGGACATCCCTGGATTGGAATTAGAAGCTGCTAGGGTGGCTTTTATAAATTTGGAATGTTCCACTTGGAGGGCATGGCATAGTGAGTTCATGGCAAACGAGAGATTTGAACCTGACACTTTCCAACGCCAGCTCTCGCCTCAGTTGTATTAAGGCTTGAATAAATGAAAATCCTTGGGTAAATTAAATTAAACATCACCCATCTTCTTCAAATACGTGAAAATGGTGTTGTGGTAAGGAGAGATCACACTGAACCAATTAATCAGTTTGGTAATTGGCCTGGGCAGCGTATTCAGGAATGGAGCACTGACTCCTTGTGTGATAGTGATTTCCCCCCACCCCCACCGTTCAGGTCATATGACTGATCACTATCCTCTGACATAGTTGTTTGTTCCAGTGTTGAGTTCCTGTGCATTATCTGCTGATCTAGCCTTGGCTGTCTAGACCAATTCTTTCTAGGAGATTCCTGTTTACCTGAAGAGATGTGGTGTTTGCATCTCTTATAAACAGGTGACCAAGGAAGTGTCAGTGCTACCACAATGACCTTAGCACTGTTTCTTGCAGAGGTTACAATGGCATTGCAAACTTAAACCAGTTTTATGCCTCTTTGACCATCACTGTTTGCTGAAAGTAGGGTTGCCAACTTGTGATTTCATCCTCGTTTTCTAAAATACTGATAATGACTTCTCTGGGCTCCTTCAGAGCACAATACAAATTGAAATATTAATAACAGTAATAATGTCTGCAGGGTCTGGGTTTCTGTAAATAGTTTTCTCATTTTGATGACAGTCTGGTTTTTTCCTTAGAGACCATAATGCTCAGCTGCCATTGGTTATAACTTAAAAAAAATTCATGCACAGAAAGACCAAGAATAATTTTAGATTTTAGCTGAAAGTCATGTGTGGAGAACCTGAATTCTGCCACCAAATATACAGCCTTCCCCATAAATTTGATTTATAGGCCTTTCATAAATCTCATCTGAATCCTTTCTTTCTTGAACTGTTCTGTTTGGAAGTTCATATAAACACACAAAAGATGCCCTTTTGGCTGTTCATGACATTATCAGAATCAACCTACGAAAGGGAACTAAAACATCCTCAAAGTGCTGGATGTAATCAAAGGCCCAGTAATAAACAAACACTACCTGAGAAAGGAGAAAGAATGGGAAGTGTCAACCTTGAAAAATATAGGCTCCATTCACACACCACTGTAAGCCATTGTTAATTCTTAATGGTTTATCATGGAAATGCACAGTACTGTTTTCTAGAAAAAGATGTGCCGGAACTCACCATGAACACCTCCCTTGTTCTCTTACAATGGCAATGGCCCCACCTGAGAGCTGCTGGAACTGAGTTCCACTGATTTCCAGCTGAAAAAAAAGCCCTGGAAATGCAGATGGCTTCTGATCTCCTCGCCTTTAGTCAGCAGAGCAACAAACCACAACTGATGACTTAGCATTTCATGTGAACCAGAGACTGTGCTTTGCTTTACTCAGACAAACCATGATCAGGAAGCCAAGATCAAACATTGGCTTTGCATCATGGTTTGCTTGCAGCGAAACAAACCACAACCCATGGTTTAGTCATAACGGTATTCAGGAGTGGGGCATTGTTCATGCTGCTTAGAGGGAGGTGAACAATGTGGGAGCCATCCTTGGTTCTATGGGAAACCATCAACTATGGTTTACTGCAGGGCAGGAGAAGGTCACCTAGTGGGGCTGAGCTTACAGCCTCCTAGCAGCAGCAGTAGCATTGCTGTCATTTCTCAGCAGGAGTGAGGCAGCAGCAAAGTTGGGGCTCCACTGGCAGGAGTTCCAGATTGGCTCCACCGGAGCATTGAAGAGCCCCCAACATCACTGCCTCCTTGGTGCCTCCTCTCCCAGTAATCAGCAGCAATGCTGCTGCTGGGAGGTTACTGCTGCAGATTCACCCCACTGGGGAAGCAGCTCTTGCACTGGGGTAGCCAACATGGTGCCTTCCACATATTTTGGAATTGAACCCCCATCATCCCGTCCTGGGATGTTGCCTGGTCTCCTTTGTACTGCCCAGGACTCCTGGGAAGAAGGGCAGGATAGAGATCTAATAAGATGAATCTCAAATCCTTGGCCATGCTACCTGGGGCTGATGGAAGTTGTGGTCCACATTGGCTATCCCTGGTTTACCATGAGATAAGGTGGTCGCTGTGAGCAAGCTGAGTAGCAAACCATCTTTTACAATGGATACACCTTTTCAACACTGCCTTCCAAACAGCTTATTAATGCTCCATTACAGAATTTTGTAATAATGATTACAGAAGTATCTTTGATATGGTTACCTTCTTGCTCAGTTACAAGAACATTTAAATATTCTCTGGTGGCATGTAAATAATAATACTCCTGGTTCCCCCCCCCCCACTGAAAAAGTGAAACTGCCAGACTGATTGCAGCTAATGTCACCCAAACCCTTATTTCCAAGGACAAAAGGCTAATGTTGAAATCCCTGTGTTCAGATATTTCATCCAAGCAATTCATTCCTCTCTTAGCCTTTCCACCCAATAAAGTTGGGGTAGGGGAAAAGAGGAAGGGGATTTGAGGGGTCGTGGAGTGTGGACAGATACAGTGTAGGTTAGGCCACAGAAAAACAGAGGATCAAGTACAGGCACCCCAAAAAACACCCAATACACCCCACAAAAAAGGCAGCTCCACAGACTGATAAAATTCCCAATGCATTTCAACAGAACCCTTTGTCAACAGAAAATTTCTGTATAAACAAGAACAAAACGATGCTTCCCGGTTTTGGGGGAAATGGCCGTGGCTTATTTCCAATCCAAATCTGACAGGAGCCAAGTTGTGTGCCGTGGGCAGGAGTCACCCCTCACTAACTGCAATGCATCTGTAAAAGGGCCAGTGTGGTTACAAATCATTTTGGAACTCTATGAAATTGTTAGCCCTGGGCCGAAGTAAGCCTGCGGGACTTCAACCGTCATTAACCTCCAATGAGGAAGGAAGGAAATAATTATATGTTTATTTCACTGAAGACAGCCCCTTCCTCTGAAGCATTGGCATATGCTGTGAAGTTGTTTAATCTACTTATTTTTCCGGTTTTCTTTCCAGGGTTGCATGGAGGCTGGGATGGTAAATTAAAATCTTCTACCTCTTCTAATTAATCATGCAGGTGTGAATGAGCTCCCCAAACAACTTGCAAGAAAAAAAGCAAAAGCCCATGTAACCAAAAGCTGCCGAGCCATCTTGAATGAAAGATCATGTTAGTAGCATAGTATTTTGATCATTCACCACTTGTTTCTCCCAGAAACCATCCTTAGCTAATGCCCCGTTCTGCCATAAAATAATTAAATTATATTACAACCATAAAGTGCATAATTTAAGTCAACCAAGCATTTCAACAAATTGGAATATGGTGGCAAGCTGAAGCCATGAACCTTTATAAATCAATCATCAACTGATAAACACAGCAATGATTAACTCCCAGAACTGGTGTCCCCAAAGTTGGTTTATTGAAAACATGCTGAGGGCGGATGATATTGGGTAAGTTAATTGCGGGAGGGGGAACGTTGGCGGGGCATAAACCTAGCATGCGTTTGACGTGATCTGGCAGGGGGGGAAAGCCTAGTGTGAACTGTCCAGAGATCTCCAGTGTTTTTCCTTCTTCTTGCATGAGAATAGTGGCTATTATTTGGCATCTCTTACACAGACTTCCCTGACATTAATCAGCAGTGCGGAAGCTACAACATCAGTTCCTTCCTGTACAACTAGAGTGCCATCAAAACCTCTGGACCACGTGGGAAGTGCAACTCCAAAAACTGGGGCACCCAGTTTCCCATAGGAAACCGACTCCCTCATGGTGGTCTGGAGCTTCTAAACAGTGTGGGAAGCAGTCGTGCCGTTGTAGTGGCTCCCTCTACCCTCAGGGAATTGCTGTACGGTACTCAGTGGTAGAGCATCTCAAATTCAATTAGAGCGTGGTGCTGATAATGCCAAAGTTGTAGGTTCAGTCCCTGTATGGGACAGCTGTATATTCCTGCATTGCAGGGGGTTGGACTAAATAATCCTCAGGGTCCCTTACAACTCTGCAATCCTATTATTCTACTTGGAACACCAGCACAACAGGCAGAGGTTTAGGTTCAGCTAGACTTATTACCCCTGGCGTCTCTGTTTTCAAACTGCAGGAATGAAACATAAGAGATTATTTAAATGTGTAGTCTGAAGCAACTATACCATACGAATATTCTAAATGTGTTTCTCTTCCCTTAGGGCATGCCAGCACATGATTCATTCTGAGGATGATGTGCTAGAATGAAATCATCACACTCTGTAGGTATGAAAGGTAATTATTACCAGATTGGTACAGGATGCGCAACTGATGTAGGCCACAGAATTTGGATCCTGAGTCATAAGAGCAAAGGATTACCTGATCTTTCTAGGGATGTGCCCTGTATTTTTGGATTGTACGCTATACCAAAAGCACTAAAGAGCAGGAAGGCATCAACAAGAGATATGTCATGGAATAGGGCCATGGAAAGGGAATCCATTTAAAGAGACAGCAACATAGGGTTTTTGTTATTTAAATGAAGGCTCTGGTTCAAAATTTGCAATATTTGGGGTGCATGGGTGGATAACATGTTTGCCCTGAGGACTCACTCATGAAGCCTTTTGGCAGCCTTGCACAAAATGGGAATACCTCTTACAGAAGAGGTAAGTTTAGATCTACTCCCATGTGGTTTGGGTTCTCGTCCCCCTCAACTGAAACTTTCTAAAAGCTGAGAATTCAGCCACATCCATTATACAAGCAGTGGTAGCTTAATAACTCTAGGGCAAAGAGAAGATGCTTGTTTCAGTGAGCAGTTCCAAGGGGGTTCTGGGAGATAGAGACAAAATGGGTGAGGAGCTTCTCCACAGTTCCAGGAACCTCAAACATCTGGAAGAATCTGAAGGCCAAATGGGTTACTGTGATATGTTGGCTTCAGAGAATGTTTGCCCAGAAATTACCGGACAATAAAGGAGCAAAGAAAACTTCCTGCTAATCAGGTTTGAAAACTCAAGAGTACTAATCCTCACAAAAAAGCACCAGGCTTGACTCTTCTTTGAAAAGTTTAAAGCTGTTAACATGTTTTCAAAGACAATGAATCTGGGTGCTGTTTTCTCCTATGGGGAGGGGGCTTTGAGAGGGAACCCCTCTGGGTGTTTCCACAAGTAGCATTAAAATTCAAAACATTCCCATGCATTAAATATTTGGGTGCATGTGTGAATGTTGCTGACGTGGGTGGAGAATAAATTTTAAAACTGAAGGTACATTCTAACCAATCAAATTTTTACTTTCACATTTCAGATTCTGGGAGCTTTTCAGTGACACGCACGGAAGTTAGATGTACAACTTAAGGCAACCATTTGCGCAATTTGCTTGGTTAAACTCTGGCAACACTTGAAAGAGGGAAAAACACCCAGTAATACTTTTTCATCCCCAAACAGGCTGATGGTCAAAATTAAAGTCCTAGTAGGACCCAGTACCTGGTGTTTCCTGAAGGAAAGCATAGCCATTCATGTTCCAGAAGGACCTGATGGTTCTCCAAAAAGAGAGAGAGAGAGAGAGCTAGAGGAGCCTCACACCCAGAGGCACAGGGGTTCTGAGCAGGGAGCCATGTTCTGTCTGACTAAGCAAAAGAGAAGCCAGCTGGAGTGTGGGCTGCAGGGCTAAGATAATCCCCTTAATGCCAGTCACAATGAGATTTGATTGGAGGCAGGAGTTCATGCTGTGGAGTTTAAGGAGTGCTGCTGAGTGCTGGAACAGGTTTCGTAAGGTAGCCCCAAGAGCTGTGCTACTGTGGCCATGTCCCATGACCATCCTGTGCTGAACAGACCACGTTTCCAAAGTGGCTGCTGCTGAATATGCACTCGCGTCTGCATGTGATTCGTCTGGAGTCAAAGAGTTTAAATGTAATAAATTCATAGCATGTCTGCAGCACTTTATCTCAGAGAACATCCACACCAAATGTTTAAAGCACAGGGTTTCTCCCAAAGAATCTTGGGAACTGTAGTCTGTTAAGGGTGCTGGAAAGGTTAGCTCTGTGAGAGGTAAACTTCAGTTCCTGGGATTCTTGCGGGGGGAGGCATGTGATTTAAATGTCTGGAGTGGATGTGGCCAGTTATGTTTACATACCCTCCAAAATTTCTCTGATGGAACTAGGGATGTCCTATTCAACAAAAACAAGAAGTTTATTATTTATACCCCACCCATCTGACTTGGTTGCTCCAGCCACTCTGGGCAGTTTCCAATATATATAAAAACATTAAACATTTTTTAAAATAACTTCCCTATACAGGGCTGCCTTCAAATGTCTTCTGAAGGTTGTATAGTTACTTATCTGCTTGGCTCAGGGGTTGCATAACGCCATACCCTCCAACCTTTCTCCAATGACAATAGGGACATCCTAAGGAAAAGCGGGATATTCTGGGATCAAATCAGAAACCAGGATGGCTTCTGTAAATCTGGGACTGGAAAATAGGGACACGTGGAAGGTCTGATACTGCTGTTTGCATGTTCAGTAGGTGTGCAAAGCCACTCTGTTGTTTGCACATAAAGGCTTCTCACATGCTGGCAGAATGAGCCGCAGGTGGGGGAGCTAGACTGTGCAGCTGAATTGCATTGATGCAAAAGGATGCTCTGTTGTGAAAATGGCTTCACTGGTGTGTATTTTAAGGGCTGGGCTGATTTCAAACCAGCCCTTTATCCACATCCCTAGGGTTCCCCAGGGCCCACTGCAACCACACTGTATATTATTATTCCTAGTTTCCCATCCCAAATGCTTTTTGACAAGGGGAAGAATTTGACTTGCGTCTCTCGGGCATCAGCACTTCCAGTTTTTGATGATATACAACAATACCGAGAGCAGATAAGGCAGTTCCTTTCTCGCTTACTGGAAAGCTTTCTGCTGGCATGGAGATGGAGATATGCCACCCAAGCCAAACACTTCTTTGCAGGTGTACATGCAGGTGGGGGTGCCATGGAGGTTTTTAAGCAAAGGCTGGATGGCCATCAGCCATGGATGCTTTAGTTTAGTTGCTATTCCTGCATTGCAGGGGGTTGGACTAGATGACCTATGGGGTTCCTTCCAACTCTACAATTTCTTGATTCTATGAACCCTCTTTTTGCACAAGCAAGCTGCAGTCTGCAGAAAGGGGAAATGATTGCTGTTGGAGTATAATGATTTGGAAATGAATAAAATGTGGCTTCTGTGCAACGGGGATGAATTGATACTCCAGAAGGTGTGAAAAAGGAATTATTCGACTGAAGACACCAACAGTGCAAACTTATGTGCACCTAGTCAAAAGTCAATCCAGTTGAGTTCAATGGGGCATGCTCCCAGCAGGTATATGGGTCTATGACAGCAGCCCAACACCACAGTTCTTTAAATCCCTATTCAACAGTAAATCTCACTGAATTCAGTGGGGCTGCTCCCAGGTAGATATATGCACATTCTATGAAGCCACATTGCACTAAATGGGACTTACTTCCCAGCAGGCATGCATAGGATTTTGCCGTAAGGCACACTTACCCAGGAGTAAGCCCTATTAAACACACTCAACTCACTTACAAAGAGGTAAATGCCACTGACCACAACGTGGCTTCCTTCTGAGTAAACACATTTAGAATTGCAGACAGAAAACTCTTCTGATTCCAGTATGAGCTACGTAACTATGCAAATGCAATTACTTTATTAAATTTAGAATTACTATTTTGCAGTTACCCATGAGTGTGCTTTATTGTATTGTGATTTTATGTTTTACTGTTGCAGAAAGATGGGATAGACATTTTAATAAATAAGGAGTGCAGAAATCCATGGATATTAGTAGGCATGGTCCTTGCCAGATGTTCGCAAACATTCATTTAACGTGCTTATTGGCAGGAATATGTTTTAAGTTAAATGCTGCTAAAAAGCAGCTGCTAGGGTTCCTCTCTCAGTTTCCTTTTGTTGACTTCTCATCGCCCCCTAGTGACAAGTCATTGAATCCAAGTAACTTTCCCTTTTCCATGAAAGGCGACTTCACAATGCAGGTACAGTACAGAGCCATCCCACTGTTGCCTCTTATGATAAACTCAGGGGTGTACAAAATATGCACAAAGCATGTCAGATGCGAAGATGGTCTGCAAGCATGTGAGACTCAATATAGCCCTGAGTCTTTCCTGCTTGTTGCTCACATTTCAATGGCGAACATAGCAGGTTTTTTAAAAGTAAATCCTTAATAGCATGTGTGTTATAAGTGTGTGGTTTTTTTCCACCGGATGCCCATGCACAGAAAGTATAAACAAGCTGCTCTCAAGTCCTACTTATTAGTGTTAGAAAGCAGTCATGAATCTCTGTTGTATCACATTTGCAACTGTAAAGCCTCTTACACTCGTCTTGAGCTGCTGTGATGTCATGGAATGTTCACAAGTATTTAAAGTGCTCAGGAAACAATCTATTGGAATATTCATTGTCCATTTTGAGGAAGGAAAGGGAATGCCAGTTTTGTCTGGAGAGATTATTTGTGGGCCATGAGGAGGATAGCAAAGAGCCCCCAGACAGTAAGGAATCTAAAAAGTCATTGAGTGGTGCTGAATTTTACATCTACATTTTAACTTGCCAGCCAATTCTTTGGCTACAGACTGGTACAACATATTCAGTACTGCTGTTAATTAAGTTTAGTTCTTTTCTGTGAGCGCAGGAGGCTGCCAGTGCCCTTTTTCACATGTAACTCCAAGCCAAAGCATGGCTCAGCGAATGTTCAGGCTCCCACAGAGGCGATTGTGGCTGCTTTACTCCTCCTCTGCTTCTGCACTGAACTCAGCCATGCTTTGGCTTAGCGTGTTGTCTGAACTTGGCTCTCAGACAAACCACAAACTATAAGCCAGGGGTAGGCAACCTAAGGCACATAGGCCACAAGCGGCCCACAGGGGTCGTTTAACCAGCCCACAAGCCACCCCTGAACCGAGCCGCCCACTCAGTGAGTCCCCGCGCGCTCCACTAAACTGGCGCAGTGTGGCGTGGGGACTCGCTTCTGCAGACGCCGGAAATCGCGGGTGCGCGCACTCACGCGTGTGAGCAATCTCACCCACTGAGGCAGTGGCGTAGCGTGGGTTGTCAGCACCCGGGGCAAGGCAAGTAATTTGCGCCCCCTAACCCATGGATTTTAGTAGGGGCAGAAAGCTGCGAGTGCGAGCGCCCCCCCCAGATGTTGCAGCCGGCCCCCCCTGCACCCCCCACGCTACGCCACTGCACTGAGGGATCTACACCGGAGTGAACCAGTCCAGGCGAGGTAAACCTTGCCGACCCCTGCTATAAGTGATAAGACATGCCTTGTTTATGGCTTGCGGTTTGTCTGGCGAGAGTTAAACCACAAACCCGGGTTCAGATGCCAAACCATGGCTTCACTCAGTGCAGCACAACAGCAGAGCCACTAGAGAGGAGCGAAACAACCATCATTTCCTCTCTGGGAATCCACATGTTTGCTCATTCACATTAAGCTATGGTTTGGATTCGTGTTACCCCTAAACTGGGCCAAATAATGTCAACTCTGCCTGATAGTGACACATGGATTTTGAAATAAGTTAGAACAGATCTACTTGCCTTAATCTTAAATGATCACCAATATTGAAAAGGTGAGCAGATACAACTGCTCTCAAATCACCCTGGGAATAATGTCTTTTCCTACACAGGTGACTGCTTTTTCCTGTATATATTTTTTTACAGCTGTGATCTCTCTCTCTCTCTCTCTCTCTCTCTCTCTCTCTCTCTTGGTGTACCGTCTGCTGTTATGACTCTCAAACGCTCAAGAGAATCAATGCCGTCACCAACAAAGCCAGCCCCACCTATGAGGCAGGGTGAGGTAGCCGCCTCATGAGGTGGAAGCTTAAAGGGGAGTGCTCCTGCGGGAGCCCCATCTGCCCTGCCAGCAGAGAAGTGGAAGATAGCACTGGATGGCTCCATCATTGGTGCTGCTCTGCAGGCACCACTGCACAACCCAGGTAAGGAGGACTGCAGAAGGGCTGCATGTTCCCATGTTGGCAGAACAGGACACACTGCACCCTGTTCACCAAGAAAGGAGAAGTTCAGGTTTGACCTGAACTTAACCTGGTGAAACTTCCATCATCATCATCATCATCATCATCATTATGGCCTTTGTCTAAAGATCTCAGGGCAGTGTTCAACACATTACGAAACATCCATAATAAAAACCTGTCCATTAGTCTGGAGTCCCAATGGATAATGGAGGTTTAAAAGGTAAAGGTAAAGGGACCCCTGACCATTAGGTCCAGTCGTGACCGACTCTGGGGTTGCGGCGCTCATCTCACTTTATTGGCCAAGGGAGCTGGCGTACAGTTTCCGGGTCATGTGGCCAGCATGACTAAGCAGCTTCTGACGAACCAGAGCAGCGCACGGAAACGCCGTTTACCTTCCCGCCGGAGCGGTACCTATTTATCTACTTGCACTTTGACGTGCTTTAGAACTGCTAGGTTGGCAGGAGCTGGGCCTGAACAACGGGAGCTCACCCTGTCATGGGGATTCAAACCGCCAAACTTCTGATCGGCAAGTCCTAGGCTCTGTGGTTTAACCCACAGTGCCACCCGTATCCCTATTGGAGGTTTACTGCTCTGAAAAAAATTATTCCCCCAACAAGCGGAAGTAAAATCAATTATGCAAACACACACACAACAACAACAACAACCCGCAAATAAGCTGAACACCTCATTTAGATCACAGAGATGGGCTTTTCTTGGTAAAGAATTTTGGGTTTCCCTCGCCACACATCACTGAATAGGTCCAAACTGCCATTTTCTCTTACATCCTCTGCACCCCAATTCAGGAAAGCAGTTTTGAAAACGCACCAAGGAAGAAAGGGGATTTACGGACCATGAGACTATTCACCTCAGGGTCATGGGTTCGAGTTCCACGTCGGGCAAAAGATTCCTGCATTGTAGGGAGCTGGACTAGATGACCCTCGTGTTCCCTTCCAACTCTGCAATTCTATGATTCTATGGGACATCATTCCTCCTCTTTAATTGGCCTTGCCTTTTCAAAGTGTATTCCAACTGACAACCACTGCCATGGAGTATATTTGCTGTGGGAAGAGATTGCAGCTACACCCAGCGAGACATGCAAGGCACTCAGACATGACACGTGCTTACAAATCTCTTGTCGTGGAGGTATAATTTTCCAAAGACTGTAAGCAGAAGTTGGTGACTGATTAGCAAATGCACATGGAGTCAGTCTTGGGAGGAAGGAGGCCGGTAGGCCCCAGCTGAATGTCTCCATTAGGAGCTTGGGGCTTTGAGCCATAAACCTGGTGAACCAATCTGTGGCGGGTGTCATTTATGTGTCGGCAAACACTCTTAGCGAGGTCTAGTTATTGATTTGGACAGTATAAAAAGGCTGTTGTGCCACTTGTTCAGGTTTGCGCAGGTTTTATGACTCTTGTTCTGAGGAGTGTCAATCTGTTTGGTTTTGCCTTATTCCCTCAGGTCTCTTGTTGACATTGGCTGAGCTAAGTGGTGTGTATCCACGCCACTCCAGGAAGCCAAATGTTTGGCTGCCTTGTGCTCTGCCTCTGCTTCTCCATCCTCCTAATTCCTTGGAGGTTACCTACTGTGTGACACACCCAATCCCCAACCTCAGGTTTTCTGGGCGGAAGGTGGGTGAAAGGTACATTTTTCTTCAGAGTATGAAATGGTTACTCATTCTAGGCATTCAATCAATGACAACTGATCAGTGGAAGAAACAGAGGCTTTATTAGACCTGGGTCATGGAACATCAGGATGGCAAAATCCCAGGAGAGAAGCAAGGTCAGCAGCAGCTGTGAGCCAAAAGAAGGAAGGGGAGAAGCAAGGCAAGGCAGAGACTAGAGAGGGGAGCATTTACTCACAGATTTTTCCAACCTGTGAATAGCATGACTACTTTTTAGTAGTTTCTGAGAATTTGAGCGTCTGTGAGCACGGCAAAATATTCACCCATTTGGAGAGATGGCAGAGGACATTGCCCTCACTCTGAACTGGACTCATGGTGTCATAAAGTCAAATCTGTTTGATTCAAGTAGGTAGCCGTGTTGGTCTGCCGTAGTCGAAATAAATTAAAAAGATTCTTTTAGAAGGTAGTTAAAAAGACTCTTCTTAAAAATCTAAAAACTCCCTTAAAAGAATCAAGTCTTCAAAAAAGTTATATGATCTAAGAAAGTCTTTAAAAGAAGCCTTCCAAAAGAGTTTAAAAATTATAATGTAGCACCTTAGAGACCAACTGAGTAGTTTTAGGTATGAGCTTTCGTGTGCATGCTGAAGAGTCTTTTTAACTATCTTCTAAAAGAATTGTTTTAATCAAATCTGTTTGGTTATGTGATGTCGCTACAGCAAAAGAACTGCACTGATTGGTAAACAAAGAGACAAAGAGTGAAGAGAGGCAAAAATGGAAAAAGGGAGGGGATGAGAAGTGACATCAAGGTATATTTTGGAACCCCTGAGAACCCACATTTTCACATGTGAACATACAGTACAGTCCTAGCAGAGACTGAGTAAAGAGAAAACAGTGCTGGACAAGACCAGGATCAGCAAAAGCATCTCCTCATTGCTCAGAAACAACAACCCTGATGTGAACACTTTTTGTTGATGCTAGACCTTGCAAGATGACCTGCTATGGTCTGCTGATACTGCACAAGAGGCTTCTTTTACTGGTCTGACTAGCTACCCTGCAGAGCTTGGCGAAGGGGCACTGCACAGAGTGACTTCTTCCCTGGCCTTCCTCCAGTTTCACGTTAAAGTGATTCAAACCCTAACAGAATGGCTGTTTTGCTGGGAATCTTAGGTGAGATACCGATATAGTGGAAGTTGCCCCTAGTTCCAGTCACCACACAGAGGCAGCTTAAGTTCCCAAATAGTTTACTGCTGCAGAAGAACAGGCTTCAGTATTCCAGTTCTGGATGTTGATATATACAAACAGCTTGTAGGCTTTGGAGATACAGATATATGTATATACAAGTACAAAACATTTCATAGAATCTTAGAGTTGGAAGGGACACTAAGGGTTATCTAGTCCAGGGGTCAGCAACCTAAGGCCCATGGGCCAGAAGCAGCCCGCAGAGGTCATTTGACCAGCCAACGAGCCACCCCCGAATCGAGCTGCCAGCTCTCGCGCTGCACTAAACTGGCACAGCGCAGCGCAGGGATTCACTCCCGTGGCGCCGAAAAGCGCATCTGTGCGCTTGATCATCTTGGTTGCCCTCCTCTGCACACGTTCCAGCTTGTCAACATCCATCTTAAATTGTGGTGCCCAGAACTCGACACAGTATTCCAATTGTGGTCTATGGCAGAATACAGTGGTACTATTACTCTATTACTTCCCTTGATCCTGGACACTATACTTCTGTTGATGCAGCCTAGAACAGCATTAGCTTTTTTGCTGCTGCATCACACTGTTGACTCATGTTAAGCTTGTGGTCCACCAAGACCCCTAGATCCTTTTCACATGTACTGCAAGTAAGTCAGTTGGAAGGGACCCTGTTGCTCCAGCAATTCAAGACGCAACACACACTTCAACTCATGGATTGACCCTAACACATAGACAAAGAACCCGGCACACTAATGAGCTGAAGTGCCTTCATCACTTATATAGTCGGCACTGGCTGTTGCCCCATAGCAACTGGCTTGGCTCACATGCACCTGTTGGCTCGTCTCATACATGGGACCATTTGTGCTCATAAAGGAAATCGACCCTTTCCTCCATGTCCAGTTCCTCCAGGAGTCAGCAAACCTTTTAAGCAGGGGGGCGGTCCACTGTCCCTCAGACCTTGTGGGGGGCCGGACTATATTTTGAAAAAAAGAAGTACAAATTCTATGCCCTGCAAATAACCCAGAGATGCTTTTTAAATAAAAGGACACATTCTACTCATGTAAAAACACGCTGATTCCCGCACTCTCCGCGGGCCGGATTTAGAAGGCGATTGGGCCAGATTCGGCCCCCGGGCCTTAGTTTGCCTACCCATGCTCCAGTCTATTTGACAGCCCTTAGTGGTTTTTGCAATTATACAGATGAGCTCTTTCAAATGTCGATAAAGGGGACCTTTCTATGCCAGCTTCATCACCGTGCACCCAATTAGTTGTGCAAAAGAATTGGTATCTTGGATTAGGCTGGAGGTCCATGAAAACGCAGTGCCAGACAAGCTTGCAAGCAGGACAGGACAGATATAGCCATCTCCCATTGCTGTCGCCAGCATCTCACACTCCGAGAAACAAGTTGGACCTGCGACAATTTGCTGTGGTGTTCAGTTCTTTGTTCATTGTGCCAACCCATCAGCCATGCCATCTGCAGGATACTCCGTTCTTTCCACCCTCCCTAGTTTTTCAACACTACTCAGTAAGCATTTGTTGGCCACTGAGCATGCTTAGTCCTCATTGACCTTTTTGGGGCTAGCCCATCCTTTAAGGTTTCCCCGAAGCCTGCTGATGCCTCTCTCTTGTGCTTGGATGGTGCTGTTTGGGCTACCTAAGGATCTGTATATGGAGATGAGTTTGCTATTAGCCTAAATCATGATACTATTTCTGAAGATGAGAGGCTCAGTTGTAGTGGTCAAGACTTTGATAGACATATCCTATTTGAATTTGTCTCATCTGAGAGAATGACATCCACAGCAATGGCCACAACATCATCCTATGTCCCCCAACACTACATCAAACAGGGAGATTTTGACATGAGGGAAGTGTTTTGAAACAAACCACATCCCATGTGGATTCTGATGTGGTACAGTCCTGTGAAAGGATTGTACCATGTGCACCACCACATATTTGAATGAGCAGAAATAGAAGTGAAATAATAAATGGGAGGAGGGACTGCAAAGAGAATTAACTACACAGTAAATACAAGTTTTCTGATATATGCCTCTCTCACTAAACGTAGTACCTTAACACTGCAGCAGCTCTTATAATTTCTTCAAGATACTGATCTTGCACACTTTATCGCTACACCAAGCTCTCTGTGCTTGGCAGATGCATTGTTGCTGCACTGATAAACATCTGCAATTAAGGATCAATTGTATCATTGGTTTTCAAAAGGACCCTTCCTAACAGGGTCACCATTTGTTTTGAAGTTCCCAAAATTACTGAGTACTATAAAGGAGCTATCCTTCCTGTGCCATTTGTGTATGTACCTGTGGATTAACCTGCAGCAGGCACTGTATAAGGACTTTATTGACAATCGCTGTGGGATTAACAGCGTTTACCCAGCGCTTGGGTTGTGGCAAGTGGGAAGGACATGTCTAATCCCCATCTCCTTGTGTTGCTTGCTCTCTTTCCCTGAAGCATGCAGATTACTGCTGAAAACCACACTGTGCGAGAGACGCTGAACACAACATGGTGGGATTTGTCCTCATTGTTTATGTCCCCCTCCACCCAAAGCATTTGAATAGCTTGCAAATCCTGTGATAGCCTTGCAAAATCCACAATGCCACCCCAAGCAGCGACACCCACCCACCCCACAACAACAAAAAGTTACTAGGCCAAGAACATTTTACTTTAGGATTTGCTCCTGGCAAACAAGCCAGGCAACTCTTTTGCCGCAAACAAACCAGCATCTCTCTTGGGTAGGGCAGTCATTTGATTACACAATTGCTTCCCCACACATCCATTTGAAAGTCAACTCACACTTGTTACTCTGCAGCAAAGCGTGTTGAGCAGTAAATGTGGTTTGAGTTGTGAGCTAGATACATGGCAAAGGCATCCTTTGACCCCTTTCATAATGGATCCAGTCCGTCCATGATCCCAGAATACCAACGTAGTTGTGTGAATTAGCTGGGGATAGAGAGTGAGAACGGCAAAAGTGATGAACATATGATTCTGCCTTCAGAATATGAGAAGAGCTGAATCAGACCAAGGATGTATCTAGACCAACATCTGTTTTCTCATAGCGGCAGATTAGATGCTTGTGAGAAGCCCACTTGCCCTCTTCCACTGTTTCTCCCCAGCAACACGTAGTCTAAATCATACCCTCCTTGTCCATCAAGCTTGGTATTGCCATCTCCTGTGACTTGCAGTGACTCTTTGGGTTCATCTGAGATTCTTTCAGCTGGAGTTGCTGAGGATTGAACTTGGGACCTTCTTGGTGAAAAGCACCTGCTCTGCCACTGAGTTATTGCTCTTCTTCATATGGGTTTTTGGTGTTAACATGGGTTTTATGGTCTGTTGCTGCTGCTGCTGCTTTGCATCCTGGGGCAATTAGCAATGTCTGTCTTGCAGCTGCTCAGAAATTGGTTCCTCAATAGCATTCTGAAGAGTTCAGCCTGACATTAGCTCATGCAGAACAGAGAGGTTCCTTAATCCTTTTCCAAATTCCGCTTGGCTTTAGGACTTATGGAGTCCCTGAATCCATCCTCTGTTTTCCTTCGTCTTATGTTTGGATAACTTTGTAACCTAGCTATTTAGAAGGACTGCCCTTCCCTCTGCCAACAGTCGGTTGCTCTTCTGCTTTTGCTCCCATTTCCTCTTTGTTATTTCCTCCCTCTAAATCTTTAGACTCTGCTAGACTTGGCAGGCTTTTTCTCGTGGCCAACATTTAAACAAGAAAAGTCTGGGGAGGAGAGCGCACCCTTTGTTTAATCACTTAAAACAGATGGGGAAGACGTGGCTGGCTGGTGGCTCGCAAAGCAGTCGTTCTTCCCCAATCCAGCAGATGATAGAAATGACAGCTAGATTCACAACATGCACCTTAAACATGCCCTCCAAGTGTCCTGATTTTCCAGGGACAGTCCCGGAATTACAAAAGCCATCCTGGCTTCTGATTTTACCCTGGAATGTCCCCATTTCCCCTGCCAGTGCTGCCACCGCCAAACTCACGGAGGAAGATGCGCTTGTTCTGAACGGCGGCAGCAGTGAGGGAGCATCCCATTGCCTCTCCATGGCTGCTGCTTCCGGTCTCCTCACTTGGGCAGCTTTTAGCAGCTGCTGGAGCGCAGGTGAGGAGGAGGCGAGGCTGCCACAACCATTGCCCAGTCCTGTGTGCCATGCCAGCTCTGAGGGACAGGCAGAGGTCGGGAAGAAAGTGGGAGCAGAGTGGAGCGCAAGGAGTCTTTTTTTTATGCTTTGTGCATCTGGATCTAACCTTGTCCCTTTCTAAAATTTATTTTTTGGTGTGTGTTTTTCTTTTCGTAAACCAAAGAATAAAATTGGGACTGAGGGATTTTCTCAGGACAGTGAAAGGCATATGTGGTGTGTCCCATTGGTGAAGTGGTGGTAGAAACGATCAGGGAACTGGGACAAAAAATGGGGGCGGGGTCAAGGAGCATCAGTTGGGGGGAATGAGAAATGTTCCTATTTTCATCTGAGGAATTTTGGAGGGTATGACTTAAAGAGGTGTGCAGAATCCACAACTACAGCAGGTGCAATTTCCTCCCCCATGCAGTGCACTGAGTGAAAAATCCGCATGTGCAAAACCTTTCCTTTCCACGCACCCCCTAAAGCTACAGTAACTCAGCCCGAAACTGAGCCATCTCTTTGCTCCATGGGCCACCCCTTTCCTCTCCTGCAATCCAGGTTTAGAGCCAGTTTGGAAACCGGTGATGATACCACTTAATAAATGGTGCTTCAGCCCCAGCAAATCATTTTTATGTTGGAAGCTGGTGGACAGCTGCTTCCTTTAATTCAAACAGAAGTGGACATGGTGACCTGACCATTTATTATTTCACAGATCATTCAGGTGTTTGCAGCAGCCACTGCCAAATGGACTTAAAAACAAGGCTGGTGCTCACTGTCAGAATGTGTCTATAACTGAGGATCCATTCCACTCATATAAAATGCATGCAATGTTAAAGTCCACAGGCCCTGACACGTTCAGTTGACAGAGACTTCCTGCTACTTGATGTAAAATTTCTCTACCTGGTCACCTAGATGCAATTAACCGCTCCTGTATTGGAGTCTGGTCTGTTAACCCCTTTTTGTCTTCACATCCTAATTTGAGGGAATCAACAGTAGCATACAGCTGACATTCAGTTGTTGCTGCTTTGTTATATTGGTAGCGTCTCATACATTATTTGGTTTTGCTAATTTAGTGAACGTTGCTCTAGCTTAACTTAAGCCCATTAATTTTGATGGTTCAACTGTGAGTAGAATTTAGATGGAGATTTGGTTTCTGTGCTGGGCAGGGAAGAAGGGGTTTCTCCTTCCCTCACTAGGGATGGATAAATCTGTCAGTTTTGGTTTCTCCCAATTTTTCATTTTTCCACTATTCAGTTCTTCACATTTCCACATCATGATGCAATTTTTAAACAATTATCCTGAAAATTAATCAGCTTTTTAGTGAACGCTTCTTTCAATATTCACTTTTTTAATGAAATGGTTCCTAATGCACATATTTTTGCCAGCATTTCCCTCTAATATACTACATTTTTAATGTTATTTTTCATTGTTGTTATATGTGCTTTTATGCAGTTTCCTTTAATCCGTGCATTTTTGTAAACATATGGTTGGAGAACTGCATTGAAAAATTCAAAAAGGTGTGAATTTTGAAGGAAAGATGCATTCCTGTTCACATATTGTTTGGGGACGTGCAAATTAGGTAGATCTCCATAGAAATGTGAACCAAACCTAATTTCTCTCCCAACCAGCATATAAGAGCAGTGGAGTAGCAGAGGATGGACAGAATATTCCATCGCTCTTCCAACCAACCACTCAACTCACCTAAATGAAATTCAGCCGAGTGGTTTAAAATAAGACCGACTCCTTATAGGCATCTTAACAGGCTGAATAAAGCAGTATTGCAAATAAAAAAATCATAATTCAAACCTATGCTGAGTGATCAATGCAAGCTTTCGTCATAGCTAAGAATAACTGAAGATAAAATGCTTATGCATTAACAGAACATGGGGTTTATAGCACTAAATATCAGGAAGTCTCTCTGTATAGTACAGTGGTACCTCTGGATGCGAAAGGGATCCATTCTGGAGCCCTGTTCGCATCCTGAGCAGAACGCAACCCGCGTCTGCACGGGTTGCGATTTGCCGCTTCTGCGCATGCGCGTGACATCATTTTGAACGTATGCGCGAGCTGCGAAACCTGGAAGTAACCCGTTCCATTACTTCCGGGTCGCTGCAGAACGCAACCTGAAAACGCTCAACCTGAAGCTACTTTAACCCAAGGTATGACTGTATATGCATTCACAAAATGCTGGGAATGACTTTGCCTGCAGGTTTGCCAGAACCTTTAACGTCTTTGAGTCCCTACACCTCTGTAATAAACCTCTTGAGATCTACAGCAGACAATCTACAGCAGACATGACCTTTTGAACCCATGGGAGGTGTGACTTTTTAATCTGCCTATGCTAACTTCCACCTGCGTTGCGCCAGACTGAGTTGGTTGTGTACATGTCATTGCTGATACCATCCTCTGAATTTGGTGGAAGTCAGATTTGGGTGCTAGGCTGCAGCCGTAGCTTTTCCAAGTGGTTGCAATCTGGTGTCAAAACTGAATCTGTGCTCTTAAGCATGCAATGAGCATGCGTATGATGACCAGCTTAACCTATGGCAGCATGAGTGAAAGCGAGGGCTGGCTAACAAAACAAAACAAAAAAACCACAGCTGTTGCAGGAAAGCACGATCAAATTAATATGGATCAGGCAATGCCTATTGAAGTAAGGTGGTTTTTTTTGCATTGCACAGAACTCAGGCTGCAGCTGGAAGTCTGGATTCTTTAACTGTGGTCTGCTTACTCTACTGTTATGGTGAATTCAAAATAACACTCCATCCATGTTGAATCTTGTGTATATTTCTTTTAGCTCATCACAACAATCACCCTTAAATCCTCAGAAAATGATCTTTAAAACTTTGGGAGCCAGTATGGTGTCCTGGAGAGTGCTGGACCGGAATTGGGGTGACCCAGGATCAAATCCATACCCACAAAGCTGGGTGACATTAATCCTATCACTGTAGCTTTACTTCATAAAGTTGCTGTGGAAATTAAAAAGGAGAGGGAAAAGAATCATGCATACTACCTTGACCTCCTTGAAGGAAAGATCATTACCAGCTTGTCATTATAAGAACTAGTGTGTAACTTAAAAATAAGTGCCTGGGTTTGCTTGTTTCCTCTTCCCTCCTCATCCTTTTTCCTTTTGTGTGGTGTCTTTTAGATTGTAAAACTTGTAAGCAGTAACTATTTTATTTTCATTGATCTTATGTTAAGGTCACTACTCTGGGTGCTCTGTAGTTGAAGCGTTTCTATACTCAAGCCTGGAAATAAAGAAAAGTGTGCATCTGTGGGGAAAACATGCAGGAGTCAATTCTGAAATACCTAGAGTTTTTTTCTGCACTTTCCCTTAAGAGATATTCTATGTTAGGGGTAGCCTGGCCAGGCGTCAGAGGCTTAGTTTCTCAGGCCCTCAAGTTTCATGACCCAATGAACCAACTGCTCATTTGGGTGTGTTGAATTTTTCAAATTCCCCAAATGAGGGGTGCTAAAAAGTTGTAGCATGACTTGGGAATTCAAAAGATAATTTGGTTAAATTAATGTAGTTTAGTTATATTAAAATTTGACTAAAATTGCATAGAAACCATTAAAAAGTATTGTGAAGTACTCACAGTTGTATTAGATTTTATTTCCTTAGTTCTTTAGCAGTACCTGACATTTTCAGAAGGTAAAACTAAAATTCTTTGTTTTCCGAAAGTAGCTTATGCGCTTCTTCATCAAACCTAGACTTTCCAAGCTAAATGCTGTCCAGCTACAAAAATAATATCAGATTTGAATTCCTCACACCCCAAACCGTATTTTTAAGACCAGTTTCAATCCATCTGATAAAAGGGATCTTCACCTAGATTATGGTCTGGTATGAGCTGCAAACACAGGATGGTGTCTGCAGGCATAGGAAAATATGCTGAGAGACTATTATGCATATGTTATATTTGAAACAAACCCCTCTAGCTCATGGATATATGACTGATCCATAGATGGGTGTTTATATTTTACCACCACTAAACATATTTTCCATGCATACAAATATGGGGATCGCCAACTCGGTTCTGCAAAATTCGATTTGGGAGGGTGGGGACTTTGACCCGAGGCCCTGAGAACACTTCATGCCCCTCCAGAAAGTATCCTTAACTGAAGATATCTACTGAAAGGTTTCTACCTTTATGCTGACAGAACTTACAAAGGAGTCTTAGAGCTATCTCACTAGATCCCTACAAAAAACCAGCTGCCTCCCATTCATGGACTAAACTTGCGTCAACTAAAATATCTCTTGGCGTTACTATGTTTAGCCACTTTGCAAAGCTTTGTGAGCAATGGATCTGGGTCAAGTCCTTCTGTTTAGTATCAATTTCAACTCTTCCCTTGGAAACCTCATTTCTCTCTCACGCATCAGACTGCACAAAGAACGAGGAAAGAGCCTCCTTTTCCGATTTGCACGTTAAAGGCTCTCCCAGGCCAGCCGTTTGAATCAGGACATTTCAGCCTGAAAACTTTTGCTCACACACATAATCGAAAAGAGAGAGAGGTTGTTTGCTTTTTTTTAGGAAGGCTAACTTCTGACTGAAGATGACACAATAACCTGAGGGGAAGCACGTTACAATGAAACACACCGCGTGGTTAAAGCGTTTAGAGACTGGGGTGGGGTGGGAATAAGGCTCCCCAGATCGACAATGTGTGACTCACATGCCCTCATCATGCACAACGCTGCCCATAATCTCTCAGCCTCTCTTAAGGCTCTCTCTCATCAGCAACAAGGAAAGAAGATGGTAACCTGCGTACTCACCATATGGCGCCTCCATCTTAGCACTTAGCTGTGCGATTACATTGACCATTTCTCATCAGTATAATTCTGGAGAAAACGTAGAAAGTGTAAAATTACAAGAAAAGCTGGGTGAAGGAGGCGGGCGGAAGGGTGAGCAAACCTGCCTCCTCTGTTATCTTATTGATTCGCTTAATCAGGCCTAATGTGGGTGGAGATGTTAAATAGTAACCAAGCTCATGTGGAAACCAACCTGCAAGGTGCCGTCTGCCACGGTAGCTATAGTAACTGCTTCCAAGCTTGAAACTCAAACATGACTTTATGGCACACTTTTGGGACTCCTACCGACACCTAGTTTCAGGCCTTGGGTGACCCCATTGCCGGGCGATTACTTTCCTTCTTATTCCTCCAAGACAAGAGGCTAAAGGGAAGTAGCCCCGGAGCCTGGCAAGGCAGAGAACTCTCCTTTGGGAGCTGTGAACTAGGTCAGTTTCACAGCTGCAGAGACACGGGGCATTTATTGCCCTGGCCAAGCAAACACAGAGAACAAAGGCTTTGTGTCTGTGCGTGCACGCGCTTGAGGCCCTGCACGCCATCATTGTTGATGTGCTGTGCGTACATACCCAGGTGTACATTTGATTATATGTAAAAGCTTAGAGGGTTGTGTATTAATTCATGGCAGCGTACATGTGCATTGTAAACAGAGAGATCTAGGTGTGTAGTAAATGTGTGTGGTTGAGGATAGGCATTTCTAAGGACCGGGGCTTATGTGTAGGTGTATGTACATTCTAAATATATTTATTTTAAAGTATATAGTGACCTTTACTCAGGCTCCCGAAGGAGTTTGCATCAAAACAGGATAATTTAAAAAATGCAAATGACACACATGTACCAAAAAATAATAATAATACCCCCCCCCCTTAGTAAACTATAGCAGCAGGGGAAATAATTTAAACGCGAGAATAAAAATGTCTTTGTGTGGTGCCGAAATGATAGCAATGTTGGTGCCAAGCAAATAAAACAAAAGTTAAATCCCAAAGGAATGCCAAATGGTTAGGGCAGTCACAACTGTGGATTAGCTAAGACCTGGGGATGCTTTTGCACTGACAGTTATACACAGATTTGCTGGTGGAACTCTGGATACACTCTTATTGTTGTATATTCCATACTTGACAAGTCGTGTTCCTGGTGTTAAATTATTCCCAGTGGAAGATTCAATTTCAGTATACTGCTTTTATTTTGGGGGGTGCAAGAAAAATACGGCATAGATGACAATTTGTTCTCTCCTACAGGGCAAACAAGTTTGGGTAAAGGTGGCCATTTAATGTGTCACCAAAAAAGAGGAAATGCATCACCCCCCCCAAAAAAAAATGTCAACGATTTACATAAAATTTGTATATGCTGATCTATAAAATGTGTATATAATAGTGGGGAGTGCCTGGCACTGCCTAGGAATGACTAGAAACCAAAACATATTGTGATTTTTAAATGGATATGGCAATTTATGAGTTTGAACCCATCATGCCTAGCATTGGGCAAAGTCATGCCGAAGTCATGTTTCGGTTCACCATCTTGATTCAAAATGGTGCCTGGCGTCCAAACATCAATGGAGACAGCTGTCCGCACCTCAGGAACCCTTCTGCTGAGTTTGACGACAATATCTCTGGAGGCAGCCGAACCTACACCAAAGTCATGTTTCAGTTTGCCATCTTGATTCAAAATGGTACCCGACATCCAAATGTCAACAATGACTGCCACCCACAACTCATGCCGAGTTTGGCGGCGATATCTTGTGAGGTGACAAAACTTTGCGAGAACACACAGGCCAACAGGCGGACCTCTTACCAAAATACCACTTCCAGAATTTGGAAATCATTACTACAAATCAAATATAAGTGCTATATATCTTGTGAAAGTTGGGAAGTCTGTAACACATGCGCTGTATCCCTCCCCTCTGCCTCTGACCCTCCACCTGCATCCAGTTCCTGTTGGGTTCCCTACAAGGGAATGTAGCCCTTTTGCTGAAAATGGTCCCCCTACGACATTTTTCATGGTGTGCCCTCCCTGGTATCAGTACAGGTTATGGGTGGTCTTTAAATGTTTTTAATAATAAACAAGCACATATATCAATTACTGCTGAGATGGAACCACAATTGTGAGGCCTGAGGAGATTATGATGATGTGTCCTCAGCTGTTGCTGTTGGTTATGGACTACTTGTGACATCACAAAAGCCTGAGTGGATATAAAGGTGGGCCTGTTCCTCTACCCTAGCAGAACACAGCAAACAACAGCTGTGACCTTCAGCACTGCCTGGTCTTCTTCCACTTGAAGAACAAGAAGTGGCAGATGGACAGAGGCAGTGGAATGCTATGGAGTGACAGTAAGGCAAGCTTACGTGCTGAGCAGGATCGTAGCTTGAAGATGGCTGATACCCACAATTGGAAGCTGGCTTGTGTCTAGTAATGGACCTAGCAGAAGCTGGCAAATGTTGGTAGGTAGAAGCCGGTGGAGTTCACATTAGTGAACCAGCGGGTGCCACAAGGTTGAAGCAGGCTGACATTGTGGATGTAAGCTGGTTGACATTCATCTTTTGAAGCTGGTTGACAAGAAACCGATGGATATCTGTGGGGCGTAAATGTGAATGGAGAGTGAAAGATGAGTGAATATGTCCGTTGGCATTCTTCATGGATGTTGGCAGATGTCTGCTTGTGTATATGAATGGGAGGTTTCAAACGTGGTTCAGGCGAATGTAGGGGGGAAGTGGTGCACATTGATACATGGGGCACATTGATACGCTAATGTCAGGGAACTGACATCGGAGCTCGAGGCGGAGGGAAGGCTCTCAAATGATGCTGGAGAAGGGCCCAGCAGGGAGAGAGGCAGCTCCGCAGATGGGGAAGCAAATCAGCGCTACACCAGGGATAAGGAGGGGCTGATGGGGGAATCGGCGAGAGGGCTCCAGGACTCTTCACTGGACACCAGCGGGGAGAGCACTGGTCCCCCGCTACCCATGCCCACCCTGCGCAGAAGACTTCCGCGCAGAGAGAGTAGGAGGAGACTGGGTGTCAAACAACTTTTATGTTGGAAAAGATTTAAGAAACGCCCACTGACGGATTCTGCTAGCGACTGAGGCAGCCACGAAGTGAAGGGCTGCCCAGACTGAAAGGTTTACCAGGGCAACAAAGCCTGGAGAGGCGGCAACTTACGCACGAGCAACCCATACTCATTATAGCTAACAATATTTCAATATCGAGATTTCTTTTAAAATAATTTTTATGAAGTACAAATTAGAAAACATACCTATTTACAACAAAAGAAAATACAAAAGAAAAAGAAAATACATATAACCAAGGAAAAAAATTAGAGAATACTTTGTCTCTTTTCATATTTACAGTTATTTATACCTCTATAAAATGCTATCCACAACAAAGGAGTGAAATGAAAGATAAGATATCAGGAAAAAGAAAAAAAAGAACAAAGAAAAAATAAAGAAGTAAAAGAAAAAGATCATAGGTGAAAACTTTTAAAAGTAGATAAGTATTCACTATACATAGCCGTTTCCTATCTATATTTATATTCAATTGTATAATTTCATCTCGTCCTTATCTACCTTAAATAAAGTGTTGTTGTTTTTTTAAAAAATGTTATCCGTGTCGCGACATCCCTAAAACGTGTCTATACATGTGTGAGTACAACAGTTGCGACCGCGACGCCCGCCAGTTAGCTGTTGGGGTTTGACAAGAGTAGGTGTGTTTTTAGCACGGGCAACTAAAAAATTACGTGAAATGTAAAAGTGTTCCAAAGCTGTTTTACGTTGTTTAGTTAAGATTTAAAAATACCAAAGGTAAGTTATTCCACTCTGTAGTCAGGATTACACGTGATTTTTAAATAAATTCAGTGGTTTTATTAATAATTGTTAGTTTTTTTGAAAATGTCCATTGGGGCACTTTGATACACTAAGACACGAGGCACGTTGATACATATAAAAGTGCCCCGCTAGTATACACTAGTGCCCCAATATACAAGTTTGCATGAAATCTCTAAACCCATTTAATTTGAAAAGAAAAAAACTGTTGTTTACTATGTGGCCAAAGTCATTTCTAAATATAATATGACCGATTATCAAATGTCATATCTCAGGAAAAAAACAGGATTTTGTATGTTTGTTTTCCCCATTGTAGAAGATAAGGCAAACATTGATTTCAAGGATGTTGTTTTGCCGTTGCCAAAACCAAATTTCCCAAAGGGCAAATCTCGAACATCTCTTTATACTTTTTCTATTGACTTAAGTGGATATAATACAGTGGCGCCCCGCAAGACGAATGCCTCGCAAGACGAAAAACTCGCTAGACGAAAGGGTTTTGCGTTTTTTGAGCTGCTTCGCAAGACGAAAAACGAAAACGTCTTGCAAGTTTGTTTCCTTTTTCTTAACACCGTTAATACAGTTGCGACTTGACTTCGAGGAGCAACTCATAGAACGCGGTGTGGTAGTCTTTTTTGAGGTTTTTGAAGACTTTGGTGATTTTTGAAGCTTTTCCAAAACTTCTTTTGCAGCCATTTGGTAAGTTAAACTTTTAAAACTTTTTGGGGGGTTTTTGGATTTTGGGTTGGGGTGTTTGGAATTCAAGGACTTGATGTTGGGGAGGGGTTTGCAAGAATCTGGAAGCTCGTGTTTTTTCCCCTGCATTTTTATGATTTTCTGTGACCATTGGGCCACTCTGCTGTTTTTTTAAAAAAATTCTGGATTTGAATTTCTGTGTGGTGGGTGGCTGGGGGAACAGTTGAGGAGGGGTTTGCAAGAATCTGGAAGCTTGTGTGGTTTTTTCTGCATTTTTATGATTTTCTGTGACCATTGGGCCACTCTGCTGTTTTTTAAAAAAATTCTGGATTTGAATTTCTGTGTGGTGGGTGGCTGGGGGAACAGTTGAGGAGGGGTTTGCAAGAATCTGGAAGCTTGTGTGGTTTTTTTCTGCATTTTTATGATTTTCTGTGACCATTGGGCCACTCTGCTGATTTTTAAAAAATTCTGGATTTGAATTTCTGTGTGGTGGGTGGCTGGGGGAACAGTTGAGGAGGGGGTCTTCAGCAAGAAGCAAAGAGTGGAAGAGGAACCTTCTTCGAGTTGTCCCCCAGAGTCTTAGAAAATGTACTGTACACTTTGTTGATTTTTAAATGTTTTTCTGTCATGTTTAGAAACTTAATTTATTGTTCCTTCAATTTTTGAAATGCTCTTTACAGTATGTGTGACTTTAAAGAGCACTTAATAAACTCTTGTTGTACCAAATTTGGCTTTGTTTGGACTTTTTTTGACCATAGGAACGCATTAATTGCATTTCAATGCATTCCTATGGGATTTCGTGCTTCGCAAGACGAAAAATTCGCTAGACAAAAAAACTCGCAGAACGAATTAATTTCGTCTTGCGAGGCACCACTGTAATGTGCAACAGAAACTAAAGGTTAAGTAATTATCTTATTTTTTTATAAGCATTTTGTTTAAATTACTATTTTTTGACTACCTAATGTGAGTTCTTATACTTTTTAAGTTTTTCCAAAGTTTTTTTAAAAAATGGATAGGTGTTTGAGGAAAGATTAACATAAGTTTTAATGTTTTGTTAAGAAAACCTGCCATAAAGTCTATGATACGTGTGAAGCACTGTTAGTTTTGATACGTAATTTAGATTTTAAACAACAAATTGTAAGGCTGATTATGATCTCTCACAATAAAAATTGCTTTTTCGTTAAATTTTTGCAAATAATTACCATTCTCATACAATTTACGCTTTGTATCAAAGTGCCCCGTAGGTGGGGCAGAATGATGCAAAACCCATTTTTTACTGAAGTTCATTATATTCTCATTATCTTCTAACTTTAATGGTTCTTTGGATTGCTATTATAATATTGATTAGTTATGCCATGCATCAAGCCAAAAATTTTATTATTTGACTCATTTTTGTTACATAAAATATGAGGTTGAATTTTTCTGCATCAATCTGGCCCACTTCCCCCTATGTGAATGTGATGTGTGAAAGGAAACCGGTGGATATTTTTGAATAGATGACACCTGTGGAAGTTGGCAGGCTGAAGTTAGTGGCTGAAGTTGCCAGGAAGAAGCTGGTGGAGGTAACTGGGTGATGCTGTCAGATACCCCTCATTTTGTGTTTGGAGATGTCTGAAGGCAGTGAAGCTTTCTCAAGACCACACTTAAAAACAATGAAGAGAACCACAGGGCTCTCTGAAGTGAGAGAGGCTTTCCTTCTTCTAAGTACAGACCTGTAGTGTCCATTCTTCAAGAAGAGATAATGGAAGGTCAAATATATGAGTTTATGGGGTGACACCCCCCCTCCCCATTAGTACACATGAAGCATGGGCTGTAAATATTGTTAATAATAAACTAACTGCTGAGGTGCCCCCACAATTGTCAGGCCTAGGGAGGCTGCGCTGATGCCTCCCTAGCTGTTGCCATTAGCAACAGACTGCCTCTGATGTCACAAAAGGACATGGCAGTTGAGGAGAAAGGCAGTTATTAGGCAAAGCAGGGAGGATGGCAAGAGCCCCAGTAGAAGGGAAATCAGGGTTGGCTCCTTCCTGTCTACTTGAGTTGCCAACTTTTTGCTCTCTCTGGACTCCTGTGCCTGTCACACCTAAGGTAAAGGTAAAGGGACCCCTGACCATTAGGTCCAGTCGTGACCAACTCTGGGGTTGCGGCGCTCATCTCGCTTTACTGGCCGAGGGAGCCGGCGTACAGCTTCCAGGTCATGTGGCCAGCATGACTAAGCCACTTCTGGCAAACCAGAGCAGCGCACAGAAACGCCGTTTACCTTCCCGCCGGAGCGGTACCTATTTATCTACTTGCACTTTGATGTGCTTTCGAACTACTAGGTTGGCAGGAGCAGGGACCAAGCAACGGGAGCCCACCCCGTCACGGGGATTCGAACCGCCAACCTTCTGATCAGCAAGTCCTAGGCTCTGTGGTTTAACCCACAGTGCCACCTGCATCCCTTGCCTGTCACACCTACATAGCTGTAAAAAATCAAACAAACCCTAATTTTTGTCACCTATGCCAAATAAACATCTTAGGACCCCATGGGTTTTAAAAGTTATATTTTAGTTGAAAGAAGCCCGCTGGGTCTTGTAAGGTGTTCGCTTCAGGATCAATGTGAACTTTTATTTATGTATTTAATATAATCTAATACAGATCTGGTTTATAGAGCCAAAAAGTGTTCACACACACACACACACACCGACAATTGGTTCCATGGTCAAACTGCTCTCAACATTAGTAAGTTTCTCCTAATGTTGAACCCAAATCTACCCTCCTGTAACTAAAGCCCATTAGGTCTAGTCCCACTTTTTGTGTTGGATCTTGTCTATGCAACAGTTCTTTGGGGATTTAAAGAATGCAATTAAGTCCACCACTCCACATAGGACTTACTTTTTAAATACCCCTGACTATCATCGTTGCCATCCTCTGAACGCTTTCCATTTTGTCAATATCATTTTTGAAATACATTGCCCAGAACTGAATGAGAGTATCAGAACAAGTCTGACCAGTGCAGACTGAATTAGAACTATTATTTCTCCTGACTTGGAAACCATGGCTCCATTAGCAAAGCCTGCAATCCATTAGCCTTTTCCTTGCAGCCTCATTGCGCTGCTGACTCATGTTCAGCTTGTGATCATATGTCTTATGAATGAAGGTACCTGCTTTCAGCTAGTGTATAGGATTATTGAGCTACATTTTCAAATAAAGAAGAAATACGCAAGTGGTTTGGGAACCAAAGAATTTATTGCAGTCTTGTGAAGAAGAAGAAGAAGAAGAAGAAGAAGAAGAAGAAGAAGAAGAAGAAGAAGAAGAAGAAGACGACTACTTATGGAAGGATGAATGGGATGTTTACAGTAGAGATTTGAACATACAGAGAGATTTGAGCTCCCTGTTTTCTTAACCATCCCCACAAAGTGGGCCCAGAGTTATGCCAGCCCCATAGCTTTTATAGTAATGCCACCCCACTGATTGCTTTATGAGTTGTTTAACAGAGTAACCAAAGCAAAAGGTTTTAGTCAACATTTGCTAAAGAAACTTTGACTATAGTAAATGCTTTGGGAGAACGCAGTAATCAAATTTAACAATTATGATGATTACATAGACAGGGAAGATTTAATCAGGTATGAAAATATGCTAACAGTAGGAGGATTAAATTATGAGAGCATCACAATTGCTTTAGAACTAGTCAGGAAACTGGATGAGGGACGCTGTGAAAATGGTTCATGTGGTGCCTAAATCAGGGTGGAGGACCTGTGGCCCTCCTGATGTTGGACTAGTATTCCTGACCATTGGCCATTTTGGCCGGGGCTGATGGGAGTTTGATAACATGGAAGGGTGTGTGTGTGCTACAGGGCCTAGATAGTGGTGAGTTGGGGTCAAAAACCACCTATTTTACCCAGTGTTAGAAACTGAGATATGAAAGCTAGGAGCTAAATGGCACCTTAAACCTAGGTTATGGGTGCAACAAGGGAATGTCTAGGCGCGCTTTTTTATAACGAGAATACAAAGCCGAAAATGAATGAACTGCAGCTAAAATATTATGTCCATTTTTCACATGGTCTAGTCCTCATCTGAAGACTGCAAAAAGAAAAGAAAGGAAGATAAAAGCCATACTTCCAGTCTTCTGAGAGTGTCTGGAAGTGGGGAGGCAGAAAAAGATCCTCCTTTCATTCCACTCTGCAGTTTTAATCTGAAATCTTAGGCGCAGTACCGTGCACTAATGAAATTCCCTGTCGCAAAATGTGCCTAGAACAGTGGGAGTTTCCAACACTGCTTTTACCTTGAAAATGTGCTGATTTGTTTTCTAGCTGCAAACTGAGAGAAGCAGCACCAGAGCAATTAGCAATTTGTTTTGACATAAACAAAAACTGAGAAGCCTTAAAATGGGCTTCCATGTGGTGGCTAAAATGTAAAAAATAATAATGGTAAGAACACACAAATACAGCAAAGTTTAAGAACCTCTTCCCTATAGAAAACTATTGCAAATGCAGGCCCTTTATATATATATATAGATATACCTGTATATAGTCATGAGAAGAAATATACTTGAAACTTCTATGGGAGAGGTTCCAAATAAAAGGGAAAGAGCAGCAGCCAAAGACTTCATGTGCATAAATAATCAACTTATTTTACAATTTGCTGTACACGGTGCCACGCTTCTGCGGTTCTGTCATTTCCAGAGGATCTGTGCTGGCACCCAGAGCCCATATGCCTGGTTCAGAACCAGCTCACTTTATTGGATTTGAGTCCTGAGTAACACATGTTGTTGCTGCAGGTTCCTCCGTAACTAGGTGGGCAGGCTGAGCAAGGTCTCCCCATTTTGTAAGGTGCTTCTCCTACCCAGTTTCCCCTAGAAAGATAATAAGAGGCATGAGACATGTTTGTTTCATTGCTGGACACTTGGATGTCACACGTCACTCTTAGCACACCCTCCCAAAGGGCTGCCTACCCACCATACACCCGGCTATCTATTATGTTCTTATGCTTGTTTCATTATTTAGTTGAATAAGAGTTACCTGATCTCTGAGGAGTCCACCTGCAGCTCATAAGAAGAGCCCTAATAGATCAGACCAAAAGTTCTCCTCGTCCAGCATTCTGTTCCTACAGTGGCCAACCAGATGCCTCTAGGGACCCAAGCACCAAAGTGTTGAGGTTCTAGCCCTCTTCCTTTGTTGATGCCCACATTCACAGAGGTAAACTGCCTCTGATTTTGGAGGTAGCATATAGCCATCATAACTAGTAGCCACCACTGATAGACCTCACTCAACATTAATTTGTCCTATCTCCTTTTAAAGCCCTCTAACACAGTTAATACGGTAAGTTCCATAAATGAATTATGTTTCTGCATGAATCACTGATCTGCGCATGCCTAGAAGAGCAAGCCTAGACTAATAACAGAAGCAACAGAGAGTCACGTCTGGGGGTAACTGAACCTGCTGCATTCAGGTAGGTAGCCGTGTTGGCCTGACGCAGTCGAAATAAATAAATAAATAAATAACTTGTCCAGAAGCACCTTAGAGACCAACTAAGTTTGTTCTGGGTATAAGCTTTCGTGTGCACACACACTTCTTCAGATACAGTCATACCTCGTGTTGCACGTTTTTGGGTTGTGCACCTTGCCAAACCCGGAAGTACTGGAACGGGTTACTTCCGGGTCTCAGCACTTGCGCAGAAGCACCGAATCACAACCCGTGCATGCTCAGACATCGCGCTGCGGGTTGCGAACATGCCTCCCGCACGGATCATGTTCGCAACCCGAGCGTCCACTGTACCAGAAGTCACCAGACCCTTATATATAGTGGGAGGGTGAGGTTTTTCTCAGAAGGGTAGTAGGAGATGGGTGATGGACTCAATGGGTATGGTAAACCTGTTGATGACTGTTAACAACCACAATTAGTCCTACAGGAAAAAGCAAGGGATAGTATGCAGATGACCAAGATCAGGGGTCGGTAAGGTTTACCTCGCCTGGGCCGGTTCACTCCATCTGAGATCCCTCTGTGGGCCGGATCGTGAGTGTGCGCGGCCACAATTTACGGCACCTCAGCTTGCGCAGACATAATTTCCGGCATCTGAGCATGCACAGATGTGATTTCCAGCACCGCAGAAGTGAGTCCCCATGCCTTGCTGCACTGGTTTGACGCAGCGCGCAGGGACTCGTCGAGTGGGCGGCTCAGTTCGGGGGATGCTCGGGGGCCAGTTAAACAACCCCCGTGGACCGCTTGTGGCCCATGGGCCTTAGGTTGCTTACCCCTGACCAAGATGAACCTGCTGCATGTCTGTATCAGGAACGGTGCAGACACACAGCAGCATTTACCCATGCGCAAGAGAGATTGACTTGAAGATAGCATAACAATAAATCAGGCAGAGATACTGTGATCAGCCAACTCTGGGGAAGGCAGCATTATCTAATTTCCTGTATCTGGTGCACAATTTGGAAATTTGGGCTTTAGGGTAAATTAATGTGCACGGTCATCTACCCAGCTATACCAAAGAACATACTATGTATCCCTCCTTGTATTGAAAGAATGCCTCAATGTCCTTTGGGAGGACATATTTTTTCAAAGAGGAGTGGCAAGGGGAGCGGCGATTCACCCTTTCTCCTCTGGCCAGCTCTTCCTATCCAATATTGCACCTCACGAATTGCTTCTACACATACCTCCTACCCCACCATTGGAACTCTCATGTGAAGTTTCAGTTTCTCTATACCAGAGACGGGGAGATTGTAGCCCTCCAGTTGTTGCTGGACTACAACTCCCATCATCTGTGACCAATGACCATGAGGGCTGGAGCTGTTGAGAGCTGGAGTCCAACAGCACCTGGAGAGCAGCGCATTTGCCAGCCCTGCACTAGACAGTTCATCAGAAAATGTCCCGCAGTCCACCAGTGGACTTTCTGTACTAGGTAGCTTTCCAGCTTTCTGCCTCTACTCTGCCCCAAAGTTGCTGTGTTTCCCAGGATGAACCCCCTGCCCCAGTTTACTTACTTGATGGCATAATTGCACACTAAGTAGATTGCTCGGGGCCACGTGCTGCCCCACACATTGATGTTGGTGCACATATGGAGGGCACAGCCAATTCGGTTGCTAGAAGCCCACACCATCTGTTTGAGACACAATAAACCAGTTATTATAAGAAAATGGCAAACCTGAAACCAGAATATTTGTCCTTGTTAGGGCACATCCATGACTATGGGATTTTGCCTTAAGCATATGAAGGCATGGGACGCGGGTGGCACTGTGGGTTAAACCAGAGAGCCTAGGACTTGCCGATCAGAAGGTCGGCGGTTCGTCGGTGGTTCAAATCCCCGCGACGGGGTGAGCTCCCGTTGCTCGGTCCCTGCTCCTGCCAACCTAGCAGTTGGAAAGCACGTCAAAGTGCAAGTAGATAAATAGGTACCTCTCCAGCGGGAAGGTAAACAGCATTTCCGTGCGCTGCTCTGGTTCGCCAGAAGTGGCTTAGTCATGCTGGCCACATGACCCGGAAACTCCCTCGGCCAGTAAAGCGAGATGAGCGCCGCAACCCCAGAGTTGGCCATGACTGGACCTAATGGTCAGGGGTCCCTTTACCTTTATATGAAGGCATGGTCTATCAATGGCTAAAAAATTTAAGTGTCAGAGCTGCATGTGTGTCGCTCAGGCTTCCCTAGCCTGGTGCCTTCCATATGTTTTAGACTACAGCTCCCATAAGCTCCATGCAAAACATCTGGAGGATGCAAAGGCTTGTGTAGCTGGACAGCATTAATGCAGACTGCATTAAGAGAGAAAGAGTTTAAGACCACCCCAAACCAGGGTCCCAAGGGTCCCCTGCATCTTCAGGTTTCTTTTTGAAAGCCACCCACAAAATTGCTAATTGCATGAATGTAGATATAAAGCTGTCTTATACTGAATCAAAACATCCGTCCATCCACCTAAGTATTGTCCACACTGACAGCAGATCTCTAGGGTTTCAGACAGGGAATCCTTCCCAGCCCCAAAGCAGATGTGCTACCCCCGAGCAGCTGAATATAATTCTTAATTTTTTAAGAAGCAGGTGTTCATTTTTTCCTTCTTCCTCTTCTTTCTAGTCTGCCTCCTGTCTCTTCACTGCCATTTCTCCAGACACAACACACTGGAAATGAGACAGATGAACCTTCAGGAAAATGGAGAAAAAGGTGTCTAGGAACCAGACAGACACCCAGACAAATATGTGGGGCTGGGTATTTCCAGAGACAAGAGCAGAACATTCTGGAGATGTGAGGAACACTGTTCATTAAGGGTTGGAAATGCTTTGCCGCAGACCAGGTGGGAGAAGACGGTTTTCCACCTTGGCTGACCACTCATACTTGGGGATGAGCAAATGAAGGGGATGTATTCACCGAGGTGCCAGATGTTTCAGAAACATCTTGTCACCACAGAGATGACTCACTGCGAAGGAGGCAGGAAAGGGCTTTCCCTTTCCTTGAGGTGCTGTTTGTTCAACATCAGCTACTCTGTGAGAAGGATCAGGAGAATCAGGCAGGCAGGCAAAGGAGATCTCAGAGCCCCAGGTGGACCATTCTCTCCATCACCCAGGACCAACTAATATCAAGGGCCCCTCCAGACTGAAGGAAGTTTTCCTTCCTGGGTGTATTCTGCAACATGTCACTGATGCAATAAAAAGTACATTTAGTGGTGGATTTACATATACTGGACTGTCTACAGATCATTCTGCTTTAGCAGTAGTTCTGTAGCATTTTTTCCAATGTTATCACATTACTGTGATCTGGAGGAGCACTCATGTACACGGGCAGACCTACAGTTGGGTGTCTCCTCTGCAACCAGCAAAAGGTCTAGGTAACCACTGTTATCTTCTTCAGTGGGGTGGTTCAGTTGTGACTGATTGTCACAATTTTAAATATATATATATACATTTCAGATTTTGAATAAAATTGCTGTACTGGGTTATTTCACATGTCAAAGTCAGTGGTGTGAATAAAAACTTCCTATGCCTTATAGTTTTCAAGTTATGGGATGGAAATCTCCAGCATGGAAGCGCTGAACTATCAAGAAGTTCAGTTCTATCACTTGCAACCTGTCTCAAGTTAACAAGTTTTTATGTTACTGTATGTTAATTAACTTTTAAGAGGCCAGGATGTTTGTGACATCATCGCCACTGGTTTGTGAATGGTCACTGTAATTACTTTATATCCATTTAAGCTTTAACACAATCGCCACAGTCTGAATTCTTGCATTACGTTTCTCTCACTGCTAACATTTTCATGTTTATATACCTGCAAACTTAGGATGGAAGTCCAGGCATCTGATGAAGTAAATTCCAGACCATGAAAACTTATGCTATAACAAATCTGTTTGGTTACAGTTTGCCCAGACTATATTTTGCCCTTTGCGGAAAGGATTCAGGCACAGGCCAGAAATTTAGGTTTGCACAATTGAAGAGGATTAATTTGCACTGTAGCCTCAGTGGAACAGATCCAGGGAAAAGCACTGGAAAGTGTGAGGTGAAAAAATGATCAATAGACTATATGCAACCTGGGATGAATTCTCAGTCAGGACCAGACATAGTCTAACCTCCGCATAAACTTTGTGCAAGCAAACCAGGATAAATGCTCAATAAAACCCCAAGAAAGCCCTATATGGTGCAAATATATTCATTGTCATTTTTGTTTTTTGTTTTTGTTTAAAAAACAACAACATAAAAAACCTCACAGATACTTGTGGTTTGTTAGGAAATGACAGAGGCCATGAGATGTTAAGAAGGATGCTCCCGAGTCATGAAGAGAAGCTGTTTGTCTAAGTAACAGATCCTCATCATAGTGACTTAAAACATTCCATGTCCCTGTGTGGACGATTTCTTTTTCTTCTTCCAGCCATCTAGCTGAGCTGGAACTGAAAACCTTTCCTGTGCTGGATGGGACAATGGAAAAAACAGGCAATGCTTTCAGAGAAGAAGCTGAGGTTTAGACCGTACATTTGGATTGTTTGCAGACAGTGGTGAGTGGCAATATAAAGGACCAGGGTTGGCAACGATGGAGGTAGAAATACTTCTCTTTAGTATGAACCAGCAGCCCTAGAACAGGGTTGGCAAACCTGCGACTCAGCTTCAACTCCCACCAGCCCCATGAAGTGTCTAGGGATTGTGGGAGTTGTGGTTTAACACCATCTGGAGGGCCAAAGGTTCACCACACCTGCCCTAGAGCATGGCTGAAGATGATCTCTTGGGAAGCTTCCTTGTTCCTGAACCTCTGCCCCATCCCTCTTGCTGAGATATGCACCATTATGTTGGTGCAGCATCACAGTTAAAAGCAGGGACTCTTGTCCCCGGTCCACATCAAATCTCTCCCACCAACTCTCTTGGTCTGCCTTAGGCAAAACGTTATCCTTCGTTCTCAGCTCACAAACCTTCAGCACTGGGGGAGGTGGAGATTGTTGGCCTCATTTAGGTTTGTTGTAGTGATTCTTGAAACAAGGGATGTGAAGCATCTAAGGAAAGTGCCATTAAAAACAAATATGATTTGTTACCTGAGCAACAACCACTGTTTCTTTGTTTCTTACAGGAATATACTGTACCTGGGTATAATGGCTGCAGACAGGGCCACTGCATTTGGAAGGGAAGGAGTAATGGTGCTTCTCATAATACCAAGATTTCACAAGGTCCAAAGCTGAACGGTACCTATAGAGGGTCACACACAACGCAAATGTGAAGAAACCTGCCTATCCAAGCACAGATGTCCCAGGTCCAAACTATGTGATGCAGGAAGGTGAGGAGATGCCTCCAACCATCAAAGCTTCCCACCTCTTCCTGGTAAGCACAGAGTTGAAAAGGATGCATGACTGACCTGCTGGGAGCCTGAAGGGCTTCTCTCCACCTGGCTTGGGGCAGGGCCTGACAGGCTCCATAAAGGAGTGCTTCTACTGCTGCTGGGCAGAGAGGGCTCCATTTTTGTTTTTAAATTGCTTTTACAGTGGTACCTCGGGTTACATATGCTTCAGGTTACATATGCTTCAGGTTACATACGCTTCAGGTTACAGAAGAAGAAGAAGAAGAAGAAGAGTTTGGATTTGATATCCCGCCTTTCACTCCCTTTAAGGAGTCTCAAAGCGGCTAACATTCTCCTTTCCCTTCCTCCCCCACAACAAACACTCTGTGAGGTGAGTGGGGCTGAGAGACTTCAGAGAAGTGTGACTAGCTCAAGGTCACCCAGCAGCTGCATGTGGAGGAGCGGAGACGCGAACCCGGTTCCCCAGATCACAAGACTACCGCTCTCAACCACTACACCACACTGGTTACAGACTCCGCTAACCCAGAAATAGTAACTCGGGTTAAGAACTTTGCTTCAGGATGAGAACAGAAATTGTGCTCCGGCGGCGCAGCAGCAGCAGGAGGCCCCATTAGTTAAAGTGGTGCTTCAGGTTAAGAACAGTTTCAGGTTAAGAACGGACCTCCGGAACGCATTACATACTTAACCTGAGGTACCACTGTATTTTTTCTATATGTCCTTTCAAATTGTGGTTGATTAATACTGTGTTCTTACTTTTAGATTTTATGATTTATGTGGAAATTGTTTTCCATTTGGTTGTGTACTTTTTTGATGTGTTTTATTTATTGTTTATGACTTTTGTTATGTTGGTAATCATGTAAATCTTGTCATGTTGCAAACCGCCTTGAGCATTGTTTTAACTATGGAAAGGCATCATACAAATAAAATGATGATGAATGAATGAAGAATGACAGAATCAAAGACGTGTAGAGTTGGAAGGGACCCCAAGTGTCATCTAGTCTAACCCCCGGCAATGCACATGTCAAACACGATGCCTTCTGAAGAAGTGTGCATGCACACGAAAGCTAATACCAAGAACAAACTTAGTTGGTCTCTAAGGAGCTACTGGACATTTTAGATAGCTAGATAGACAGATAGATAGATAGATAGATAGATAGATAGATAGACTGCGTCAGACCAGCACAACTACCTACCTGAATCTAGAACGATGTATTTGTGTTAGTGTCTCCCCCCTCATTGCAAGAGACAGCCACTGAAGTGGGGGGAAAGGGCAGACGAAACCTAGGCATTGATGTTATATGACATGTATTTATCAAAAACACAGGGGGACACACAACACACTGGTGTGTCAAGTCATCTCTGGTAACATGTACCTTGGACCTAAATGACTTTTTTTTTTTTACCATTGCTGTCAGAAAACAGCACTTCAATATGTATAATCAGTGTTAAGGAAAACTAGTGCAAAAAGGGTTTCCTAAAACTTGCCTTCCTTTACACACTCCCCATGCCTCCCTGAAATCCACTCTGGCAGGAGGAGAGGGGAGATCACCCTGTCAGGCAAGTAGAAATTATTTCACAGATGCAGCAACCTCCTTAGTGCTACTCTGAATTCCACCCATAATATTTGAGTGAGATGGAGGCAACACTGAGGTTGATAGCATGCTTGCTTCCTTTGCAGTACACATGCCAATTTTTTACATTGTGCGCTGTTTAAGGTAAAGGTAAAGGGACCCCTGACCATTAGGTCCAGTCGTGGCCGACTCTGGGGTTGCGGCGCTCGTCTCACTTTATTGGCCGACGGAGCCGGTGTAAAGCTTTCAGGTCATGTGGCCAGCATGACTAAGCCGCTTCTGGCGAACCAGAGCAGCACACGGAAACGCCGTTTACCTATTTATCTACTTGCATTTTGATGTGCTTTCGAATTGCTAGGTTGGCAGGAGCAGGGACCAAGCAACAGGAGCTCACCCCGTCGTGGGCATTCAAATCGCCAACCTTCTGATCGGCAAGTCCTAGGCTTTGTGGTTTAACCCACAGCGCCACTCGCGTCCGTTGTGCACTGTTTAGAAATCCCTTAAAACAAATATAGCCCACTTGATCCATGAAAAGAAGGGCAGGACAAAAGACCTGTTTAGAGGTATACTTGCAGTGGTGTTCATTTGTACAATCAGTGCAACATCTTTAATGCAACATCTATAGACCTAGCATTCCCAGAAGACACTGCTTACCTGCCCGAGTGAATGGCAAGGTTTTGACCAATGAATTTCATCAGTTGTGGAGGTCCATGGTCCCATATACACTGTTTTGCCCAGGCTTCTGCAGATCTGGCAAGCCTCTCATCCCACACCTAGTTGATATGAGGTGGGGGGGGGGGAGAGAAAGAACACACAACAGACAGTGAGTTACTGCTGCTCAAGGTAAAACAAAGAGCTCAGTCAATCTCTCAAACACTTAACAAGATATATGCCATACAAGCAAGGGAAATACCATAAGCATAAATGTTTTTCCTTGGTAGATACAGTGTCATAGGCTAGTAGATTCAGAAATAGCAAGTCAAACAGCCCAGCTTCATTTCAGACTAGGAAAGTGCCTGCCTAATGGTACTTCATCTGAAAATCTTTCAGCACTTGGAAATCTAGCATGTCAGTCTGACATGCCCAACTTTCTGCCTGATATGCTCCCTTTCCAAGCACAGGTAGTCTTCTCACATGGGGGAGCATTCAAACATGCTTAGCCTCTGCAAGTAGTGTTGTTTTAATTTATGCACTTTCGTAGAAGTTCAAGGTAATTTGCAACCAGACAATGAAAACGAGTCAAAATAGGGTTTAAAAGAATAAAAAAATAAAAATAAACATCCACGGCGAACTGTCTGAAGTCGTACAATGCTATTTGTGCACATGTCAGTTCTTAAGCGCTGCTTGAGTTGTCAGGTGGTCTGTTTAAATCAGCCCAATGAGGATATGGGAAAGGGGTCACGACTACAAGCTACACCCCCTGGCCATGCATGCCTGTGGCAGCAATACTGAGAAAGAGAGGCTATGCACAGATATATCCTGGACAGCAAGGGTTTAGTAATCTGGGGTTGCAGGAAATCGTAGACCCATTACTTTGGGGGAAGGAGGGTTCCAGCAGAGTCCCTATGCAGAGGCATACCTAGGAGTTGGCGAAACTGGCTCCAGAAATCTGTCTCCAGTTATCTGTGTAAAGCAGTGAGCTTAGACAAGTGAAAGGGGATGAGAGCCAGGAGAAATGGAAAGGCGGTGTGAAGGTAGATCACTACAGACCATGGAGTTGTGACGTATATATCTGTAATGACGTGCCACTGCTGCCACAGCAAGATCAAATGTGGGAGAAGCTTCCCGTCCTTCTGGTACTGTAGCACAAAGGGGTGCATTTTTCCCGTCCTTCCTTCTCTCCTTGCCCTCACTCCAGACACTTCGATTACTTGGGATGCATAAAAGGTAGTAATTTCTAATGTGGCTATTGCTGGCACAGCTCCTTGCCAAGGCACCTTAGAGATGCCTCTGCCCCTCTATCAGCGTCCTATGCCCCTTCTCATGCACTAATTAGATTCAAGCGTGCTAGAGTTACATGGAGTTTATTTTCATTTATTTATTTATTTTATTGCATTTATATAACACCTTTGTCTTCCAAGGATCCCAAGGTGTTGTACATGGCTCTCCTCCTCGCAACAACCCTGTGAGGTAGGTTAGGCTACGAGATGGTGACTGGCCCAAAGTCACCCAGTGAGCTTCATGGCTGAGTGGGGATTCGAACCCCGCTCTCCCAGCTCCTAGTCAAACATTCTAACCATTATGCCACACTGGGACCCTACCCTGTGAACCAGGCTCCCAAAAAGTGGTGATATGCAAGTAGCTAAAGAATGAGCCTAATGCGGAATTAGAGGGATGCGGGTGGCGCTGTGGGTTAAACCACAGAGCCTAGGACTCGCTGATCAGAAAGTCGGCGGTTCGAATCCCCGTTGACGGGGTGAGCTCCCGTTGCTCGGTCCCAGCTCCTGCCCACCCAGCAGTTCGAAAGCACGTCAAAGTGCAAGTAGATAAATAGGTACCGCTCCGGCAGGAAGGTAAACAGTGTTTCTGTGCGCTGCTCTGGTTCGCCAGAAGCAGCTTAGTCATGCTGGCCACATGACCTGGAAGCTGTACGCCGGCTCCCTCGGCTAGTAAAGCGAGATGAGCGCCGCAACCCCAGAGTCAGCCACGACTGGCCCCAATGGTCAGGGGTCCCTTTATCTTTTTTTAATGCGGAATTATCTAAAACACTGAAGATTTTTCCCTCAGGCAGTATTGCAATTTTGGGCCGGAACTGTTGCTAAGGGCATTGCCAAGGACACTCTGGGCTATCTGAAGACTCTGCTCTCTGCTGGCTGCCTCCTTCCCTCCCCCTCCTTTTTCCAGAGAAGAGCTTGAAACGGGCTTCATTGAAAGGTAACTTGCTCTTACTTCAGTAAGGACCTTGATATTTTGAAACTGTGGGCTTTTCATTTCATTTCTCCGTGTTTATAAGTCTCCACCCTGTAACTTTAAAAAAGAATGCCATTTGTGGGCTGCATTATTGAAACGCAGGAGGATGCTTTACTGTGCTCTGTAAAAACAACAACAGCTTTTTCTCTGAGTGTGTGTGCCTTGCTCTCATCTCTCAGCGAGCTGTACTCTCTGCAAAGAAACCTTTTGCTTTCTCTATCGTTGTCTTTAGGTGCTTGAACCTCAGAAAGACATAACCTCATCCTACATTCGCCGCTCAGCAGAACACCAAACAAAACACAATCAATAATCTAGTGTGCCGCTTTAAACAAATCCCTGTGGAAAAATTGCTCTGCTTGAGGTAAGTTCTTCGCAAATGCTTAGCTGCAAGGCAGTCCAACCACACTGCTTCTCTGACACTGTTGCTCCTTTCCTCCTCCTTCAAAGTATATGTGGTAGATTTTCAGAAATATGAATGACAAGGGAAAGGCCTTAGTTCATTGGTAGAGCATCTGATATGAATGCAGAAGGTCTGAAACACTGGAGATCCATTGCCAGTTGGGGTAGACAATACTGAGGTAGATGGACTAACTGTTTGACTCAGTATATAGCAGCTTCGTATGTTCCTGGAGCATTGAGGTGCCGGTGGATGTATAAGCATCAAAGGAACTAAACAGGTGCCATATTTACTTTGCATAACATCTCAGTGGTCATTGTTCCTTCCCACCCACCATCAGAAGCAAGCACAAAGGAAACTCACCATATATTCCATGTTAGACGCTGGTGGAGACACTTGTGCCCGCACTTGGTTGTGGTAGTCCAAAAGCGTGCTCATATCCCGGGGGGAAATATAACGTTTCCTGCGAGTCCTTGGTACGCCCAGGCCAGATGTATGGCCTGCCTCAGTGCTACCGGTTGGGTAAAGGACCTCAGTAGTACTGGGCAGCATGTAGGAGCTGGATTTCTGCATCATCCAGAAGACCGAACCAGTAAAATATAAGTGCACATGCAAGAGAGTCATTTTAGGATTTGCACACTTTTTCCTTCTGAGTCTCTAGTTTTGATTTCGAAGGGCTATCAATATGGCAAATATTTTTCCTTCCGGCTTCTGTGTGTATACAGTACAAAGAAAAGGAAGAGACTCGGTTTTATTCGTTGCCTTTCCTTGGGGGTGGGGGTGGGGAGGAATGTCATCAGAGATGGAAAAGGCGATTGGAAAGACACCCAGAGAAAACTTTACTCAGAGCAGGAGTGAATGAGTTTAGCTAGGCTGCATTTATACAGAGCTAAATTTCTAAGACCAGCTGTGAAATCTCCAGAGGTATTTTATTTATTGCTGGTGTTCTAGAAAAGAAAAGTCCTGTCCCCCCCGCCCCCATCTTTACAGGAAAAAAATCCCATTCCAAACATATGCAGGGACCTGTCAGAGGGGTGCTAATTAGTACCATTTTCTTATGGTAGCTTCACCAACTTCCCAGAGTTTTTGCAGATATTCAGTCCATCAGGCAAAGTTATTGCAATAAGCAAGAAGAAACCAGTAATACATTAAAATAAAAAGTTGATTAAGGAAATCAAAAGGCTAAAGGATTCTTTCCCATTTGCTTCATTTCTGTTCAGAAAGAGGACAAAAATAAAAATAGCAAAGACTTTTTATTCTCTTTTTTTAGTACTAGAAAAGCCTTCTAAGCTAGTCCTTAAAGAAGCTGAGATGACATTTCCCAGACTACATACCTTGAAGGCTGAGCCAAGAACAGCTGAGAAATGTTAGTTGCCGCTGCAGCAGTAAACTCAGAGACTGACCTTTGCAAGCAACCTGCTCTCAGGGACATGTGGCAGAGAGATTTAACACAACCAAGCCCAAGTCTTTGATGGCAATCTGACGCAGAAATCCGCATCTGATCTCTTCCCTTCGGGAACGTCCTCAAGTTTGAAAAGGGTCCAGCTGAGCAATTTATGGCCTTTCCCCTGTGTACACATGGCTCCGTCTCTCCCGAGTGTCTCTGCTTGTTGTGAGCTTCAAGGTAGGGGAAGCTGCAAAGAGCAAGTAAATGGAAGCCTATGCCCTGAAAGTTGAGAGCAGTTTTTCTCCAGGGGCAGCATGCATTTAATTTAGGAGAATTTCTGCACTTTGGGGAAGGGACAAGGCTCATTCGGTGACAGAGTCTGCGAGCAAAAGGTCCTGGGTCCAGTCTCAAGCATCTTCAGGTAGAGTTGGGAGAGAACCCTGCTTGTAACGGCACTGCCATTCACTGCTGAGAATACTGAGCTAAATGGACCAATAGTATGACTCGTTATAAGGCAGCTCCCTGTGTCCCTAGGGTTGTTGTCAGACCTAATGCAGGAGAATGTGCATGTCTCCAGCAGTGGCAGGTGACACAGGACACCTGGTGTCTCAAATTTCAGAGGTGCCATGTGCGGCGCCAAAATCTGGTGCCCCCTCCACCTTCCATTGGACTGCACAGTTGAGGCACCTATTGCAGCACTTCAGAAGCTCCACGACTGAACTAATTGCTTTCCCCTAGCTCTGCACTTGGTCATCCCAGCAGTAGAGGTATTGCATTTCCTGGGAAGGGGAAAGGCACCGCTGCTGATCTTACCCTTCCTTCAAATGCTGCTGTTGCCACCATGCACATTGCCAGGACTCCTGCAGAGACATCCTTTTCATTGCACTATGACGATCTGTGCTCAGGGTGCTTGTGGGGTGGTCATGTTGGTCCTGCTTTCAGTACAGTTTCTGCTTGGAAAGATGGAAGGAAGGAAGGAAGGAAGGAAGGAAGGAAGGAAGGAAAGAAAGAAAGAAAGAAAGAAAGAAAGAAAGAAAGAAAGAAAGAGAGAAAGGGGAGGGAAACAAAGGCAACATCTTTTGTTTCATTTTGGTGGGATTTTATTGGATACATTTAAAAGGAGAAAATTTGCCTTTGTCTCTTCCACAAGACTCTCAACAAATTTGGTATAAGTAACATCTAATCAGTTAAAATTTTCTTAGCGAAATGTAGGGCCTTTTATTCTTTGTACTCCTTGTGCCTCTGATGGTTTCGGTTATAGGTCTATGTATCTGTATATCTTGCAAGTCATGTGAGCCACACCTCTTTTTCTCTTGTTTCTTATGATGGTACCCTCCACTCACCTGCCTGTATCTTATCGCAAATATCTGGATAACCAAATATATAATTTATTCTTGTGAATGTAATATCCCATGCCAGCCTCGGTTTGGTTTAGTTTAGTTTTTATGTGTTTGTCTCATGGAATTCTACGGACACGGGTGGCGCTGTGGGTTAAACCACAGAGCCTAGGGCTTGCCGATCAGAAGGTTGGCGGTTCGAATCCCCGCAACGGGGTGAGCTCCAGTTGCTCGGTCCCTGCTTCTGCCCACCTAGCAGTTTGAAAGCACGTCAAAGTGCAAGTAGATAAATAGGTACCGCTTCGGTGGGAAGGTAAACGGCGTTTCCGTGTGCTGCTCTGGTTCGCCAGAAGCAGCTTAGTCATGCTGGCCACATGACCCGGAAGCTGTACGCCGGCTCCCTCGGCCAATAAAGTGAGATGTGCGCAGCAACCCCAGAGTCGGTCACGACTGGACATAACGGTCAGGGGCCCCTTTACCTTTACTCATGGAATTCTATTTTGTTATTTGGGTTATGTAGATAAAATAAAATAAAAAATATTTCAAAAAATTTCTTTGATTTTCACAGCCTTCTTGGACACCGCTTTTGATTTTTATAACTCTCTTGGACAGGCATCATTTTGGACTTGTCTGCTAGCCCTCTCTCCTGCATTTTATACATTTTGTGAACCTCTGTTTTAGTTCTTTTAAATAACCTCCCAACTTCCTGAAGGGACTGGGCTCTCTAACTGTATTTAATGATTTATAGTCTCTCCTGGAAGGAGACAAAATGAAGCCCAGCACATGTCGCCACTGAATCCTGCAATATCACAATGTTATGTCCATTTAACCTTCCAAACACATTACGTTTGAAAAGAGACTTTTGGTTTCTGTTTGACAGCCTGAGTGGTCTGGATCCAAAGGGGCCCAGCTGTGGATGTCAGCCACTGCCATAAAGCAAGCTAACTTGAAAGCATCTTATTATGGGGCTTTGTCTTGGGCGCAGATTGAAAGGGCTGCTTAATCAGCACCCTGCCAGACAATCTACATTCCAGGAACTGGTAGGTTTTGTATCCCTGCCAGGTGTAATATCCTGCAGCCCAGACTGTCCTGTTTGCCAAAGCACACGGTATCTGCAGAGAGCTCTTTGCGATGAGCCAAAAAGCACACACAGTTTGATCGGAGTCAGCAGCCGTCCCCAACCAATTTTCTTTTTTAATGACCGGAGAAAGAGAGAAAGAAAGGAAGAGGAGATAAATCTTCAAACTGGCTAACCATGCCCCTTTCACATTGGCCAGTCACCACACCACGAGCGCTCAGTGGTTGACACACAGGCAGAAACAATTGGCTTCTAATATACAAGGTTGTCTGCAGACCTGGCAAGATGGTACGTCCTGCCCTGGAACCAAAAGTCCGTCTAGTCCAGCCATTTGCGTCCAACAGCAGCCAGCCAGCAGTTTCTGGGAAGCTCACAAGCAAGCAGAAAAACAATAGCCAGTGCCGGATTTACGTATAAGCTAAACAAGCTATAGCTTAGGGCCCCACTCTCTAGGACCCCCCCAAAAAAATTAAAGGGGGAAAAAACCTGGATGTACATTTCCAAAATACAGTGGTGCCTCGCAAGACGAAATTAATCCGTTCCGCGAGTCTCTTCGTCTTGCGGTTTTTTCGTCTTGCGAAGCACGGCTATTAGCGGCTTAGCGGCTATTAGCGGCTTAGCGGCTATTAACGGCTTAGCGGCTTTAAGAAAAAAGGAAACAAACTCGCAAGAACTCGCAAGACGTTTCGTCTTGCGAAGCAAGCCCATAGGGAAATTCGTCTTGCGGAACGACTCAAAAAACGGAAAACTCTTTCGTCTTGCGCGTTTTTCGTCTTGCGAGGCATTCGTCTTGCGAGGCACCACTGTATAAGATAAAATAAAATAAAACCTACATACAGCAACAGTGTTTTGTGTTGTATAGGCTCCTATGATGCAAGTAATGGGCCCCGCCTGCTAGCCTGCTCCCTAAAATCACTGGTTTGCTCATTTCTATATATAGGGTGCCTGCATTCTGCATGGACTGGTTGGAAGGCAACATGTGCAAATGGCTTTCGATACCTATTAGGTCCATAAATTACCATATAGCATATAGTCAACACAAAAAACAGCTACAATTTGTTGTTGACAAAGGACAGCTGGACATATAAAGGGCCCCATTACCTTCAGTAGCTTAGGGCCTCATCAAACCTAAATCCGGCCCTGACAATAACTCTTCCCTGTTATTTGTCCCCAGCATCTGGTACCCTAATTCTGTCCCTAAAGTTCAGTTTTAAAGCACTTATGTCCCTGCTGAGTACATAATGAGACCATTTTTTTATCCCCACCCCCACCCCACCCGTTGGTTAGCATCCATCTGTAATGGGAGATAATGGAGAAGTGTGCCTTTGGGTGTGAAGACAAACCATTGGAAGCTACAGCGCCTGCTCTGGCTGTCGAGACCGATGCAGGAGAGACATGTTTTGTTGCAGCTGGGGCAGATGAAGGTGTCTGGTTGTGCTGCTGCAGATGCACCATGGTGTTTCTTCTCTCTCCCTCCCTCCCCAGCGATCATTCCTTCTCTGGCCACTGCTACTGGTACGCAACCTGACTGTCTGTCTCCAGGCACTGCAGTTGTCAGCATGGGATTCCCGCACAGTGGGGTCAATGTTGCCAATCTTCATGTCACATTTGCAGGCATCTTTGTAATGCATATTCCCTTGCTTCTTTAATGGATCCACTTTCAGCAAACTTGAAACTTTTCAGTGTTTGCACATACAAATGTTTCCAGGGAGGAGATGCTGTTGGAACGCAGCCCACTCAGGTGTCAAACCGTGAAACTACAGATGAAGCCCATGTGGGATTAAAGTTGATGCTCCCTGTAAGAATCAGGGACTGTGCTGAAAATTGTGACACTGGGCCTCTACAGTGAAGTTGAACCAAGATGTCCCGAGGGTATTTGCTGGATCTCACAGGATTGTGTGGACAGGCGGAGTCCCCCAAACCCTGGGCGGCCCCCCTCATGTGGAATAACGACTCAAGACAACGTGCGATGGGATTAAAATTGGCCACAACTTTATTATATTTCAGATGTGGGTAGACCTTGGCTCAGGCATTGGGCATTTATCCCTCCCAGTCCCCTGCCGGGGATCTGGGGAACATCAGGGTTATCCAATGTGTGGGTTACATTTGTTTGTTTATTTTTTATTTAAATATTTATTGGTTTAAAATACAAACATACAACCATACAACGAAGGTAAGTATTACCGAGTTAAATACAAAAAGGAAAAAAAAAACATATTAAAAAAGAGAAGTTTGAAGCAGAGACAAGAAAATGATAAAAAAGAAAAAAAGACAAAGATTTATACGACATTACATCTATCAAAATAAAAAGTTTTTTTGCAAAATACCCTTCCAATCTTTCTCGTTATACTTTTTCTGTTGTCATTATATTATTGCGCAGTTTTGTTTTATATCCTTTTTCTTACATTCCACTATAATGTTTATTTCAGTTATCTACGTTTGTTTATTGATTTCACGTGATTTCTTTGCTGGCCCTCCGCCCCACTTTGAACCTTAAATCTTGTTAGTGGTCAGTGTTTTCTAAACCACCAAGACAGAAACATGATGTCTCCTGGCCAATGTTTCTGTTACTCCATGCCAACTGGCACCCTGTCATGTGGTGTATCAGGTATGGATGCAGAGGCTGCAAAGGTGAACATTTCACCTCTTCTGTGGCTTAAACAAAGAGTGAAGAATGTCAGAAATGGGGCAGGCAAAGGTGCGTGGGGCTCAGCAAAGGAGTCAAAAAATCCCAAATCTAAGGCACCCCCATTTCCCAGATTTAGGGAATGCCACTTGATACCTAATGGCCTATCAGACATGATTTGTTTGTGACCCTAAGTGGTTTGGTGCCTGATTGATTATCTCTTTATTGGATAAGCCCAAATTCACATGGGGGAGCATTGAGATTAGTGTTGTTTCAAGGCAGCATGATGTGGACTTCACAAATCAAATGGGAACACAAACAAGTGCAAACACACTGTAAACTCTGGAGGTGACAAGCTCCGAGGTGAAATTCCCCTTTGGTAAAGGTAAAGGTGGTCAGTGGTCCAGTGGTACCCCTGCCCGTACGGGCCAGTCTTGCCAGACTCTAGGGTTGTGCGCTCATCTCACTCTATAGGCTGGGAGCCAGCGCTGTCCGCAGACACTTCCGGGTCACGTGGCCAGCGTGACAAGCTGCATCTGGCGAGCCAGCGCAGCACACGGAACGCCGTTTACCTTCCCGCTAGAAGCGGTCCCTATTTATCTACTTGCACCCAGGGGTGCTTTCGAACTGCTAGGTTGGCAGGCGCTGGGACCGAACGACGGGAGCGCACCCCACCGTGGGGATTCGAACCGCCGACCATGCGATCGGCAAGTCCTAGGCGCTGAGGTTTTACCCACAGCGCCACCCGCGTCCCATTCCCCTTTGGTAGATATACTCATTTTATCTTCTCTTCAGTCTAGAAACTGATTTTCTAGATCCATTTCACTTGGGGTTTAGGCCATTTTAGCACAGCAACTGCTTTGGTCACTCTGTACGATGACCTCTGTTGGGAGAGAGACAGGGAAAATGCATCATTGTTAATCCTCATTGACCTCACAGCAGCTTTTGATTCCGCCGACCATGGAATGCTTCTGGAGTGGCTGTCCGACTTAGGGGTGGGTGGCACCGCTTTGTGGTGTTTCCGGTCCTATTTGGATGGTCATTTCCAGAGGGTGATGCATGGGGAGTGTTCTTCTGCCCTGTGGAGCCTTCAATTTGTGGTTCCGTAGGGTTCGAGTCTATCTCCTAGGCTGTTTAACATCTACATGAAACCACTGAGTTGGGTTATCCGGAGTTCTGGACTATGTTGTCACCAAGATGCTGATGACACACAGCTCTACTTCTCCTTTACATTTGCAGGTGTGGCAGTGGATGTGCTGGACCATAGTCTTGTCCCCAATATGGACTGGATGAGAGCCAACAAACTGAAGCTCAATTCAGCTAAGACTGAGGTACTATTACTGGGTGGTTACACTCCTCTGAAAAAGCGGGTTCATAACTTGGGAGTACTTTTGGGTCCTTTGCTGTCACTTGAGACTCAGGTGGCCTCAGTGGTGTGGAGTGCCTTCCATAAGCTTTGGCTGGTGGCCCAGCTGCAATGCTTTCTGGGCAGGAAGAGCCAAACTACTGTTGTCTATGCTCTACTAACCTGTAGGTTTGATTACTGCAACACGTTATGCATAGGGCTGCCTCTGAAGATGGTTCGGAAACTTCAGCTGGTGCAGAATTCGGCTGCTCACCAGGGGAAGATGGTTCAAACATATAATGCCAATCCTGGCCTGACTGCACTGGCTGCCAATTAGCTTCCAGGCCCAATTCAAAGTGCTGCTTTTGACCTATCAAGATTTAATGGCTCAGGACCGCAATACCTCAAGGACCGCCTCTCCCCATATGAAGTGAACTGGACCCTGTGATCACCATCTGAGGCCCGGTGCCTTCGCCGCAAGAGGTTCAGAGGATGGGCAACACGATGAAGGACCACATATATCTGCTATTTGGGTCCCTGAAGCACAGATTCACACAAAGCGGCAAAACGCTCTTGCAGGTTATTAACAGGATTTTTATTTGAAGTGCATATGCAAAACAAAGATACAGGGCGATCAGTATGCAACCTGTACACAGTAGTCAGGGTGCACCCCTTTATATAGATTTGCAAAATAGAATACCACCTGATCTCTTGTAAGTCACCTGATTTCTTGTAAGTCACCTGATTTCTGGGAAATTGAAACCTATAATAAGTTCCTATTACCATATAAGGTCTTGGTCTTCTCTCCCTCCTTCCTGCAACCTCCCTCATCCTGGTATTACAAGAAATCCTTGTTCCTTATCTCTATCTGCCCAAGCTAGACATTCCGAGAGGCCCATTTGCAATGTAACATTTAAGCATGTCCTTCAATAATAGAACAATTATATTGTAATATGCTCCTTCAATGAGAACTGGACTTTTCTGCAGTGGCTCCCCATTTGTGGAATGCTCTCCCCAGGAAGACTCACCTGGCACCTTCAGTACATATCTTTTAGGCATCAGCAAAAACGTTTCTCTTCAACCAGGCCTTTGGCTGATTAACACTTATGAACTTTTAAATTTATTTGTGGGAGTGGGGTTATTGGTTTGTTTTTGTTTTTATTGTGTATTTTGCGTTCTCATTTTGTATTTGATCTTCGGATAAAGGGTGGTATACAGATTTAATAAATAAAACAATAATAATTATCTATAACCTTGCAAGGAAAAAGAGTTCACAGTTTATTCCATTGCCAAACTGTTCCTACTCTTACATCTATCTCTACAGTGGAACCTCGGGTTGCGGACGTAAGCTGTGACGGAGGCACATCCGCAACCCACAGTGTTCACATCCTGAAGCGCCGCATCTGCGCAGGCGCCGACATGATTTGGCGCTTCTGTGCATGCGCAAAGTGCTACTTAGTGCTTCTGCACGAGCGGCGAAACCCGGAAGTAACCCGTTCCAGTACTTACGGGTTTCCCGTGGTCTGCAACCTGAAAACACATAACCTGAAGTGTCCGTAACATGAGGTATGACTGTATATCCTTTCCTGGCATTTGCTACAACTTGAATTTTCCTGAAAAAGGAGAGGCAGGAGTGTTGTGTGGACAGTGGGTTAGACAGCTAATAAGTCTTCTGGCTACTTGTCTGGAAACTCGGTCTGCGGGAACTTCTATTTTACCTAGATCTGCCTAATTTCTACTGCCCTCTTGCTATATTTCTGTGAACCATTTATATTTAGCTTTTCTTCCCCTACTCAGCTATTTTCTCTTTTCTATTTATTTCCACTTTATTTTAATTATGGTCTAGCCAGGAGAGGTCTTTTCAAAAGACCTGGTTCAGTGGGTTGGTTAGATTTGTTCCACTGAAATTTCAGGGCAATGCTAAAATGCTCAGCTTTGGCTGGATTATTCCCTATATGTGCACTAGTTGAATTCTGTCCTGATGATTCTAGTCGCTCTCCCCAAATCCATTGGTATCACCTGATGCCTGTGGACTGGAGTCAGTAAATCATGCTCACTTAGGGCACATTTTTGACCTTGCTGTCAAGTATTACTTCACAGTTACAGCCCTTACCTCCAGGTGTCCTGGCACACAGCAAAGGCATCTACTGCTGAAAGTCCCCCCTCTCTTTTAAAAATTATATTTTCACTTAGTATACAGTGTTCTTGCTGTTGTGTACTGGCAACAGCAAGGACCACCATAGCTCGCAATTGGAAGGATTTTCATGAGGTGATATTAGATCTATGGTATCAGGGAGCGTGGCAGGTTGCAATTTTGGAAATAATAATAATAATGCAAAAGTTGAGGGTTGCTGATGGGCAGAAAAGAGGGCACTTTTGAATCAAGTTGGTTTCCATTTATTAACTTTGCTAATGCAGTATAACATGGTTGATTTCTGCTATCAGCATATGCTCACCAATGGACATACTAACTGATTTTTGCTACTATTTAATACCTACCGTATGTACACCTAAAAGGAAGGAGAAGAGAAATTGACTGTTGTGGTTTTTTTAGCAGTACTACCGTACTGAATTTTGAAACAATGCATTTTCACTTCTTTGGGTGCATACTTTTCATTTACTGCCAACTTACCTTATTGTCTGTATGTGCTGTTTAGCTGGTGATATATTGCAATATTGAAAACCAGTTATCGCCCAGCCCTACAATATATAAAGATATCTGTGGAAGTCTTATAGCAACCAGGATGCCAAAATATACTTTAAAGGTGAGATCCCACCCCCATACAGTCTGAAGAAATAAATACTTGAAGGGAGTTAGATACTTCTTTTTAAAGTTTTCTTTCAATTTTGTTTTGTTTTTTTAGCATCAATAATTTTTGTGTGTGACATTAAAGGGAGATAGTTACCACATGCCGTAGAAATCATCCTTTACTGTTTGCTGTTTATTTTTTGAGTCTACCAAGTTTGGAGTTTATTCGTTCTGTCAATAAGAGAAAAATCTAGCAAGTTCAAAATAAGAAACCACCAGATCATGAATCATTCCAAACATTTTTTTTAAAAAAACTGAGCCCAACTTTTTTACACAAATCTAAAGGTGGCCGTCAGCTGACCTCAAAACTTCCCCTGTATTTCTCTCCCTTTACATATTGTTATAGTACACAGACAAAAATATTAATAGATTATTTCATTGACTGCATCCAAACCATGACTCTTATAGGCAGTGGCTTAGTAATAAAGCTCAGCAAAGCATTTGACAAGTCATGCCTAGAATACTCTGCAGCATTAGCTTCTGGCTTCGTACCTTCCTGATCAAAGGCTAGTTTGGTGTCCCAGCACAGACTCAACAAAGTGAAATCAGGACACCCTGGCAGCCTTTAACCTGCAATTTTCATGCCTGAAAGGAAGTGTGCCTCAGCTTGCGCTGTGACCGCTGTATAATTAATTTGCTCAATTTCTTTCAAACCCAAAATTAAGACAGAAAGTGACCCGCAGGCACCAGTTCAGAAGCAGGGTGTTTTTTTTGGGGGGGGGGGTGTTCTTTCACAGTTATGTGCTTGTTATAATTGTTTCTCTTTTGGCCCTTGTCAGCAACCATGCAGGTTTCTCTGTATTTCTAAAGTTCCTTTGCCCTAGACTACCAGGTACCCAAACAAGCGTCTCCACCCCCATCGTTCTGCCTGGACACTGAGATCTAGCGCTGAGGACCTTCTGGCGGTTCCCTCCCTGTGAGAAGTGAGGTTACAGGGAACCAGGCAGAGGGCCTTCTCGGTAGTGGCGCCTACCCTGTGGAACACCCTCCCATCGGATGGCAAGGAAATAAACAACTATCAGACTTTTAGAAGACATCTGAAGGCAGCCCTGTTTGTTGTTGTTGTTTAGTCGTGTCCGACTCTTCGTGACCCCGTGGATCTACATTCAGAGCACACCAGGCACTTCTGTCTTCCACTGCCTCCCGCAGTTTGGTCAAACTCATGCTGGTAGCTTTGAGAAAACTGTCCAAACATCTCGTCCTCTGTCGTCCCCTTCTCCTTGTGCCCTCAATCTTTCCCAACATCAGGGTCTTCTTCTTACTAACTTAGCCACTGAAGAGTCACATCATGCCAGGCAATGCCCTTTGACCTTTGCTACATTTGTATATCACACTGCAAGCTGCAAAATTTTCTTTCTCTAGCTACAATGACCTTCCCTCACTTGTAGAAATAATTATTTATATTTTGTTCCTTTGTAAAACAGTAGTGCCATGGAGATAAGGTAAAGGTAAAGGGACCCCTGACCATTAGGTCCAGTCGTGGCCGACTCTGGGGTTGCGGCACTCATCTCACTTTATTGGCCGAGGGAGCCGGCGTACAACTTCCGGGTCATGTGGCCAGCCTGACTAAGCCACTTCTGGCAAACCAGAGCAGCGCACGGAAACGCCATTTACCTTCCCGCCGGAGCAGTACCTATTTATCTACTTGCACTTTGAGGTGATTTCGAACTGCTAGGTTGGCAGGAGCAGGGACCGAGCAACAGGAGCTCACCCTGTCACAGGGATTTGAACCGCCGACCTTCTGATTGGCAAGTCCTAGGCTCTGTGGTTTAACCCACAGTGCCACCCAAGTCCCTAAGTATCTCCATGGCCACTGTGCCATGGAGATACTTAGTGGCAATTCTTCCTCCTTTTAAAACTTCAGAAAAGCATGGGCCGACTAATTGTGTTATAAACGTGCCTCTGTATCCAGCTTCCAGCATCAGCCAAAACTCACACAGCCATACTTCCCTATTGGCATATTGGTCTCTGTCCTACTAGGACGGTCCTAGCCTGACGTTACATTCAGCCAGGTGAGGTGCAAAAAGGCCTGCCCAATTGTCTCTAAGGCAACAGGAAAACCTCTTTGAACATGTAACTGGCAATGCAGTAGGATTGCATCTTGCATGGGGGTTACGTTCTAGGGGTAGTATGCAAAGTCAACCTTAGCTTCTGGAGCCAGAGCAAAATTTCATGAAGGCTCCCGGTCCCATGTGAGACCTTCCCGAAGCCTGGTAAGCAAGGCAGAGAGCTTAGAAGCTCTTTCTGCATCAGAAAAACCCAGTGTGGAAAGTGCTTTTAACCTTTCTGCCTTGCGTGTGCTTAATTTGTGCAATATCAGAAGGCTGGCTGCCAAGCACATAAAGCTATAATCACACAAGTTAAACGTGTGCAAGTTACGATCCTACTGTACTTAACTGACCAGCTAAGGATGTTACCTTACAAGGCAACTGTCTGGTTGGGTCAGTGGCCATTTCTACTAGATTCTAAGTCTCATTGGGATGGAATCACAGGCCTGGAAGAGACCCACAGATATATTCCATACTGACACCCCCCCCCCCGAAACCCTATGGGAATATAATCAAATCCAATTAAAAGTCAATAAAGAGGCAGTCAACAGGAATACCAGGTCAACACTGTGAACCAGGAAAAACAGTCAGGAAGACACTCCATTAAATAAATGCATGCACATAGAGAAAGTGTGATACAGAAGTACACAGAGACAGCTCATTTCAGTGACTTAAATGCAAGTTTTTCAAACCAGTGCAGTCATAGAAATAAACTTCTCTTGATCTGTAGCATCCAGTCAACTCTAATTTTTCTCCGTTTGGTCATATGCTCACACATATGATTGAAAAGAAAGTAAGTGTGCCTTTCATGTATGAACTGGCCCTTGCCTCTCGTTGCAGTTCTTGCTCAAGGAAACGTTTTGTTTCCATGACTTAAGCTTCTGCCCTGTAGCCCTTGAAATGTGGCAAACAGCCCAATCCTATGAATGTTTACTTGAAGCAAATAAGTCCTATTTTATTCAGTGTGACTTCCAAGAAATTATGCATAGGATTGCAGTCAAAGACCCAGCATCCTTTTCTGGCGAATCCCAAAGTGCTTCTGGTGTCTGGTATTTTGCAGACATGACATCACCCTTTCTATGGCAGCACTGCCATCGGATCGACGTCCTCTGCTTTCAGCATTTCTACACAGCTGGGAAGAATATACACACACTTTTAGCTACGAAAAAAATGCTGTTTAGCATATCTGGAAGCTATGGAACCAGTATATTTTGTGTCAGGGTGATTTTCTGGTGATGTAGAAAATAAATAAACCCAGAGCTGTCAGCCTATTTTTAAAAATGTAGTACAGTGGTACCTCAGGTTAAGTACTTAATTCATTCCGGAGGTCCGTTCTTAACCTGAAACTGTTCTTAACCTGAAGCACCACTTTAGCTAATGGGACCTCCTGCTGCTGCCGCACCGCCAGAACACAATTTTTGTTCTCATCCTGAAGCAAAGTTCTTAACCTGAGGTATTATTTCTGGGTTAGCGGAGTCTGTAACCTGAAGCGTATGTAACCTGAAGCGTATGTAACCCGAGGTACCACTGTAGGTACATTGTAAGTTTAAACTGATTAATCAATAAATATGCCTTTTAATTTTTTTTACCAATTATATACTACTCATGATTCAATAATTAGCTGCCCAGAGTGGCTGGGGGAACCCAGCCATATGAGTGGTGTATAAATAATAAAATTATTATTGTTGTTGTTATTATATTTCTTCATAATTCATCATGACTTAGTTGCTCATCTGTTGGCAGCGACTGCAAATCACACTCTTTCAGTCTCTCTCTCCCCATCTGCAATATGGGAGATAATAGCACTTTAGAGTGTTGTTGCAAGCAAGACAGCTAGATAATACACATAAAGTGCTTTGGGCATCTGAAAGCTCTATACCTGTGTTTTATTACTTAAACCAAGTATTATTATTACTTACACATTTGCAATGCATCTTCTGCAGTTAAAAGTAATTTCCAAAGAATGCCAATTGTGCAATGATACTGTTTTAAAACACAGTTTGAATGAGTGTTGCTTAACTACTCTCGAACAAATCTTCAAACATACGACCAAGATGTTCTATTGGGATTTCACTGTTTGTTCCTATCTGTAAATATGTCAATACTGAAGCATGAGCACATGATGTATGGGAGAAATTACACAACCCTAAGAGCAAACAGATAGAAGTCAACAAGTCATGAAGCAAAACACATGCATGCCTGACATGACCTTAAACGAATCTTAAGTAAGCCTATGTTTGTAAAAAGCAAAATAGGATTCATCCAAATAAACCCATAAAAACAAATGCACTGTATGCATGTACTCATAGCCCGTCTGATTTCATGCTTTATTCAGTTTACGAAGTATAAAATTGTGTAGAATCAAACACCTAAAAACCAGGCCTTTTTTCCAGCCAGAACTTGCCAGAACTCAGTTCTGGTATCTCTTAGGTGTGCACCATTGCCATTATAAGAGAACAAGGGAGGTGTTCGTGGTGAATTCCGGCACCTCTTTTTCTAGAAAAATAACACTGCTAAAAACAAAGATAATCCCTTGAAGGTGTTACTAAGTTATCTGGAGAGCTGTATTGGGAAAAAAACCCCAAATGTTGAAATTATGATTACTGTGTTATTGGCAGCAAAAATGTTTATAGCTTACTATCGGGGAAATGATATAAGTTTTACTCAACTAACTTCTGCTTAGGGAACTACTTCTGGGTCACAGAGGATACGTGCTCCTGACTGTCAAAAGCAGTAGCTCCCAGTCTCCACCTTTCTCCTCATCCTATAAGGTCTTCTAAAGCAAAATGCAATATGTTGCTTTGCAAATGTCCCTCTCCCTGTAGTTAATGAAGTGAAGGTGAAGAAGCTTGCAGAGTGATGGTGTCATGTCACAAGTTTTGTATGAGCACAATCCAAAGATCTGCAGCAGCTTTGAGTTTGGATTTGAGGCTTCCCCAGAAGTCTCTCCCAGTCCATAAACAGTTGTAGTTGTCATTCCAGTTGGTAAAGGGTGCTTTGAGCCACTGAGGCAACGGGACACTAGACTGGATGGGTCTGCAAATATATCCCCTTATTTTGTGTGCCTTCATCTCTGCTATTTATGTGACTAGCAGACCCTGTGTAAGAGTTCTTGTAATTTATGGTACTCTTTAAACAACAACAACAACAACAACCACCACCACATAGAAGTAAAAGAGGGACAATGGAACTGGGTTGTTTTTCAAACAATGGAAGATGGATCTGAAAGCCAAATATGGAAATATCACTGTTATTCACCAAACTGCAGTCTAAAATAACATCAAGTTGGATATGCTGTGGTCTCAATTTAACTGCCTTTCAGAAAACAAAAAATAACTCTTTAAAGCTTATGGAGCAACTGGGTTCATGCTAATGTCAGCAATGAGCCTTAGTTCTCCTCTTTTTACTATTAATTCCTCCTCTGGAAAAAAAGGAGTATTTTTCAACTTTGAAAGATGTCAGGCTAGAGTAAGAAAAGCGATATGCTTATTTCTCCTCATAGACTGATATGGTCAATTTAAGAAAGGAAAATTCCACTTTGGGTGCTAATCTGTCATATCTTTTAAGGTGTGCAAAAAACTTCAAGAAAGTTGATGGCCCAGCAGGGTTGGTTTATAAAACCCAATGAATAATTCTGTTCACCCATCTTGAAATGACAGAAAGGGTTGACCAGCTCTTGTAAACATTTACATATTCCTCTCAGTTTAAATAAAAATCTAATTTGAGCCCACAGCTTTGAAGTAGAGTTCAAAGCCCCAGCACCTCTGAGATCTCTGGAAAAGCAACTAGCTCTCACAAGCATGCAAATATGTTGCTACACAGGGAACAGAGCCATCCTGCAAACCTGGGGATTTGGCTGGAAGCCTTGAAGCATTTTCTGGCACTCCTTGCTGAGGTAAAAAAAAGGGGGGGGAGCCCTCCCAATCTTCCAGTTGTTTAGAACCTGAAAAATAATTCACAGAGGAGCACAACACATTCATGTATTCCCTATTTACCAGTCTCTGTTTTCTGGAACCTGTATTTGGTAAAACATAGAAAGGTGCTTTAAACTGAGCCAGCCCCATAAAGGTAAAGGGACCCCTGACCATTAGGTCCAGTCGTGGCCAACTCTGGGGTTGCGGCGCTCATCTCGCTTTATTGGCCGAGGGAGCCATACACCTTCCAGGTCATGTGGCCAGCATGACTAAGCCGCTTCTGGCGAACCAGAGCAGCATACAGAAATGCTGTTTACCTTCCCACCCGAGTGGTACCTCTTTATCTACTTGCACTTTGACATGCTTTCGAACTGCTAGGTTGGCAGGAGCAGGGACCGAGAAACGGGAGCTCACCCCGTCGTGGGGATTCGAACCTGCTGAGCTTCTGATCGGCAAGTCCTAGGCTCCGTGTTTTAACCCACAACACCACCCGTGTCCTGAGCCAGCCCCACAGCACCATCTAATTCAGTACTGCCTACACTGACAGGCAGACTCTCTCCTGGGTTTCAGACAGTGAGTCTTTCCTAACCCTACCGGGAGTTGCTGGCAGTTGAACCTGTGGTCTTGCAGGCATCGGGCTTCCCATACCCCAACCCATATGAATAAGAGACCAAAGAGACTGGTTTTGGTTCAAAACTGGCCACAACTTTATTGAATGCAGATGAAAGAAGTCTGGCTTCGGCATGGGGCAATCAAAATACTTCTGGCCGACCGGCTGGAAGTGTCGAGTGGCCAATCCAGGTGGGGTTTCTAAGACCTACATCAAATAGAGTGACCCCTGCAGGGACCGCCATCTGGGGGAGTGCCTTTGGCCCTGGCCCCACCTGGGTGCTTGGACATGACCACTCCTCCCGGATCCCTTTAGCGAGATACCCCAGCGTTTGGAGGGGCAGGCAGAGACTGCAACCTACAAAGGATTGCCCCAGTGCCCAACCAGTTGTGATGATTGCTATGAGGTAGGCAAAAATCACTGGGTCAGAGCCAATAAGCCCGGTGGGCAAATTCCTACCTGGCCCCATAAAGAACGGCAACCACAGTAGCCACAGCAAAGTCATTGACTATCAGCTTAAACTGATGGTGGGTGGACGGGGAAACCCGACGAAGGAACCAACAGGCAGTGCCCCAGGTGTAGGCTACTTAAATGGGCAAGGGGCAGATCTGAGGGAAGCTTACCTGCTCCGTCAGCTCCGCCCCCTGGCACAGCCCAAGTCCCAGCCTGCATCCCCATTTGCCAAAGCAGGGTGCAGGCTAGGATCTGGTTCCGGATAGGCAGTGGGGCCTATCAGGAAGGGTACTGAAGTTCTAGCTCCTTCATCAGGGCCCCAGTGAAGCCTCTTCCGTCCTGCAACAGCGCCACACCAAGAGGGGTGAGCGGACTTATGAATGGCAAGCAGCTGATGTAGAAACAGAACAGAAAACTGTTGTGTACAAGCATGCACTAGATTGTACCAGATTTCAGCTCTGACCAGCACATGATGGCTTGGGCTGATGGGAACTGTAGTTCAACACATTTGGGGGGGGGCACCAGGTTGGTGAAGGCTGACGTAGGATGGCTTATTCTGTGGGATGGTGACATCATCTCTTTGTGACTCCCTATCACTGATTCACATCATTTGCTGCTGCTGCTGGGGGCAGGAAGGAGCCCCATTTGATGATGCATCAAACATGGATTTAATGATCCTATATGCTATGATGGAGAAACACAGCATGGGAGCGTTGCTTTTGGTGTAAGGTCCATGATTTGTGTAAACTATAGTTCTGCCTGGAGCTTAAAGCTTGTAGAAGTATGTGAGCTAAAAAATTGTTTGTTCTTAGAACAGGTCCATACAAGGAAACGCTCATGAGATATTAATTTGTGGTTCATAAAAACTGACCATTGAGGAGCCCATTCATCATTCCTTAACTTGAGTCATTAAATACCAGGCAATGCAAACATTGGAATTTATCCAGCTACTATTATTGGAAGCTAGATTATAACCTTGTAGCAAAGGAGGTGAGGCACAATCAGTTATTTTCCAGATATTGACTGTGCTACCACTGTCTTCAGTTCTGCTCCACAAACATAACAATAATAATGTTTGTTCATATCTACAACAATATTGAAATGTGTTCACACTGTTCCCTTTTAATACAATCGGAGGCTGTTCTGTGCTTTTACCTTCCGTGACACACCTTGCTTACCTCACTAGAGATACATGTCTTTCAAAAGAAAAAAACCGCCTGAAATAAATATGAGGCAGGCATCTTACAAACCTCTCAGGGCTTTCTCTACAGTGCATATGTCGTATGTCTGTTGAACTGGGCACTGTAAACTACTAGATATCTGAGGCCACGTTTCCGCAGAAAAACTTACATCTGTAGAGGATATTTTCCAAATTCTTGTTCTGGGGCTGTCAGTATTCAGTAATTCTGCCGGGATTTCAAAGGTGAAATTGACATCCAGGGGAATTTCCAAAAGGCGACGCTTTGTCCTGGATCTTAGGCAAGTCAATTGAAAAATCGTGGTTTGTGGCGTTTTTGTAAAAATAATAATAACAACAACTTTGGGGGTTGTCTAAAAGAAGCTTAGCAACTTTCTGGTTTTTCTTTAAAAAAAAAAAAAAAAGGCTCAACAACTTTTGAGGTGTCCACAGGGTGAAATATGGCAATTCTAATTTATACAATAATTTGTGGTGTTATAGCATCCTGAAATCTGCCCAAGATTTCAAGCTTACATGCTCTTGTCAGCTTTTGTGACAAATTAACAAGTAAGTTTTGGATCTGCTAAAATGGATTTTTTTGTTTGTAGTATGCATTATGTTGCGGTTACTGCTTCCAAACAACATCTCTGACCATTAGCTCTTATGACCAGCCCCACTGCCAGTGGGTGGCCAGGCCAGGCTCTGGCCAACAGCTCCAGTGGCTCAGAAGGGCTCCTCACCAGGCTGCTCCAACTGTGCTCCCTTATCATCTTCCTTGCTGGGCCCTGGGCAGCTGTTTTAGCATTGCTTCTTCTGGGTGGGAGTTAAGCTCAGCTCCCATCCAAAGTAGCTGCCCACTACGTATTTAAATTTGCTAAAAATGCAGTGCTTCGCCCCATAGATCTATGAAAATATAGATAGATTTCATATAGATATCTATGAAATCTATATGGGCCAGGACATTGCATTTGGGGTAAATTAAATTGGCAGGTGGCCACCACAGATGAGAAGTGAGCTTGGCTCTCCATTCAAAACCAGGAGACCTGCCTGCAATTTGTTCCAACGGTTACCTGGGAGCAAGGAGGGTGATTAAGTGGTGTTGCCATAAGGGGGAAAGCAGCGGAGTGTGTGTGCCGACTCACTGTGTGATAGTAACAGTTCATTAGTTTCATAATTTAAAGGGGGATAATTCAGTGCTGTTCAGCATTCAATCATATGCATACTTCTTTCAGAGAAAGCTCCATGCATGGAAGTTACTTCAGAACAAACATGCATAACTTTATAAAGCACATATTAAGTCCCATTGAGTTCAAAGAGAGAATTAAGCATGTGCTTAATCCCCCCCATGAAATCAATGGGATGTAAATATGCTTTACTTTGGCTGGGTTGTGCTCACAATCTGTATCTGCCAAGTTTCTGGACTCTCTATATCCTGTCCACGCCCTGAAAATCATCAAGCAGAAGTTCTGCATGCAACTCCTGATACAAATGAAACATTTTAAAGAAAAATTCAAAGTCCTGGAAACCATGAATTTTAGTTTTTGTGACAGAACTAGTGGTGGTAATTCTGACTGGTAGTTGCTATGTTTTTCACTAAACAGTGGACACAAAATGTTGGAAGCCAACATTTAGTTATTTTTTAAATCTAGACAGAGTGGTGATGCCAGAACTGTGGGTAAGGGATGGCAACTGCCTGTCAAGTGGGTTAGGGAAGCCTGTGTGTCTCCCTCTTAAATATTGCAGGTTTCTTTTCTGAAGGATGCAAAAATATTTTTAAAAATGCAAACATGAGGGGAAAGGCGGTGTCCTCAAATACATCATCTGGGAAAGCGTTTCTGCATGACTCTCAGTAAGGTACCTGTATTTATTACAATATCCAAACAACTTTCCAAGCCAGGCATCTATTATATATGGCAGCCTGTTTAAATGAGAAAAATCACTCTCCACAAATTCTGCTGAACCACCAGCAGAGACTTTATTTCAGTGATGGAAACACAACCCCAGTAAATTGCATTTTTATAACTTTGGAGGCTGAAAAGTGTTGAGGAAATAGGAAACTAAACGACCAAATTAAATTTGCAAAGTTAACCTATGGAGGGTGTTTGGGGAGGGGGAAAGATTCAGAGGGAGGGTGTACAATTACTTAAGTTAGTCAATACACCCCTATTAATGTCAGCAGAACTTGCTTGCTCCTAAAAGCCATTCAACCATCTTTGCGCATGTGGTGATGCTTTCCTAGGGAGCCATGAATTTAGTAGCAGACGGAAATACATCCTCCTCCATGTTATGACCCCAAGTCCAAGCAAGCCACCTGGCCACTGACACAGAAGGCAGGGGACAAATTGGGTCAGGAAAGCAAGGGGTTGTAGACTTTCAGGCCAGGGCTCTAACACCAAGCCTGCACCCTCAAAACCAGGGTCACCTTGAGGCCAGGACCTCCAGAGACTGCAGCTGCTGAGCCCAATTTTGCTGAGGAGTCTCACTGCATATCCTCACCCCATGGGCTTCACACTGCAGAGAGCCCACTTGTCAGTGCCAGAAACATGCCCTGAACCAGTGTGAAAGGGCAATAGAGCGCAGGCCAGAGCGCTACCTCTTTAAAGCATTCCACTCCGCAGCAAAGAGACAGAACCTGGAAGGTTTACTTAGGGATACATAAGGGCTCAGCTTGGCTCCAGACCACAGGTGCATTTGCTTTAGTTGCTTGAAGCACAGCAAGGTCATTTTTCACAGCCGCATTTCAAGCCACATTTGCAGGGATGTCTTCACCTGATGCACATGACTTTTTTTTGTTTCATTGCCTTCAACCCTCCTGGAATTCCTGTTCTTTAAGATATCGTCTCTGCTTGCACACTCATCCACACCTGGGCAGTGACTGTTAGGGTACATTCACATTGCCATTTACTCTGCATCCTGTTTGCTAATTGGATTGAAGGTGGTTTGAGGGGGAAAAATGCATCCAGCAACAATATTTGTTGAGGAACGATAAGATCTATATGGATTGTGGCTAATGTTGCGTGAATACATTGGGTGCAGGCTAAGTGGTAATGTGAACATATCCCACCTTTGAGTAAGTTGCCTGCTTGGAGCTCTCTGAGGTTCTGCAACTCCAGCTTGGCTTGATTGCCTGGCTTTTGCTGGGCCTGGCCCCTGCCACTGAACTTCTTTGCCCCACAGGCTCACACTCACAGTCAAAACAGGACATCCCATGTTCTTTTAAGGAGCTTTGAAAAAATATAACAGAATAAACATAAGATATACAATCTACTTCTTCTGAATAATCCCATCACTGACATAAAGTATGTGTTGTCTGGGTGTGAATAGGTTGTAGATTGCACTGGACTAATCCGCTGAATGGAACTCTCGTGCAAAATCTGAAAAAAGTTCAAAGACAGCAAGCAAGCAAGCAAGGTGCACCCTGTGTATATACACTGTGTCTCTTTTTGTTTCACATGTTCACAGGAGTTCACAAGGGGCCTCAAGTTTAAGCAATTTCTATAAAATCAAAACAAGTGCAGTCATGCACTCCATTAAAAAAAAATCTGCTAGTCCTATTAAATCACTTTGGACTTCTCCCAGAATTTAGATGTTTTGCCACGAGGAAGGTTCCCTCCCAATTTGTTTCAAATTTTGGATGGTTTGAGGGTGGCAATTTCTGTCAAGCTCAAAAACTAACATACGGTACTTGTAGAATAGCACCACCTTCTGTTTCCTCATGTAACAGTGAAGATACAGAAGAAGAAAACAGAGGTGAGTGACCTATCATTTCTTAACCCTATTCAATTACATTGCACAAGGAAGGTGTTAAAACAGTGTGTGTGTAACATCACATTCCTCACTGCTCTTTATTACGTGTTGCTGAAACTAGTCTTAAAGCACTGTTGGCTCAGCGACTTTGGTTTTGTAAAGATGGAACAACCATGACTCTAGGAACTGAGCTTTGCCTGTCTAGGTTTGGAATGGGAGAAGTCAAGTGGCAACAATTAGCTCCACACACACACAGCTTCTGCCCAGTCTGGATTACAGAACCCAGACTTTATGGTTTAGCAGTCATTGTCTCTACGGATGCAAACAAAAGTACCATTGAGTTGAGTGGGGATTACACCCACATAGTTGTGCACAGGATTATGACACTCTCCCCTTGTACTCTCGCAGGAAGGAAAAGAAAATGAAGTTGTTGCTGCCACAATCAATCAATTGAGTCCGCCAAGGTTGGTGTTACTTTTGTGAAGAATATATTTGTCATTTCCTCTGGCAGTAGTTTCTCTCTAGAAGACGGGTGCTGAAGCAAGGGACAAACTGATCCTTTGTACATGTACGTATGGTAACTGAGGGCTGCCCAGATTGATGGATGGAGGAGAGGGACAGGGTGACAGCTTCTTTGTCTTTCTCATTCCATAGAGAACACAGCAACAGCTTCCATGGTGTCCAAGGCTGCAATCCTGTGCAGTCACATGGGACTTAGTGGGATATACTTATGCATAAGCATGCATGCAGTCGGACTGATTATGTGTTGTGGAAGGAAAAAGATGTACTGCCCAAACCCCAATTTCAGGCTGTTATTAACATTAGTAAAGCCTTGCATATAACCAGTGATTAAAAAAAAAAAAAAAAGTTTAGGGGTACTCTCATTTTCCTACTCATATTGAAAAACTGCCCCTCAATGAGACCAAACTTAGATTCACAAAATGTTTAGGGGTATGCGTACCCCTACTTCCCCCCAGAAAAAAGCCTTGCATATACAGTGGTGCCCCGCAAGACGAATGCCTCACAAGACGAAAAACTCACTAGACGAAAGGGTTTTGCGTTTATTGAGTCGTTCCGCAAGACGAATTTCCCTATGGGCTTGCTTCGCAAGACGAAACGTCTTGCGAGTTCTTGCGAGTTTGTTTCCTTTTTCTTAAAGCCGCTAAGCCGTTAATAGCCGCTAAGCCGTTAATAGCCGCTAAGCCGCTAATAGCCGCTAAGCCACTAATAGCCGTGCTTCGCAAGACGAAAAAACCGCAAGACGAAGAGACTCGTGGAACAGATTAATTTCGTCTTGCGAGGCACCACTGTAACTGTTCCTTTGAGATATGGCTGCGTACAAATTATACTTCACTGTAAATTGATTCTGCCTTAATCTGCAGTGTGTCCATTTGAAAACAGATGAAGGCAGTTCCAGCCATCAGAGGGGTGTCCACACCTGTCCAATGACATTGTGGATGGGCATATATGAAGACCACAATCACCACATTCTTCTTCATTCACCTGGGGCATATGCAGGATGGGAAAGTTGTGGATAAGCTAACTAACTGGAGTGTTTTCAAATAGGTATCAAGCAACCCCACCCACCTTTGTGGACAACAGGATCTAGAATCAATCTAGAGGATGAACATGAATGATCTGGACTGATGAAAAACTACATTTTTTGTGCTACAAATGGGTTAGTGTGTACACAGCCTCAGTTGTCACAGCGTCTCAGTGTGAAATGTATAATTTACCACCAGGTTGGAGAGACTCTGTTCACATTGTTAATAGCACTGAATGACAGACCCCCTGCAAAGATTTGTCTTTCTGCTGGAAATTCTGAGGCGGAACCTGTTTTGCTAAATAAATCAGTTGTTGCAGCTGAATAAACACTGCCTGAGTTCCACAAACTGAACTCAACTTGATGCAATGCTGCATATAATAGCATTGTGCAGCTGTGGACAGACCACCTGCTGTGTAAACTGAGAGTTATTTATTAGGCAGATTACTTTTCCCTACATCTCCATGGGGAGAAAAATTACCATTACATTGCAATCTTACCCACGTCTAAGTCAGAAGTAAGTACCATTGAATTCAGTGGGGCTTACTCCCAGGTAAGTAGGGCTATGATGACTACGGAGCCTCACCAATGTGTATATCATTTGTCTTTGTCTCTATGACCTTTTTAAGACCCCCTCCATCTGTTAAGTAATTACTTTTCAGGAGAATACAAAGGAAGCTACCACACACTTGTCCACACACTAATATATAAACCACTTGATTGTAAAAAGCAGTTTACAAAAAGAATAGTTGTTATTATTGATTTAAAACATCATTCCCCTAAACTGCACCTGGAATAAGGATAATTACTATTACACTTGTGCCTGCAGTACACACTGTTTCATTTTATACAGAAAAGGTCTGATTTTTCTCCCAGTCATGTGCTGCCCCTCTGTGGAAAATTGGCGTGCATGCATACATTATTCTGTGTCCTTTCCAACTTTTGTCATTCTGCTCTGTGCTCTTTCTAGCTTGGTATTTATAATTTTGTGGGGTGCATTGAAGTCTGGATGCACCACTGATATTGGCAGGGACATACCTATCTTATTCCTAATACATTTTCCTCACGTTGCATCTGCTTCTGCATAGCCATAGCGCATTGAACAAACATTTTGAGGAAGCAATCCATGAGGACTTCATGCTCCGTGGTTAATGTCCAGTTGAGTAGCCAGATGCCAAAGACAGGAAGAGGAAAATTCAACTGGTGTAGCCTGTCACACAATTAATTGCGCATTGAACATCTCCATCAATGTGGAGATTAGGTTGATGCAAAGGAGAACTGCTGTCAAGAGTAGTATGGAAAAGGGGATTTCAGAAAGTGACGCTTTTGGGACTTTGCAACTTGGCTAACAACATCTGGGGCCAGGCAGAATAAACCCGCACCTAACAAAAGCCCCTCCTTCTACACAATGATTGCCGCCAATCATTTCGACACATGATTTCGCTCACTCAGGGCCGGCCCTAACATTAAGCAAGAGTGGGCAACTGGGGGGAGGCAACTGCACAAAGCGAACACTTTTGTGCACACAGCGCCACAGGCAATTGTGCATGTTAAGAGTGCAACCTCTTCTACTCTTCCTTTTAAAAATTCATTTATTTATTAGAGAATCCTGCTCCTCCTCTACATGCTTACTCAACGATAACCTCCACCTAAATCTTAACAGCAGTGAACACCTAAGCGTGACGAAATCAGGCCAGGGGTATTCAACGCCCTGCGCAGGCGCAGACGGGAACCGCCTAAAGTGACGGTTAGGACTTCGCTGCACGCGCAGCCCGAGAAGGCGCCTGCGCAGTTGGGGAGAGAAAAGGACAGGCCGACTTGCGGCGGGGCGGGGCCCGAGCGACGCGAGGCTGTGACGCAGCACGTCGGCCGGGCGTCCTCTTGGCCGGCGGTCACCGGCTGGCCGCCCTCTGCAGCGGCGTCGAGTCCTCCTCGGAGCCTTGGCGATGGAGTACATGGACCGCTCGGCGCGCTTCTTGCGCCCTTACCTGGTGCGCGACGCGGCGCGGAGGACGATGCCTTTGGGGCTGCTGGGCCTCATGCTGGGCGGCTGCGTCATCAAGGAGTGGGCGCCGCTGCCGGAGACCTACATGAGCAACAAGCGCAACCTGCTTAACATGTGAGGGGATGTGAAGAGGAGGAGGAGGGGCCTGGCGTTGATTGACAGGGAAGGGAGGGGGCTGAGAGGATGGGGCAGCTTGACATGGAGGTACTTTAACCGCGGTGGGGGGGGGGGGAATCTGAAGGGAGGGCAGGGCAGGGGGCGTATCTTACCAGGAGCTGTTGCATGAGGAGGTTGTTGCCCTTCTGCAAATAAGGGTGAGACCCTGTCAGAAAAAGCGGCTTTTGTTTATTGGGGTTTGATTTTATTAGGGCGAGTAGCCATGTAGCCAGCAGTGAAGCAAAAACCAATAAATGCAGTAACCGCTTGCCTAATCCCAGATGTGGAGAAAGCGTGCTGTCTTGATTAAACGGATTATCTTTCTAGGTGTGGCAGGAGCCAGTAATTTTCGTGATGGTAGTGGATTCTCTCCTGGCCACGTGCATTTAGGAAGCTGAGTCCATCTAGCGCATCCATGGCTGGGGGGACTTTGGCCCTCCAGATGTTGTAGCCCAGCAACATCCAGGGTTTCCTTTTCAGTAGCTCTCCAGGTTTTGGACAAGGGTCTTTTCCAGCCCCACCTGGAGATGGTGCAGATTGAACTCGGGAACTTCTGCATGCATGTGCTCTGCCACTAAACTCCAGCCCAAATTTAGAAGCATTAGCTGGGATGCTGGACCCTCTTGCATATGTCCCTCTTGCTGAAGGTCATTCTTGATCTGTTTCTCAGCTTGCTCCTCCTAGATACCTTTAGCTTCCTTTGAACTAATTTAATTTCTGAGAAATAGTTCATTTTGAATTTTCAGATTTCAATAAATAAATTTTATTGCGTTTTATTGTGCTAGCCAAAGGCCATGGCAACATCCAAAGAAAAGAAAGGAAAGGAAAACAACAACAACACAACATTCACTACATATGCAGTAAAACCATGGTCAGTTTTCAAATTAAACAGGGCACTTCGATTTTCGAGGCTGTTTACAACTTGCACCTATACCAAATATGATAGTTTTGTGGCCACTCAAGAGTTTTTTAAGGCTTGTACCAGATCCTGGACACTACTTTAGTGCCTCTTGTGTGGAAGGATCCATAAGTGTTTGGTACAAGCCTTGTCCAGAAGATTATGATAATTAACTAGGATGGATTTGGCAATATGCAGATGGTATAATTTTGTAACTTCTCTGAGCACATCTCTCTTACCTCCCTGGATCTTAGAATATTTCTTTTCAATTTCTCCCTGGCAGGTATTTTGTTAAAGTTGCCTGGGCCTGGACCCTTTGTCTGCTGCTGCCTTTTATCGGCATCACTACCTACCACGTCACCCGGAGCGTTGCGGTGGTGGTTCGACGTCTCAGTGCTTTGCTGGTTGGCACTGCCATTTGGTATTCATGCACCGGGGTGTTCCTGTACATTGAGGACCTGACAGGCAGCTGCTACAAATCTGCGGCCTTTGATGTACCGCTGAAGGAACATCCCAACAAACTACAGTGCCTAAAAGCTGGTGGCTTCTGGAATGGCTTTGACATCTCGGGACACTCCTTCCTTCTCTCATACTGTGCCCTGATTACTATAGAGGAGATGGCCGTGTTGCACATCGTGAACATCTCCCAGAACTCCAGAATGCACACTGTGGTAAATGGCTTTTTCCTGGCCCTGAGTTTCTTGACCATGATTTGGTTGTGGATGTTTTTTACCACGGCTGTGTATTTCCATGACTTCTCCCAAAAGTTATTTGGCACGTTGGCGGGTCTCTTGGCTTGGTATGGAACATACAGGTACTGGTACCTAACTCCTTTGTCTCCTGGACTTCCTCCGGAAAGAAGTAGTTGGAGTTCCCGAAAGTCCAACCGTAGCCTATAAAAAAAAAGAGTGCCTATGAGTCAGATTTTGTTTTAAAGAAAATTCTTTGCTTGATAACTAATTTTTAAAATAATTATTTTCAGTGTATTTAAAGGGAGGAGTTGAAGACAAAATATTTTTTGATTCTGTGTAGAGGTTTGGATTTATTTCCTCATAAAAGAAGGCTGCTGTTGGAGTCCTACTAATCATATGACAGTTAACCTTTTTCACTAATTCAGTGACAGCGTTAGTGATTGTGTTGGCAATGAAGTCTAAATTCCTTTAACTGGTGGGGCAGTGGAATGCATTCTCAAGGTTGGTTCGTTGGCTATGGAAGAAGCTAACATCTTACACTACACAAAAAAATAGAACTTGTTAGAAAAATATTAACAAACAGCAAGGGAGAAACCATTGTTGGTTTGGGCAGATTACTGGCTAATGGAGCTCCCTGGACCTGTCCTGGTCATGGCACACCACAATTTTATTTTTTATCATTGCTGTTATGCCCCTAAGTCAAGGATAGCTTGATGCAGACAAAGCTTTCTGTTAGTAGCTCCCTGAACCAATATGTTAGGGTAAGGGAGGGCTCTCTGCTGAGTCAGTGATAGTTTGAGCCACTTGTGGATTAACAATACAGAAATGCGGCTATAAAACAACTCTTAATTCTGTGAATAAGCATCTGTTCCAGCTGTTAGATGCTTTTAGTCTCCAGTTCTGCCGTAACATCCTTTCAGACTACCACAAAATGCATTTCCAGATCATTTTCTTTAGACAAAACAGCTTGCATAATCCAACCTTTGTGTTGGTATTTATTTTTTCCATGTAATTAAAAGCCTTTGAGTATCTTGACATTTACTACAGTAGCAATGTAATATCCTTGATTATTGCAACACACTTTATATTAGTAAAGCAGGGTGTTGGCTGCAAGATTGCTGCACTCACATTCTTCCCTCTTGCCTTAATCTGTTTAATGCTGTAAGATGTCCACAGTCTGCAGCAGAAAGGCAGTTTGTTCTTTTATGGGGACTAATGTTCTTTTTATATTGATTACATCAGCCGTTTCTTGGCATTGGGGAAAATTTATAAATGATCTTGTTTCAAATGAAATTTTGTAGATGCTTTATCTGTCCCCCACCCATCAATGACACTAACTTTAAAACACAATCTACTTTTACATAGTTTTACTACATTGCTTGCTTCAGCTCTGTGACTTGGCTGTCTGCTTTGAAGAAGAAATGCAATTATTTTTAATTCTGTTTTTAAACAAACAAACAAACTTGCATCTTAGCAAATGGTACTGCTTTGTACGTTAATACCCAAGGGTCTACTGTCCTTCTGGACCAAAGTCTGCAGTCCTGCAATGGAATTTTCAAGAAGTGGTTTGAATCTTCATATTAAGTATATGATGTTTAAGCTACTTAAGGTGGTATACTTAACACTAACAGCTCAATCCTAAACAAATTTACTTGCTTTGTAAGTACCTTCTTTTTTCACAGTACCCGCAAGAATAATTAGATGGAAGTTACTCCAGAAATAATCCAGTGGTGCTTATTTGGATTTTTAGATCCAAAATCCCTTTAGCAGTTTCTGTGCATGAAACTCCAGGATGCTTTAAAAAAATTCTTCCCAAGTTAAAACATGTCTTGCATGAAAGAACATGTAGAATGCAAATGTTCATCTCATTGACTTCTGTGGGGTTGAGATGACTTTTGCAAACATGTCAAATTTAAATGACTTCCAAATGGCAGATTGGGGTTGATACATACCACAGTATTCTCACGTATAAAAAGTTTGGTGCCTTCCTCAGCTGTTTGAATATCCGTCAAGAATAACTTTAATGAATAACTGTAGCAAACAATTAACAGTCAGCAGTTGGACTGAACTAAGATAAAATGACTACAATTCCCCAAAAGAGAATTGGGAGATGGCTATCTGATGGCATGTGTCATTTAGAGGACATGGAAGCAGCCTCACTTGATTGTATTTTTAAGTTGTCCTGTGGATCCTTCTGGATCAAACATCAGAGTATAATTCAGATACTAATAAATGTGACTTTATGCGCACATGAAGGGCAGTTTCCAAGCCTGTGGGAGCCCTTTTTCCCTGCCAGTGTAATCATGGCAACCATTATTGCTATAACCAGTTTAGCAGCCAAGTTCATGCTGACTTTCCACTCAAGGAAATTAGTCTCCTGAGGATGGTTCAAGGCAGCTTGCGGGTGGTAGAAAAGTGCTAAGTGAGAACAGATCCCAAGTATTATTTGTTTCTTTTGTTGGCATCTTGTAAAAGTTCTATAAGCTGTAAGATTCGGTACATTTATTTTTTATGTAATATTAATGTTTTAGTGTTTTGCATTTGTATTATTTTTTTAAAAAGACAGCATGCACTGATATATTTCATTGCTATTATTTATCTGCATGCATTTTATTTGTGTGCATACTTTCTGCTGACTGTATGTGCTAAACATTGTCGGCTGCATGGCTGAGTTTCATTACACACAGCATCAATGTTGGTAGTCAGCAAAAACCCTCCTGTGGTTTATGTTCTCTTTTGTCCTCCATGGAGTAATTATTTGGAATTCACATTCACTTCATATCATATTTTCTTCTTGTCTACTCAGACATGAAGACCTGCTTCAATAGCTATTGACAATGAGCAGAACTATCTAGCAGCCTTCATTATATTTCATTATCTTTAATAAACTGCTATCTCCACTAGCATTAAGTAGAAGTGACTAACCTATGGCCCCTGAGATGAGTTGGACTCCAACTCCCATCATCCCTGATAATTGGCCTTGCTGGCTGAGGCTGATGGAAGTTGGAGTCCAACAGTGAAGGGCTACAGGTTAGCCACCTCTTCATTAAAGCAGCGTCTTCATCATACACTTAAAAATGTTTATTTAGGAGGATTTCATTCCATGTAAAGGAGCAGAAGCACTGGAACTAAACATTTTGCTGCATTTCAACCAGCAGCTTGTGCCACAAACAGCTGCTTCTTGTCTTTTTACTGTCTTCAGTGGAGAGCAGGTTTGTGGTCCTGTTGACATTGACTCTCTATAAAGCTCTGGGTATCTCATAATTTAGGTTCTTTGGTGCAGATTCATGACTTGGAAGTAAACAAACATACGGTACTTGCATTCTGAGTTGTTGTGCCAAAGCACCTTTAAGCTGCCTTTTCTGAATATGACGTGAGTTGAGGCTGCATGCAGCTTGTTTGCTTTTTAAAGCCTATTGACAACTGCTGTTATATAGTTCTGATCTATGAAAACCATTTAGAGGCTTTTCCATTGAATTCCTCAGGAGTGGGCTGCATCCTAATTTTGCATGGCTCACATTGACAAATATTTGCTGGTTTGGGAATCTTACCTGGTTTAATCAGCTGAAATATGAACCAGCCTTCAAACCATGGCATCATATCCTGGTTTGTTCCAAAGTGGTTAACCATCGTTTCACTGTTAGAATTACATAAGAAATTTATTGTTAACTGAAGATTTTGTGGCTTGTTTCCTCCCCTGAAAGGAAGAGCAAAGGGGCTACGCACACATTTACAATCCCCATTCACATGTCAGCGTATTAAGCCAAAATAACGATTGGCCAAATGCAGCCATTGTATGCCTAAAATGTAAGTAAGGGATGGGGAACTTGGGACCTTCCACATGTTGGACTACCAGTTCTGTCAGCCTCAGCTAGCATGGCCGATGGTCAGGGATGATGGGAGTTGTAGTCCAGCCACATCTGGAGGTCACCAGTTCCTTATGCCTGATGTAGATCATATTGCTTTTTTTAGCTTTTAACAACATGCACAAAATATTCTAAATAAAAAATGGTACTTAAAAAATAACACTATATATAATATATAGATACCTTATTGACAATGTATTAAGTAAGTGCCTATTGCAAACCTTTAAAAGAAAAAAAATGGGTTTTGGAAAGGTCATGCTTGCTTGTATGTAGTCATGAGTAGTAATTACTTCTGATTCTAACCACAATTTGGGTCTAGGCCCCAGTGATGTAACTGGGATTTACTTGCAAATGTACACATTCAAGATTGCATCATTAAAAGAGCCATGCCATGAGGTAGGCAGGTCACGTGGTTAGTTTTTGGAGAGGAGCACTGGGGTTCAAATAGTTTTTAAAAATAAAAAGCTATGGGGAAGTTAGAATGAATTACGTTGAGATTAACTGCTTCTTTGAGCAAAATGTATGGATTTAAATTATCCAGGCATTTTTTGAGAGTGCCCAGCTTTGGTCTAGTTTTAGTGAACATTTGAACAACCGCATGATGCTGATTCATCTGGGTGCATTCATGTGAAAATTGCTCATTTGGACAAAATGCAGCATCCCAAAAAACACTCCTGTGAATTGTAACGATTGTTGTACCCTCTGCAGATAACTCTGCCCGGATAGTTCAGATGAACAAAACATCTTCAATTGTACGTGAGCCTGGGAGTTGTTTCCACAGCCATCCATGCATTGTAACCATTATACTGGGAGTAGTCTTCAGTTTCCTATCTCAAAACAATAGGACAGCATGACAGGCAGCTCTATATAATATAAATTGAGGGGGGGGGGGAAGCTGGTATTCTTCAGGAAGAAGTCGTTCCATTTATACATTATTGCAGAAGACCTGGCATGAGGAAGGATGTGTGCACTTTTTTCTTGGTTTGCAGACAACCGCCTGATTTGTGAACACACCTAGTCTTGGTATATGGAGCTACAGTATTCAGTGGACTGGTGAAATGCTGGATGATTGTTCTCTTGTGTCTTTGCTTGCATTTGAGTCAGATTCCAGCTGGCTTATACTATGCATTATGCTAATAACAATCTCTGGAATTCAAGGGCACTGAACCTTCTGCCCAATGGTCTTGTTTCTTTGTAGGAGGAGGGATACTTAATACAATATAATTCTAACCACTGAAGTATAAATAAATTCACCCCAGGATCGGAAGGATTTGACATATTTGGCAAAGCAAAAGGCTGGATTTGAAATGGATTTTTGTTAAAGACCTTGTTGCCGATACCTGGATTTTTTTCCTTTTAAAAGAACTGATGTATTTTGAATGGAATGATGGAAACAGAGCAAGTGTAATCGTGACAATACTGGGCAAAAACAACATTGTCTTGTCTCAATAAAGTTAGTTCAATGTAACTCCTGTCATTTTCATTTGTGCAGAAATTATGAAATGTAAAATTTTTTTTGAGATTGCAAAATATATCCCATATTCTAATAGCAAGCACATTCTCTTGATCTTGCTCTTTATGCAGCCAAAATAGCACATTCACCTATAAGAGACATGTTTCACAGTACTGAAGGAACCACAAGTTTTGTAGAAGTGCAAACCATCGGGGGGGGGGGGGGGCTAAGCGGAAGATGCCCCGCGCACAAGAAAAACCCAACTCTGGACCAAGCGTGTTGAATGGATATGGAATTTCGACTGACTGGATTTGGGACCTGAACACGGCAAGATTTTGTTGGAAGTCCCACTATTTTGCTTCAAATGCAGTTTATTTTGTAAACATGACACTATAGATTATATTAAAGGTGTAACACAGTAACATTTCAATGCCTGCAAGCCCAAAAACAATTAAGGAAACCCTGTTGAATTAGTCTTACATGCACATGTTTACTTGGAAATATCAGGTTGCATATTTTGATTGGCTTTAGTTAATTCGGTAGGTAAGGTTGATAGACAAAATATCCTTCTAGTCATTGAGTAGGCAGTTGAATCTTGTTTGGATTGTCACTGATTTCACTCCCTTTTGTCCCAGTTTATTGGATGTATGAATGCCATACGAAGCAGATGGGTGTCCCTAGATGCACAGCCAAATTTTATAGGGACAGAAATCTGCTTCTTTTCTCTTTGGGGTATGTTGCTTGATTGAATGCTGATTGGTGGCCTGGCCTTTTCGGATTGTGTATTATCTGCCTTTGTATTGCATCCTGTAGGAATGAAAGCTTAACATCGCTCAAGCTGGCAGTAGAACATCGAATTGTTCCCTAGAAAATCAGGAGGCTGCCAGAAAACTAGAACAGGGCACGTCCGGAATGTATGGTGGTTGGAGCGGCTTTCTAAACAGAAGATGCTTAAGCAAACACACAGTTTTTGTCCTTCCTGGAATGTAGTGTGCTGTTAAGGGAGTCAGGAGGGGGTATTGCATGACTCTACAGATTCTCTGGTGATCAGGTTGCTAAAATGGATGAGTATCTTGGATAACCAGAATGCAGTTCAACTGAATTCCACATAAAGGATTGAGGGGTGGAAAATACCTAAAATGTTAAGATGATTAGAATGGTGATTTAATGGAAGGTTTGTTAATAAATCAGGCCCCTGAAAAGTCTCTCTCTGGAAGGTGGGGCCCCCTCCTGAACAATGTGGGTGGGGTGTGAGGCTCAAAATGACTGGCTGCTGGGGGAGAAGGGTGGAAGAAACCTTTCTTCCATGAACTTCCTTAAGTTCACATTGGCTTGGAGATCCCTGCATTGTAGGGGGTTGGACTAGATGACCCTCGGGATTCCTTCAAACTCTACGTTTCTATAATGTTTAGAGTGGCAGCGAGCAAGTTCCTCTAGGTTTGGATAACCTATGGTCAGCTAATACAGTGGTGCCCCGCAAGACGAATGCCTCGCAAGACGGAAAACCCGCTAGATGAAAGGGTTTTCCGTTTTTGAGTTGCTTCGCAGGACGAATTTCCCTATGGGCTTGCTTCGCAAGACGAAAATGTCTTGCGAGTCTTGAGATTTTTTTTTCCGCTTCCCCCCCCCTTTATCTAAGCCGCTAAGCCTTTAATAGCCTTTTAGCAGCTAATCCGATAAGCCGATAAACCTTTAATAGCCGCTAAACCGCTAATAGCGCTAATCCGTTAAGCCGCTAATAGGGTTGCTTCGCAAGACGAAAAAACCGCTAGACGAAGACACTTGCGGAACGGATTAATTTCGTCTTGCGAGGCACCACTGTAGGATGTAACCAAAAATGCAAAGGAGTAACTAAGATGGATTTTAAGATATCTTTGGATTAGCATTTGCTTGCAGGAAGCATGTTTCTCAGCCATCTACAGACTTGCAAACTGGGTCCCCTCACCCCGCCAAGTTACATTTACGGTACTGGGTTTTTGCAGTACCCGTGTGGCTGAAACAGCTAAATACTTGATCTAAACATCATTGGTTAATAGACTATGATGTAGAAAACTGTCATCGCACACAGACACGTGTGTGTACAAACACATCTGCTTAGTTCCAACCACCCTAAAAATAGAGTTGCAGCTGGTGGTGGATTAGCATGCACACACAAAATGTGTTTATTTCTGTTCACATGGTGTCTTATATCTTGAAGAGGGGAATAAATGCCTCTGGTCTTGGTACTGCGTCTCAAGGTATCAGCATGTGATCCAGTCTGCATAGCGCTCCACACGGTATAGATAAAAAAAGCTTGGTTCTGCACATCTAAAGCTATGAAACTTTTTTTCCATTTCTCAAACCTTGCCACAAACAGTAGTTCTAAATCTCTTAAACCAGGCTTCCTGAAACTCGGCCCTCCAGATTCCCATCATCCCTGACCACTGGTCCTGCTAGCTAGGGATTATGGGAGTTGTAGTCCCAAAACATCTGGAGGGCCGAGGTTGAGGAAGTCTGTCTTAAACTGAGGCTGCGTATACACACCATATATTTACAGCCCTCTACCCTGAATACAGGGGGAAGTATAGTTCCCCCCTCAAAGCTATAATTCCAGCACCCTTAAAATAGAGTTCCCAGGATTCAGGAGTGGGTGTATAATTTAAATATATGGTGTGCATTCAGCCTTCAGCTTAGTAAGCTGTTTGCCCTTCCCAATCTAACTTTAGTTCTCTGTAACAATGGTTAAATTATATGTGATGCTTGCTAATCTAGGGATGGGGAGCTGTTTTCTATTTCTGGATTACTCAAAAGAAACACCTGTTGTTTCTTGCTGTTCAGAATTGGTTTACAGGTTATTTGTAGTTCTAGGAGCTCTGTTAAGTCTCCTCCATTTCAACCACTGTTCTGGTGCATTACTGTGGTTTTAGCGTGCCCATTATTTTAAATAAAGAAATATCAGTGTGGGACAATAATGTAATAGATTTGCATGCACTGCTCCATCAGTTTTGAGTGAACGTTTAGAAAGTTTGAAATGTAGAAGAGGACAGTTTAGGGACAGATTCTTGAAGTGTGTGTGTGTAAGTGTATTATGAGAGATTTGGCTGTTATTCCCAGCGGAGCCTTTTGATAGCATGTGCTTTTGGGTATGGTACTTAAGAGCTCTTCACAGTTAGATGAACAAACCAGTTAAACAAGTTTTTATAACTTCTTTATCCATTAAAAGTAGTGGGAGTAACAGTTGGAGCCTATGCGTGTTTACTCAATCCCACTCAATTTAATAGGATTTAACTCCTAAACAAGAGTACAGGTAACCCCCAATTTGTGCAGGGGTTGCATTCCAGGTGCACATACTGAACGCATGTAAATCAGTCGTTGCCTGTACATATAGCCATAATGTTAGCCCATTTGAACTCAGTGGGATTAATGTCTGAACGTGCATGTATCAGATCCCGCTGTTAATGGCCACCAAGACCATATTTTAAAAGAGTGCTATTCTTAGCAAGAATGTCATGTTAACCCCTAGTCCCAATTAAGGTGGCCATGGGGCCATATCTTGCATGGCATAATGGTTAGGGAAGGGCAAGCGGTCTTGCTTGGGCTTGGGAGCCTGGGAGAGGGAAAATAAAAAATCCTCTTAGGGTTTCACTGCTTTAAAAAATGTGTGTCGCAGTATATATGCCAGAAATGCCATGACAGTGGGCATTCAGGTGGCCGTGCTGCTAATTTGAGATGAAGACCGTTGCCTTAAGTAGCTTTCTTGCACATCTCACCAATCACACAAGGGCTCCAACTACTGCAGCTGACTGAAGAACAAAGGCAGGCTGAAGCTGACCTAGCATTCAGGAGGGCCAAAGGAAAACCAGGAGCTACGTTAATTGGTATTCAGAGCCCTGGCACTCAATTGGGCAACCCTCCAGATGGGGCAGGAAGTGCAAAGAAGATCAAATTAAGCACCTGCTCCCGGAAGTGAGGTTGTCTGCGAGGGTCAGAAGATGGCAATAACATTGCAAATGGAAGCTGGCACTGAAGCTGGAAGGCAAAGCGGGGAGGAGCGCAAGTTCAGATGAGACTAAAGATGATTCAGGGATCTGCTGCAGCAGTTTGCCTGAATCCTGGAGTGAAGAACAGAAAACTATACCAAATATGGGTGGGTGGGGAGGTTGCAATGGAGAAAGCACCTATAATTTATACAAAGCTGAATCAGACCACCTGGCTGAGTTTTGTCTACGCTAACTTGCAGTGGGCCTCCAGCATTTCAGGCAGGTCTTCCCCAACCCTACCCAGAGATGGCAGAGAATGAACCTGGGACTTATTGCATTCAAAGCATGTGCTGTACCTGTTGAGCAACCGTTCTTCTCCCAGCTAATTAAAAAAACTTCAATAAATTTTGCAAAGGTTTGTATTTGGGGGAGTGGGGTTGTGGGGAGAGCAGTAGGAGGGTTTACAAGATTTAAATGCAGTTAATGTCTCTTATCAATCGCTGGTGGGAGGAGAGAGACACAACCCACACAAACCGTTAGCAAAAAATGGCCTACGTTCCCCCCCCCCACAATTCACAATGCATTCAAAATGACTCTGGAAAATCTGCCTTTCAGGCCTGTGTCAACATGTTCTCGTAAATATATCCTGGAGGGAAACGGCAGGTGTGAAATCTAAAACTAGAGATCTTTAGCGAAATGAGGAACAATGCAATGGCTGGCTTGACCGGCTGGATGTAGAGGAATGGTGGGAGGTACCAGCTGGGGAAAAGACAACTTCCTTCCCTACAAACCCTCTCAGATGCTAAGATTGGCAGAGGGGTCCCTGTTGGTGGCAGCGGTGGAGCATATGCCTGACGGCTCGGGGTAGGCTTGGGAGTCGCAGGCGTGGGTCGCACCAAATGTCACCCCCCTCAGTGAGGGCACCCGGGGCGCTCCGCCCCCACCCCCCTATCCTACGCCCCTGGTTGGTGGTTCATCTGTTCTCAAAGGCACGACAAATCAACAGCAGCTGACTTTTTGCAGTGAGGGAGCTGACACGGTCACATCCACACCATATGTTAAAAGCACTTAGCTTCCACCAAAGAATCTCAGAAACCATAGTTTGTTAAGAGTACTGGGAATTGTCGCCCTGTGAAGGAAAAACCGCGGTTCTCAGGATTTGGGCAGGGGTGGGGGGAAGCCATGGCTGTTAAAGTGGTATAAATGTGCTTTCGATGTATGGTGCGGACGTGACCCATGCAAATGCATGGGAAAGTGGGGAAGGACGAATGATTAAGGGTAACATGTATGAGCACTCTGCAAGCAACTAGGGATGAGTGCAGGGTGAATGCTCATGGTCATATAACTGCCCTGCAAACAGATCAGAATGAATGCTCAGTAGAGAGCATTCCCCATGCAATTTAACCCCTGTGTAAGGTTTCTGCAAGCAAACCAACAAGAATGCTTAATAATTGCCTGGAAGAGCACTGAAGTCGAGGAAAAAACATGCATCTCTTTGTTAATACAGTCGTACCTTGGAAGTTGAACAGAATACATTCCAGAAGTCCGTTCGACTTCCAAAACATTCGGAAACCAAAGCATGGCTTCTGATTGGCTGCAGGAAGCTCCTGCAGCCAATCGGAAGCCGCGGAAGCCCCGTCCGATGTTCGACTTCCAAAAATAGTTTGCAAGCCGGAACAGGCACTTCCAGGTTTGCGACGTTTGGGAGCCAAAACGTTCGAGAACTAAGCTGTTCGAAAACCAAGATACGACTCTACTTCCTATTCATGGAGTAAATCATGGCAAATTCTGAGGCTAAGCCAACCCCTGACTACATTAAAGTAGAAAAAGGCACAGTGTGTGCAGACATGAGTCAACTGATGCTAAACACATTTAGAAATGTAAAGCCGTTACTCCTCCCATATGGTTTATTTAGGTTCTCAGAGGGTTTTTAAGCATGAGTAGCAGTGATGCTCATTACTCTTTCCAACATGCAAAAGGCACAAGAAAGTGAGAAAGGTGATTTTCTGTGCAAAGTGTTTCTAAGAAAATACACAGCAAAAAAGTGACTTTAAAAAAAATGCTCCTCAAGGAAGGAATGGCGAGGGGAAAGGAAGAAAGAAATGAAAACACATCCTTTGGAAATGGCTTGAAACTTATGAAAACAGTCATGTTGTTCGAGTCCGGCAAGGCTCCTTTGGTGAACGATGCTTGGCAAATTCATGAAAGGAACTCGAGGCAAACACCTCAGTAAGACAGAAATTCATCTGTGAAATCAAGGATACAATCAGAAGAAACCCACTGGCTGTCAACAATTAAAAAAGCAAATTAAAAAAATATAGAAGTAGAAAGTGGATACATTCTAAGCGCAAGTCGATTAAAAATGCTTGATTGAATGGAAATGATGGTATACAAAGAGAGAAAGAGACACAAATAATTCATTTCCACCTTAAGCTAGAACTTCACAAACTACTGTGGTCTGACTGTGTTCATTCTATTTCTGTTGTGTGCGTGTCTGTGTTTTGTTAAAAAATAAGCCTATGTCATCATCACAACACCACAACAGCTCTTAGGAGAGAAAAGTCCCCGCAATTTGCACCTGTGGGAAAAAATGTGCTATGTGGCCAACAAACATTGGAAAAAATGTAAAGGTGCAGAAGATAACCCCGTCTTTCCATTTTGTGTTGCTGGGGGTGTTGTTGCTTCTCTTCTAATGGCGCTTTCCTGTGCTAGAGGGCAGTTTTGCTCCACAGAGGTTGTGTAAGCATTAACACAACCACTGTTTACGGTTGTATAATACTTAAACCTAAAAAAAAAGGCATTGTACAAGTTGAATTTTTGTTGTCGTCGTTGATTCGCTTTCCTTGCAGTATAGGTTTTTCTACTTCTAGACTATGGAATGTTACATTAACAGTATAGTTATTCATATTGGTTTCAAATTTCATTACAGTTACTGAAGATTCATCATGGTTTCACACAGCACAGAGACACCAAACTAAACACCGGGAACAGCCTGCATTAGATGTATTTTTTCTTTAGATACCAATACGCAAAATACCCCATCCCCCCTAGAGATCCCATGAGGAAGGAGGCTCCGAAAAAGGATGGTGGTTTCCGCTTGACCAGCCTAAAGGCATTGGGTACCACTGCCGAGAGGAGGGTGGTATGTATGTCTCCCAAAACTTTCCTGAAGGCAAAGCGTTTTTGTATCCTTTCAAAGAAGTTCTGTAGGTTGGGTCTACTGCCATCTTCCCAGTATTTCTTAGAGAGTCCTAGAAACTTGAGGCGATGCAGCGTGGCTCCCAGCAAGATGTCAGCCAAGGTGAAGACACACCCACAAAGCCAGAGTTCACACTTCTGCCCTGGAGAGCAAAGACAACACAGAAGCAATATATTAGAAAAGTTTCGTCACACCTAAACACTTAGGAATGGAGACAAAGTCCAATCTTGGAGCTTATTGACTTCCATTTTAGGCTGATGCAATGCATACCCTCCAGTTTTGTTGTTGTTTAGTCGTATCCATTTTGTCAACTCTACACTTGTTTTCCACTGGATAGCCTTGTGTCCTGCTTTACAGAGGACAGTCCTCTGTAAGGGTGCCAAAGGGCAGTTCTCCATTCCAAGGTCCATCTGCTATAAAGTAGGCAGAGCAGAGGCCAAATCAACTAAGCAGGCACATAGGGCACCCAGTTATGGTTAGATGTCCTCAATTGCTATCTGAATTACTAAATTTGCATATATGCATATCAATTAACACAGAGATTTTATGTAAATTTATGGCACCCACTTTTGTCTTCTTTTTGGCGAAGCCTAACTGGCCACTCTAGATTTTCACCAAATTTGGTACAGAGAAAGAGAAAACCAGCCTTTCCTTGCAGCCTACATGGTGGGCAGCTCTTCAATTTTGGGCCAGTTGAAAAATGCAGGGGCAGAGACAGAGGAATTTTAATTTGCAATTAAAATTTAAATTGAATCAGAGGTCATTTGTCTGGTGTCAAAACTCCTTTAACCGGTACTAGAACAAGAAGAAAGGCAGGGCAAGGCTTCCCTTTCCTGCTGTGTTGTCTCTTCCCCTGCTGATCTTAGCAGAATTTGATGAATCTACCGTGAATGAACAGCATTTGCAGCAGGCTTTGAAACTGTGAAGTCATTCATCATCAAAATCTTTGTGGCATCCAGTGGCAACTCTAAAGGTTATAGGCCTTCTTAATCCCCCAAAAAGGTGGGATGTAATTTCAAACAATTGCAACACCTTGCTTGTTTGTTTTGGTTCTTCAAGCTAATCTTCAGCCCAAAGAAAAACCTGCAGTGAGGCAGTGGAGAGGGGAGCCTTCAGGGTGAGTCATATGAGGACTCAATAACTTTCCTCTCTTTGGAATGGAGCAATTAACCCCACTGTGCTGGCGAATTTGTTGGGCTCTTTTCTCCCAGCCCAACCTTGGCAGCTGGAATCCAAGCTCTCTATCGGTTGCCAATTAGCTCCCCACCTCCTGCAAAAGTGAATACTAGCCTACTGGCTGCACAGTGAAGCCTTGTTGTCAGGTTTCATTCCCAAAGGGAGAAAATTCGCCATGTGATACACAGACACCACACTTCCTGAGATTAAGGGTGTCTCTGTACTGTACTTTAAAGCAAGTCGCTTTCTCCAAATAAACCTTAGCATCCTTAACAAGTTGCACTTTCCTTCTGTTTAAGTTTATTAATATTTTGCAATTTACACCAATGTCTCTAGAAAGGAGATACAGTGGTACCTTGGGTTACATATGCTTCAGGTTACATATGCTTCAGGTTACAGATTCCGCTAACCCAGAAATAGTGCTTCAGGTTAAGGACTTTGCTTCAGGAGGAGAAAAGAAATCGTGCTCCGGCGGCCCCATTAGCTAAAGTGGTGCTTCAGGTTAAGAACAGTTTCAGGTTAAGAACGGACCTCCAGAACGAATTAAGTACTTAACCTGAGGTACCACTGTATAAATACTTGATGATGATGATGATGATGATGATGATACTAATGATGTTATGAGTTTAGTGTGTGGAGAAAGCTGTATGCTTAGACCCTTCTAATTCCTGGATCCAGCAACTGTGAAAATTTAAGCAAAGATTCAAATTCCTGGAATAGCCGGACTAGCTTCCTAATGGAGGTGGTAGCTTGGGTAATGGGCCATTAAGGAAACAAAGGGCGTGGCTCAGTGCCAGGAGAAAAATGGGTGGAGCCCCCTTCCTCAGCTGGCTGGTATCTAGAAAGACAAAGGCCAGAGTTGAGAGTGGAGTGATTTGAGCTAGAAGCAAGGAAGTAGCAGGCTGAGAAGCCAGAGAGACAGAGCGATGCTTGATTTCTTATTGAATCCAAGGTTGCAAGCTATGGGGCCCTCTTTGGGTGATTATGCTGTGAACCCCTCCATCGTGGGCTCAGGTTGTATATATGTGTAAATAAACCATATATCATAAAGACACCACAGTCTCTGCTGTGCCTCATTCCAAAAGGAAACATGAACCCTGAGTGTTTGTCTGGAATTTCGCACCACTTGGAGATTGGGTGGCAAGCCACAACAATGATAAACAGCCAGGTGGCACAGGTGGCATCCCTAGCTCTCTGTCACCTTTTTCTAAAGAACCTTTCAAGGAACCCTCTAGGTCTAATGCCCCACATTAACACAATGCACATTCTTTTCCAGTTTACTCTTGTCTGCATGTCTCACTGCTTCTTCTGTAAAGTCCATGCATTAATACGGATGCCCACTGGACGCAACATTTATCCACCGCCCACTCTGGAATTTAACTTCTAGAGACAATAAGGAAGAAGCTGGACACTGAAGAATGAAAACATGAGCAGCTCTCGTTATTATAACAATGGCACATTTTTATGCATAAAATGTGGTACCCAAAAATAGCTCTTTCTCTGCCTCCTACTTTGCAGCATATTGCACTCATAATTACTGGGTACCTCGCACTGTGATGTCTGTCACCTTGGCACTTTTGCATGTAGCTCGACCAAGCCTGCTAGGATATATTTTTTCTTTCCAAGCACAGCCTCTGAGAGAATAAGAAGCGGCTTGAGAGATTAGAACCTGGCTGACTTTCAAAGCCAAAGAGAAAACCCCTCTGCAGGCCAGCCCTGGGATACATTGGCAGGTGCAGTTATTAGAAATGTCAGTCTTCTGCAGAGAAGGACTTGTTTTTAATAGCCATTCTCTCCACTGGAAAGGCTGTTAAAAATATATCTCCTGTGTGAAAAGTTCCCTGCTGCTATTTCTTGGGCAGATACGTATTCACAAACTCTCTTCAGGTCAAAACTACCCACATCTTTTCCCCAGCGGGAGCAAAAGCAGCAGGGGGTGGGTAGGGTTTTCAACAGAAAAATTGTGCTGATTTTCAACCTCAAACTGCAAGCTCAGTGGGTACATTGTGTTAGGAAACAACAAACACGCCATAAACTGTAAGATTCTAGGAGTGTGAAGGGAGCTGGCAGAGATAATTTTTATTTCAGAACTTTTGTTTCCACTTGGCTTTGGGCGCTGTTTTTTCTGGATCTGAAGTCACTAGCCGTATTCATATGAATCCCTGCCCCAATAGTCCTCTTGAACCCAGTGCTTTGTTCTTCCTCTTCTTTCCTCTTTTCTGTTTGTTCTGCCTCTTTTGATGCCTTTGATTCTCCAAATATGCCTCTGTTTCCTATTGCAAGTGAGTCAGTTGTCAGGCCCTAAATTTACACAGCTGTCTATGACATCAGAGAATCAATGCCAGGGTTGTCATACGTCTGGAATTTCCCAGACACATCCAGTTTTTGGGGGCCAGCACCCTCATCTGGGCAGATTTTTGCATTTTGGATTAAGTGTCCAGCTTTGGGGGTTTTCTGTTTCTGTTTTCATGTTGTTGTGGTTTTTTTTGTGGGGCCCCAGAACAGGAAGCAGATATCGGGTGGCCTGGAGCGGCTTGCTGGGGGTCGTGCTAGGCCTGGTGTTGTTCCTGGCGGTCGCCTGGCCTTGCATGACCTTCCCAGGGCCACTCAGCCTCCCATCGTGAGAAGGAGGCTGAAGACAGCAAAGGTAAGAGGGAAGGGAAGAAGGGGGGAACAGGCGGGCGAGGAAGGGGTTAGCAGCAGGGAGGGGGTGAGCGATGGAGATGCGGGATGGTGAGGGAAGTGCCCTGATGGTAGGGTGGGGTGTCTGGCTCTCCATCCCCAGAATATGGAAACCTTAATCAATGCTGCACTATGGTGTCAGCACATCTTTGGCTTCAATTGGCTCAGGTGACATGACATACTGTAGGATCACAGCCACCAGTGCTTTGATGTCATATGGAACCCTGCAAGCTTTGGACCTGAAGTGAACAGTGGCAGTGGGCAGAAAGCAGAAAGTTTGATTGATTGATTAAAAAACAACAACAACCCTTCAACAAGAAGTATCTGTTTCATGAGGTTCTTCCTGTCCCTCTAGTACTATGAATTTTGGAAATGATGCGTGCAGGCTCCCTAACATTATGATTAAATTAGAAGAACCACTAAGGAAATAACCACCCATAGAGCGTTCATGTTGCAAAACATAGTATAAACTCCTGCCTGAGTATATATCACTGTTTTTTTTTATCCAGATCAAGGTTTTTTTTATCCAGATCAAATCAACAGAACAAGTTAGTCACAACTAGCATTTCAAACTGATTTTGTTGCAACTAACTGGGTGTGGATTCAGCAGTATGGCAGGCACAGCTGGCATTAGCTTAGCACTTGGGATGGGTAGATCTGTCAATTCTGGCTTCTCTTTTATATATATATAAATTTTTATTAGTTTTTTAACATATCATTTTCAACAGTAATTAAACATACTTTTACATATATATATATATATATATATATATATATATTAGTTTTTTAACACTGTCAATTCTGGCTTCTCATTTTTTCCAGTGTTAAGTACAGTTCTCCATATTTCCATATCAGTTTGCAAAGTATTTTTCTTAAGGCTTCATGAAAATTCTTCAGCAAATTTATCCTAATATACAATTTTTGCAAAGAAATTTTGGGAAATATGCACTTTTTTCACAAAGCGATTTTGCCTAATATGACTTTAAGTTTTGGGTTTTTTTTACAACCAATTTCATGAATTTTATGAAATAAAATGAATAAAAACAATATGATGCATTTTTGTAGTTTTCACCAACATAGGCATTTTTATGCACCTTTTACCCTAGTATATGCCTTTTTGTACACGTTACATGGGTGCGGAACTACACCGCTATATTTGGTGAACTGCGAAAATTCTGAAGGGCGGTTGTGTTTCAGTTCATATATGCTTTTGTAAAGTGCAAATAAGGTAGTTTTGCATTTAAATGTGAATTGAATCAAACTTATCCCTGTACTTACTTAGCACATTAACAGAAGTATACATTTCTACAGGAAACTCTCACGGTGTGCCTTCCATCTCTGGGCTTGAGTCTTTAGCTGGTTCACTATGTTAGGGTTGCCATATTTCAAAAAGTAAAAACCAAGACACCCCAAAAACGCTGCTCTTTGGAAATCCCCCCCGGACATCAATTCTGCCTTTCAAATCCCAGTAATGTCCGGGAAAATCCGGACGTCTGGCAGCCCTAACTAAGTATTATAGGTGCTCTCTTTGAAGTATGATATGTCAGTGTGTTAAAGAGTTGCTGCAGTAAGTGCAACAGTCAAGGTTCATCTGGGAAAAGCAGGAGGACCCCTGACAGAACATGGAACCCTTCTGAGCTATTCTCAACAGGAGATTTTCAAAGCATACTCATTGCTCTCTCTCTCTCTCTCTCTCTCTCTCTCTCTCTCTCTCTCTCTCGTTCCTAATGTATTTTTCTTGGCACGAATACACAATCAAACCTGACTCACAGCTGGACGCAAACAAAACGAATGCCTGCTGGTCTTGATCGAAGGAAATGTGGACCTGAACTGAGGAAGAGGCTTCAAATGGTTTTGATGGGGCGGAGGGAAGCAGCGCTAACTTAATGCAACTATATTGTCCTTGAGATGTCTATGTCAGAGTGGGATTTAAGGCAACATGACTGGTTCCCCCATATGGGGTGCCGAGCCTAGGGGGTGCTGCAAGGTGTTGAACTGTGATGTAGTGAATTGAATTGAACTGAATGGAAGGTGAGAGGTGGTGGGGGGGGGAGAGAGCTGAATTTTGGCCTCGCACAGGGCACCACACACACACCTCCTCCATCCAGGCAAGCAAAAGCCATGGTTCAATTATATTTTCCAACCAGGCAAAAGTACTAAAGGAGGGCACAAAGCAAGGTGGTGAGGGGAATGACCTGGGGAGAGAGGGGGTGCAGCTTGGAGAACTCCAAGCGTGGCATTTAGCCACAGGGTCTGAGGTTCCCAGCCGCTACCTTCAGTCTTTCTTTAGATGCAGTCACTGCACTTCCTGTTTCTTTGTTCCGTGAGTCCTTTTGTCCAGTCATCTGCTATGGCCAGCTGGACTTGCCAAGCCTTACCTTAGTGATGATAACATCACAGCAGATAATGATACTACTGCTACTAATAATCATTAATAGTTGACAGCAAAATATAACATCCTTCTGATAATGGATTATATCTCATCTAACAAAATCTGCTCTAGCTTTACCTGCCAAATAAGGTTTGCTCTCCAACAGTCTCGCGCAGCAGACTTAGAAAATAATGTCCGCAACAGCATGATGCCTACCTTGGTATTCAATTTTTCTTTTCTCCAGCTCAGCTTCAATCTGATCTAGCACCATTCCCAGATCACCCAGGATTTTCTTCAAGTAGTTCACATTGTCATGTTCTAGGATCTTGGCCTAAACAGTAAATGTTTACATCAAAATTGAACAAGAAGAATGTGTTTTCACACAATTTGAACGTAATAATAATAATAAATTTTATTTATATCCCGCCCTCCCCAGCCAAAGCCAGGCTCAGGGCGGCTAACAACAATCAAATAATCAAACAATCAAATAATCCAACATTCTAAATAATCAAACAATCAAATAATCCAACGTAGTGGATATTTTACAAATAAATGACTTTGAAAGGTCTCATCGTTGTTTTGATCAATCTTGTCAGGGAACTGCCATCAGCTCAGACGCGAGAGGTGGAAGGGCAGTTGTGTTACAGGGAACCTCCGAAAGTCCTGCGAAGCAGTTCTTCCTCTGGCAAGGAAGAAAGCCCCACCTCCAGTGGGGAGGAGGTGGTGGGACCAGGGGATGCTAGGGAGAGCCTCAACACCGACCCTGAGCAAGCCGGAGAGGAGGGAAGTACCCCTTTGCCAGCGCCCACTCTGCGCATTAGGTTTCGGCGCAGGGAGGGGAGGAGAAGGTTGGGGGTCAAGCGACTGTTATGCTGGGGAAGGTACAAGGACCGACCACTCCCAGATTCTGCTAGCGACTGAGCCAGACATGAACTTGTGACGCTCTTCACTGTAAATAGTTTTGCACTAAGAATAAAGCCTGGAAAAGACAGGTCTTGCTTGTTTGCTCTTGAGCAACCACACCACCATCTGACAAATCTGCTGTGAGAAGAGGTGCTCGGAAGTCCAAATATTCAGGGATGTGTTCATAAAAGCACCTTACAACCTGTGCCAGGACTGCACTAACAGAGGCATTGTGTCTAGGTCATGAGAAGCAATAACTCCTCTTTATTATGTGCTGGTCAAGTGCTATCTAGAGTACTGGGCCCAGTTATGGGTGCCACATGTTAAAGAGGATATTGGCAAGCTGGAGCATGTCCAGAGGAAGACACCTGGGATGGTGAGGGGTCTGGAAACGGAAGTCCTATGAGGAATGGTTGTATGAGCTGGGAGTATTAGGGCAGGAGAGCTGTCTTCAAATCTCTGAAGGGCTGCCAAAGATGGAGCAGACTGTGAGGAGAACCTGAGCTTACAGGGTTAAACAGCTCAGAGTGTACGCTCTGCCTACTAGTGGGAGGGGGGGAAAGCTACGTCAGTTCCGAGAGACTAAAGTCTTTGTTCTTTCTCTCTACTTTCGCTTTTGAGGAGAGAAGACGTGTTTTTCGCGATGCTGTTCGCTGTGATAGATAATGGATAGTCTGCTGTAAATAAAACTGCTTCTAGCTGCTAAGATCCTGTGTGGACTTTATTTAAGCACACTGAAGAATGCACTGGAGTTTTTTTTTGCAGCTTCCTCTAGCCGCTGTTGATCTCAACTCTGCTATGCTCAGATGTCGGACCATTGGAATGCAGAGGCCCGCGATGGGGAAGCGTGCCGGACCTATCTGAGCAATAAATCAATTTATCTAAGACAGACTTGTTTGCTGTTGCTCCAGAAAGCAGAACTAGAACCAGTGGGTGGGAATTGCAGGGAAACAGATTTCAGCCCAACCTTAGAAGGAACTTCCTAATGGTAAAAACTGTTCAACAGTGGAGCAAACTGCCTTGGGTGGTGGGCTCTCCTTCACTGGAAGTATTTAAGTAAAAGCTGGTCAGCCACCTGTCAGGGATGCTCTAGTTGCATCCTGTGTTGTAGATCCTGCATTGAGAAGGTAGCTGGACCAGACCTCCAAGTTCCCTTCCTTCCAACTCTAAAATTCCTTCTTACGTACATCAGAAATCCCCCCCCCCTTCTGTACAGCTGTTAAAGTGCAGGAGCCTTGTCCTCTTTTGAATCTGGTCACCCTGTAAGGGCAGCGATGTCAGGCAAAATGGCAAGCAGCAGCACTGGTAATGGATCTGAACTGACAACCCCATTTGCGAAACTTTAGTTTGCTAGAAAACACTCAACTCCAGCACAACTGGATTCAGTTGAACGTCTGTCGTCTTCAGTACCAATAGCCATCCAAATCCGCATGCCACTTTATTGTTTAAAAAACCCCAACACGCCTCATAGAAGTTTATGAAAACAATAAAAGTATCATTAAAAACAGTTATTTAAAACACTCAAAAAATAATTAAAAACAATGATAAACTAAAAACAGATTGAAACAGCTTAAATGTTGTGTGTGTGCTGCTATGAGCATCTCACCATGAGCTTCTTCTGTTTGGAAAGGTATGGCTCTGATAGCTGTGGCTCCTCTTCATGGTCTAATTTCATCAGGTCTGAGCTGGCATTAACTAAATGTCCTGTGGAAGTAGGAGAGAACAGATTGGGGTTAATTAATAATAATAATGATGATAATAATAATAATAATAAATTTTTATTTATACCCCACCCTCCCCAGCCAAGACCGGGCTCAGGGCGGCTAATTCGTGACCAATCTTCCCTAGGCCCATGATTTCCAAAATTCCCCTTCCCCACGGACCGCATGAAAATTGCTGAGGGTCTCGGTAGACCACTTAATGATTTTGTTTCTGCCTGTTGCAGCAATTGTAATATGCCGTGCCAAATAATCTTCAAATTGTGTCTTTTTTGCTTCTTTTATTTCTTATATGGAATTGCATGCATTTTATTGTGTTATTTGCAGCAGTTAAATGAAACTATGGCACCTTGCAGCCTTGGCTTAATGATACCCACCCTGGCTGGATGCCATTCCAAGTCAGAACAGGAGGGAGAGACAGATGCTTCATGCTCGGTTGGTTCAGCTAAGAATCCGGAAATTTATGTTCATTTCCCAGCACATTACTCTGGCCTTCTCTTTATCTTTCCCTATGTTCCTTATTAATCTTCTTTCTCCACTCCAGCTACCAAGTGTCTCACTTAAGCACCTCTCCATTCTGTTTGGCTGGCTACTTGAACAAGGAGCCAGTGTGAGAGCCAGTGTGGTGTAGTGATTAAGAGCGGTAGTCTCGTAATCTGGGGAACCGGGTTCGTGTCTCCACTCCTCCACATGCAGCTGCTGGGTGACCTTGGGCCAATCACACTTCTTTGAAGTCTCTCAGCCCCACTCACCTCACAGAGTGTTTGTTGTGGGGGAGGAAGGGAAAAGAGAATGTCAGCCGCTTTGAGACTCTTTAAAGGGGGTGAAAGGCGGGATATCAAATCAAATCCAAGGACATGAAGGAATCTTATTGTCTAATTCCCCATCTAGCTGGTTATGCAAGAAGCTGGACCCCATGATGCAGTGTAGGAACTCACTAAATGTTACTTGGGAGTAGCAATGTAGGAGAAAGTTCATTTGGTGTGCATTTTAACGCAAAGCTACCTAATCCAAATCAATATTTCAACTGAAAATCAGCTAACCTTTCAAAATCCACACTTCTCCAAATTTCTTGATGCAGATACCTGACCATATGTGTACAAAAACGCATGTATTAATGGAAAGTGTGAATGAAAATGCATGTAATATTAGTAAAAATAACATGCAAAAATATGTTAAAGGTAAAGGTAAAGGGACCCCTGACCATTAGGTCCAGTCGTGGCTGACTCTGGGGTTGCGGCACTCATCTCGCTTTATTGGCCGAGGGAGCCGGCATACAGCTTCCGGGTCATGTGGCCAGCATGACTAAGCCGCTTCTGGCGAACCAGAGCAGCGCAGAGAAATGCCGTTTACCTTCCCACCGGAGCGGTACCTATTTATCTACTTGCACTTTGACGTGCTTGCAAACTGCTAGGTTGGCAGGAGCAGGGACCGAGCAACGGGAGCTCACCCCGTCACAGGGATTCAAACCGCCAACCTTCTGATCAGCAAGCCCTAGGCTCTGTGGTTTAACCCACAGCGCCACTCGCGTCCTCCAAAAGTATGTTACAAAAGGAGAATTGCTTGCAAAACTATACAGACTTGTCAAAATTTCATCCAAAAACGTGTATATTTGGCTGCTAAATGTGTGCTAAAATGCTGATGGGGAGCTCTGGGGAGACTGGTTATGTTATGGAATATGTATAGGAGTTAAGATTAAACTTTCATGTTAGGGGATTACGTCCATATCTGTCTAGACTGGGTGCACTGCTTTGCCAGGAGGAGACAGCACAAAATGTACCTCAGTTCTGATCCAGTCAGGCACTGCAGAAATTCAGCAGAACTTTAAGAGATAGCATGATAAGGTTGGCCCTGAAGCTACAGGGAAATCTTTTTGCAAAAGACCTATCATCAAAGAGACTCGTGACAAAACAAGATACAGATTGAAGGACCTCTGATTAAAACAATTCATTACCTTCTACTCTAATTCTGAACTGGGAAAGGATGTGGTATAGTTATTTGACACCACCCATTGCAGTCCTGGCTGAGTATTCATTTGCTTGGCTAGATGTTCACAGGGCAGCGGTGCTGCAAGTTATGTTCGATATGGACAAGGCAAATGAGAGAGTAGTCTAGAAAATCCAGTTTCCATTCCTGCTTTGCTGTGGGTGAAGTGCCCCCTGTCAAAATGGCCTGGGAGGTTTGGGCAGGGGCACCCACTTGCCTCCCTACATTGAGGGGGCGTGGTCATGTATAACATGTCACGTCATGCTGCCCGGTGTGCAGAGGGTGATCTCCGCGCTTGCTTGACCCAGCCCCTGCCTTGCTCCTGGGCTGCAGCTGGGATGAGAGAAGCAAAGATCTCCTGTGCCAGGTGGAGGCTAGGGCTGGGGTGTGTGGAGGGTGCCTGGTGGTGATGGGGGTGGCTGCTCCCTCAATATTGGGAGAGTTGAAGCCCCCTCCACCCCCTATACCTGGCACCCCTGGGTTTGGGTATCCTAAACATCCGGCCTGCTCCCTGGAAATGGTTCCCCACCCCTGGTATACACAATACTTTCAGAATGGGTTAAGGGAACACAAATACAGTGGTACCTTGGGTTAAGAACTTAATTCATTTTGGAGGTCTGTTCTTAGCCTGAAACTGTTCTTAACCTGAAGCACCACCGCTGCTGCACAATTTCTGTTCTCATCCTGAAGCAAAGTTCTTAACCCGAGGTAATATTTCTGGGTTAGCGGAGTCTGTAACCTGAAGTGTATGTAACCTGAAGCGTATGTAACCCGAGGTACCACTGTAGGCATAAAATTAACACCTGGGCAGTATTTAGCTATATTCACACTACTGTGCCAAAGTGCAGTTTTCTTGCCATAATGAATGAGAGGTAGATCGGAGCGACTTTTGGCTTCTTGGGGCTATCTTCCTTTCTCCAGCAGCTATTATAGATTCTCAAAATAAACACCCCAAATTGATCAACTGCAACCCACCTGAATGATTTTAACTTGCACAGAGACATCAGCTTTTATGATATCTCGATAATGCTTTAAGATCAGAGGAGTTACAAATTGAGCATTTAAAATTTGCTTTCGCATTTATTGTGAGCCCAGAGATAGCATACTTTTGTATAGTGTGAAGGTGATTGCTTCACGTCCCCCTGGCAATGGATGTTTGCAGGCATAGCATCACCTCCGTGTGGAGCTCCTTAGGTCCTGCGGTCACTAGTCAGATTCAGAAACTGACTAGATCATCAAGGTTTCCTATCATGCAACAACAACTCAGTTGAGATGTCATCCCTATAGCTTCAAGCTTCTCCTGACACCAAAGCTACAGCAAATTTCTACAAATGCCACTATCATGCTCATTCATCATCTCTCTCTCTCTCTTATAAAAGCCCATTGACCTCATCTGTGAAAACTGCAAGGCTAAATTGGAAAAGCTGTGTTCTCTGGCCTGATTCAATCAAGTTCACCATGGAGAAAAGAGAGAGTAACAGGGCTGCTGTAGTCCTTAATTACTTTGGCAATGTTGAGAAATAAAGGGCAACTAGGAGGCTGATTTACAGCCCATTCCTTGGTTTTGCTGAGCCAATGATGCTGTGATAATTAAAACTGATTACTTAAGGGAGGTGCAATGTCAGGACAGGAGAAGGATAAACATTGGTCATTATTGGCCTAATTAATCTGCTCTTTAGCCTGGAGAGAAGACGCTTGCTAATTCATTCACTCACTGCTCACTGAGCATTTTCCTTTGTCTAGAACTAGACACTGCTGTACACTTGTTGACTACTGCAATTGCACCGTACATGGGGCTACCCTTGAAGGCTCCTCTGAAAATGAAAGCAAATGCAAATTACAGCGGCCTGTTTCCTGGAGGAAAGGGCAGCTAAGATCACATGGCACCAGCAGAGGTATTGCTAGTAATTAAAATACTTGGCGCACAGGCCCATGATGCTAATTTGCATATAAGGGCTGGGTACAACTTTGGTGGGTAGGGGCCTTCTCAGTAGTGGCGCCCGCCTTGTGGAACACCCTCCCATCAAATGTCAAGGAAATAAACAACTATCTGACTTTTGGAAGGCACTTGAAGGCAGCCCTGTTTAGGGAAGTTTTTAATGTTTGATGTTTTATTGTACAGTGGTACCTCTGGTTACGTACTTAATTTGTTCCGGAGGTCCGTTCTTAACCTGAAACTGTTCTTAACCTGAAGCACCACTTTAGCTAATGGGCCTCCTGCTGCTGCTGTGCTGCCGGAGCACGATTTCTGTTCTCATCCTGAAGCAAAGTTCTTAACCCGAAGTACTATTTCTGGGTTAGCTGAGTCTGTACCCTGAAGTGTATGTAACCTGAAGTACCACTGTATTTTTAATATTTTGTTGGAAACTGCCCAGAGTGGCTGGGGAAACCCAGTCAGATGGGCAAGGTATAGGTAATAAATTATTGTTGTTGTTGTTATACGATCTCTTGTAGCTGAGTAAGATTATCTTCTATGAACACGGTTTTAACAGTGAGTCCGTAAGTGACTGTGGAGGCCAATTCTGGATCCACATATCTTTCCACAGTGGGGACATAGGTTTCTGGGCGGGAGTTGATCACGGTGAGGGTTTGCCAAGTGTGCCTTCCTCTTTGCACATTTCTCCCTTTTGTCCTGAGTTTGAGAGTCTTCAAAGCCCATGACACCTTTGATAAAGGCTGCTCTCCAACTGGAGTGCTCGCAGGTCAATGTTTCCTAGTTGTCAGTGTTTATACTGCATTTCTTTAGATTTGCCTTGAGAAAGTCTTTGAACCTCTTCTGTTGACCACCAGTATTACGCTTTCCATTTCTAAGTTCAGAATAGAGTAGTTGCTTTGGAAGACGATAATCAGGCATCCGCACAACATGACCAGTCCAACGAAGTTGATGTTGAAGAATCATTGCTTCAACACTGGGGAATCTTTGCTTCTTTCAGTACACTGGCACAAAATCAGACTATATTGTGCATAATGTATATGTGTGTGGCCATGCAGCCCCACTTGTTGCAGCAAGATTAAATGTGGAAGAAGCCTCCTGTGCTTCTTGCACCACGGCACAAAGGCGTGCATTATTTATTTATTTATTTATTTATTTTGCCCTTCCTCCTCGCCTTGCCTTCACTCTGGATTATTCAAATACCTGGGTCATGTAAAATTTCTAATGTGGTTATTGTAAAATTTCTAAAATTCTAAAATTTCAGTAATTTCTAATGTGGCTATTGTCGTAAAGTGCCTTTTTCAGGGGTGGGATGGTGTCACCGATACAGCTCCTTGCCAAGGGCGCAAGGGACCCTAGGTACACCTCTGTTTATCAGTAGCAGGTGATGACCAATGGACTTGATGGTTTGGCCAAGAGGATTTCCGTAAGTGGGACTAAAGAAATCCTGAGGCAGAGCCAATTTTTTCTGGTTTTCTGTCTCCGCTCTCCTTCTCCCTTTCAAAGGTTCTGTGGACACGTAAGCAATAAAGTACTGGCACAATTACAGTGATACCTCGGGTTAAGAACTTAATTCGTTCTGGAGGTCTGTTCTTAACCTGAAACTGTTCTTAACCTGAAGCACCACTTTAGCTAATGGGGCCTCCTGCTGCCGCTGCTGCACGATTTCTGTTCTCATCCTGAAGCAAAGTTCTTAACCCGAGGTAATATTTCTGGGTTAGCGGAGTCTGTAACCTGAAGTGTATGCAACCTGAAGCGTATGTAACCTGAGGTACCACTGCACTTAGCATCTAACAGAACTTAATCCTGGGAGGTAGGTTAGGCTGAGGGAGTCTGTTTTGAGAATCCTCAGCTTTTAAATATATCGTGGTACATTTGTGCCCACATTCTTGTGAGCTTCAGGAGGCACTATCTGTTCTTCTGGGGAACAGGGAATTGTACCCAGGCCCAGAACAGGTGACTAAGTGGTAACGAAAGGCATTCCCGTGGAAATCTGGTTCAGGTATAAGGCAAGCCTAGTTTCATTTTCAAATCTCAAGCCAACTTTAGGGACATTTTTTAAAAAACGCAGCTGTAAATTGAGCAGTTGGATCCAGAGTTATCTGGAGCCGCTAAAGTGCAAGACCCTGCGGTGACATTGTGACAAAGTCACTGTCCAGAGCAGAAGTGCATATTTAAAGAGACGTCCTTGTGGAGGAGTTATATTAGGCATTGTCAATGTTTCATGAATGCTTGTAGGTCAAGTACAGAGTCTGGTGCCAATTCGTCCTGTCTCTGAAACCTAATCTGCATAAATTTTCATGCCAGAGAGGCCAAAATCCAGTCAAAGACCCTCAGCCCAGCTCTCGTATACGACATGATCTATCAAAAAGTTAAGTATCTTCCAAGTCCAATTGATTTTACAGAGATAAAATCATAGAGTTGTTGAGTTGGAAGGGACCAAACGGGAATCTTTTGCTCAACGTGGGGCTCAGACCCACAGCCCTGAGATTAAGAATGTCATGCGCTACCAACTGAACTATCTATAATTGGATGTGGGGGGCAGAACAGCTGCAAGGTGGGGGGGGGGATCTGGCCCCCTGCAATACCAAGGAGCAGTGCAAGAGCATTTCCTCACAGGAACACTGATGGTGTCATAAGAGACTTAATTCCAGAAAAGAACTGCAGTAGTGGTTTATTGTACAAGAAAGAATACAGTGGACGCTCGGGTTGCGAACGTGATCCGTGCGGGAGGCGGGTTGCGATTCGGCACTTCTGCACGTGTGCAAAGCATGATTTAGCGCTTCTGCGCATGCACAACTGCCAAAACCCGGAAGTAACCCATTTCGGTACTCTTGGGTTTCAGTGGGTCCGTAACCCGAAAAAACGCAACCTGAAGTGTCTGTAACCCAAGGTATGACTGTACAGTCTTGTACGAGTATTGCATACTGGGAAAAGGTTACTCCCTCCATCATTTATAATAAAATAGAGGCCTTCCACCCAGGGGCAGCACATCCTTTTCCAGTGCTTGGTGAAATGGGGAGTGCTACTTGACCCTGCTTCTGCTGCCGCCATACCAACTACCCCTCTTCCTCTGCCGCCAGGCTAACTGCCCCAACTGAGCTAACTGTCCCAATTACCATTTCCACACAGTCCTATTCCCTTGGCAACAGTTGTGAAGATTGTCGGGAACTATCTCAACCACAACTAGACACATTTTACTTAATCCCCCCATTTCCCCCAGGAAACAAGACTTGTGAAACATATTAAAACCCAAGCAACATACAAACATCACATCACATCACAAACCACCTGAACTGTACAGATATTTGTAGATTTCTTTTCGCCTCAAAGAACTATGGTTCCCAGAGTCTTCCCTTGGAACTGCTGCTCTGTTGGGGAGGGGGGGAATAGGGGTATCCTAACAACTCGAGACGCGGGTGGTGCTGTGGTCTAAACCACTGAGCCTTGGGCTTGCCAATCAGGAGGTCGGCGGTTCGAATCCCTGCGATGGGGTGAGCTCAGGTTGCTCGGTCCCAGCTCCTGCCAACCTAGCAGTTTGAAAGCACGTCAAAGTGCAAGAAGATAAATAGGTACCACTCTGGCGGGAAGGTAAACGGCGTTTCCGTGCACTGCTCTGGTTCACCAGAAGCAGCTTAGTCATGCTGGCCACATGACCCAGAAAAACTGTCTGTGGACAAACGTCAGCTCCCTCGGCCAGTAAAGCGAGATGAGAGCTGCAACCCCAGAGTCGTTCACAACTGGCCTTAACTGTCAGGGGTCCTTTACCTTTTAACAACTCTCAGCACCTTTAACAAACTACAGTTTCCATATTTATTTTGGAGAAGCCAGGACTGCTTAAAATGGTATGATACTGCTACAAATATATAGTGCAGATGGAGCCAAATATACATACATGCATCTACCATGCAAGCTCAGCGAACACTTTTTTTCCGCGGTAACATCCACTGGGTTAGAAATTACTTTTTAGAAGCATCAACAATTCACCAATAACAATCCCAGCAGCATTAAATCATAATGCCTTTTATATGATGACAAAAGAGGTGTCTTTCAAAGTCTCTTTCCCCACGGATAAAACTTTTGCAAATATGCCCTGTAACTGAAAGCAAAGGGGTTCTGAGGAGACTTTTCAGAGATTCCTAGCTCTTCCAGGTCGGAATAACTATCAAATAACTTCCAAGCCATTAGCATAAAGCAACCTGCAAATGTGCTACTCCTGAGTGTATAGAGGTTTTTGTTCTCTCCGTCATACTGTGATGGTCTATTATTCTTAACTCTCCCTGCAGACATGCAGTTCAGCTCTTTTGTCTCCCTTCCAATTATTTATTTATTTTATCCTGTTACTGCTTTGGCCATTCGCAATCTGGATTCTTCAAACTGTAATTGTCTTTAATTAATTACAAGAGCTGCCAGCATGCATAAACAAACATCTTTAATGGCTGAATGCCTAGGATGTAGGTAAAATGATGTAATAATAATACTACAAGCCATTCAAGGCTTTGAATTGAGTTTTCAGAAGACAATGGCTATGCACACATTAGTAGCTTAAAACGCAGTGAGGTCATTTGCACCCGCTATGTTTTAAGCCGCATTTTTATGCTGTTGTGCACGCCAGAGAGGGAGCAGGGATGTCTTCACCTAATGTGCATTATCTGGCTTGTTTCCCTGTGCCAAATTCTTATTCAGTGAAGCTGTCATCTGCACATGCACAGCCACCTGCATGTGCAATGGCATTCTCAAATGCGCATACCTCAGCTTAACCTTGGCTCACGTTTTCAAATTTGACAGAAGCTGGTTTGAGGGGAAACGCCTCAAACAGCAGTATTTCTTAAGAAACTATGGGACACATATGGGTTGTGGCTAATGCAACGTATATGTTAAAACTTCAAACACCAGTGGTGGAAGCATACTGGAGCTAGAATAAATGGGAATGTGTACACAGCCTAATATTTCCTACTAGCCACAGTACTTGCATGCAGAAAACTGCACATGTGCTTTGTTGGAAATGACAAATGTATACATGCTGATTACTTTATGCAACAATTGCATTCCCTGTGTGCATGTGCGCTTTCCATGATGGCAGTGCTCACTGCTGGCGATGTTCACTGTATAGAGCTCCACTAGAATGCAACAGTAACCATTTTCTGTAACTATCCAATCACTGAACGTCACTTTCAATCCCTTATTTGCATATGTGGACCTGAACTATCTACAGTATCCCCCTGCTGGCCCAGGGTAAGAACTTCAGTACATAACATTTATATACCACCTTTATCTTCCAAGGATCTCAAGGTGGTGCATGTGGTTCTCCTCCTTCCCGTTTCGTCCTCACAACAAGGTAGGTTAGGCTAAGAGGTGGTGACTGGCCCAAGGTCAGACAGAGAGCTTCGTGGCTGAGTGGGGATTTGAACCCTGCTCTCCCAGGTCCTAGTCCAATGCTCTAACCATTACGCCACACTGCTCTACTCCATCTCTTCCATTTAATATGCCCGCTTATAATTTCGTAAGCAGTTTATGCTGTTGGGTGCTAAGGGGGATCTTGCATAATTTCAAATGGATCAACAGATGCAACACGTTGCAAAGGCCACTTACTTCGGATCTCGGCTGTAGCATACTTTGGAATCATAGAGTCCATGGTGAGCTCTGGGTGGAGAATGCATCCGTGTGTATAGGCATCCATGGGCAGGGAATCCAGGATCTCTCTGTACTGCATCACTCTGGAATGAAGGACGCTCCCCGCCTCCGGAATTAGCTGGGTAACGTGCTCTGAAATGTGGCAAGAAAAACTAAAATATATGCATTCTTTAGTTACACGCAGCGCTTATATGAGGGTTTTCTCTTCTACTTCAGATTTTCTATTCATAAAAAAGAGAGGACACAATTTGAGTACAGTCATACCTCGGAAGTCAAACGGAATCCATTCCAGAAGTCTGTTTGACTGCCAAATGTTCAGAAACCAAGGACCAGCTTCCGACTGGCTGCAGGAAACTCCTGCAGCCAATCAGAAGCCACAGAAGCTGCATCGGACATTCAGCTTCCAAAGAACGTTTGCAAACCGGAACACTCACTTGGCGTTCGGGAGCCAAAACATACAACTCACGGACTTCCGGGGTGGCACCACCGGCAATGGCGGACTCCCTCTGAACAGGAGGGACTAGCTCCGTGAGAAACGGGTCTTCTCCGCTACGGCGAAGCGGGGACCCTTTTAAAAATCACAGGCGGATGAAGCCTGTGATCATGGGACTCGGCGGGCACCTTTAGCGCCCCCCCAACTCGCTAAGGAACCCACTAACGGGCTCCAAAGTGAAGAGGGGGAAGCGGCACGGTGCTGTGAGTCAACTGCTATTTCCGTGGAGCGAAGCCGCACAGCCGTTGCTGGAGAGCGCTGCCTTTTTCCTGGGACAATTTGGACTCTAAAATAAGCACCCGTGAGTACTTAGACTTTGAACAACTGGACATTAGATAAGGACTTGCAAGCAGAAAGGAATTGGATTTTAAAAACCTATTTTAATTTGGTACGGAACGGGAAGGTCTAAACAGGAAGTCAGCCTTCCGTTCTTCTGTAGACAGAATAAAGCAAAGACAACGTAAACTAGAGCTTAGAAAATTGCCTTTAAAGGATTGGATTTCATCATTTAAAATTGTGGAACCCCCCTTCGACAGCAGGAGAAGGAGGTGGATCTTTTCCGGACTGTTTAAAGTGAGTTTAAAGTAAAGTAACTTTCCTCCATCCTGATTCTGGAGCGGGGTGTCAGGACTGACGTTTGAAGTTCATTGACCAGAGACAAGCGTTTTTGACAGATAGCTAAAAAAAGAGAAACATAGCGATTCCACTGCTTCCCTTCGCATCTTTAAGCAACAAATATTGACAAAGTATCTCAAAAAGGGAAACTTTGTTGCAAGAACAAATAGAAGTTTCCCCCCTAGTGGGAGACTGTGTAACTGTAACTAACTCCAGGGAGCCGGCAGCTGTTACAGATAACAATCGTGGGAACAGGCATTTGACCTTGCAGGACAATGTATTCAGAAGCTTTGTTGTGTGCTTTCTATAAAACAAATGCCCTACTGGAACAATTACATGAAAAGGTGAATTGGATGGCGACTTCGACTAGAAATTTTGAACAGGCAGTGGGAAATTTTGAACAGACAGTGGGAAAATATGTGGAGCCCACTCAGAAATTAAATCAGGAGTGTGTCCTGACAGAACAGGCCCAACAGGAATATGAGTTTTCGGATTTGACAAATGAACTTGGAAAAAGCCAGATTTGGAAAGAAAAAGTTTGGTTTGGCTTAGAAATGGGGGGCTGGATTGACCCCCCCCCCCCTATGCTGGGATGTTTGGACTTCTCAAATCTGGCAATGGGCCGTGAGATGTTTGGGATTGTGGGGGCTCTTAATTTTGGAGGGTCTTTGAAACATGCTTTTAAATACCATATGGAATTCAGTGTTGAATATGGAAAAGGGGCTGATCTGTCGAGAAGGGTTAAAAATATTGCCAAGCTGGAGTTACTACGAGCAGGAGACAAGGGAAAATGCAGTTACAAATATGAAGAAGAGCTGCGGAAGGGACATGGAAGAGACTTGAGGGCCTCGGATATAAGGCTGCCAGGTTAATGGGCTAGATCGACGGGATAATAAGGACTGACAAAACCCGGAACCAGGAGGAAGGGACGTTGGATGAAGATTGGATTCGTTTGTATTTCTTTTTTCTACCATTAGAACTGTTTTATAAAATTGATGAATGTTAGAAAAATGTTGGAATGAAATTACTTGGCTTTAGTAAAGATGTTTAAAGAATTATGAAAGAATATTATGGTTATGAGAAGTGGGTAAGGATAAGATTTAAGTTTCAAGCTTTAAGGTTTATTTTATTATAGAAAGATAAGATTAAAACAGTTTAGGGTAATGTAATGACAGAATATTATGAAATATGGAAAGGATTTGCTGGGATAATTAATAACTAGGATACAAAGAAAAGGGAGGAGGAGGAGGTCAAAGAAAGAAGGTAATGACAGTTGAGGATTTGAGAATAATGAATTTGTTTTTAAATGTTTTTTAATCGTATGTGATGTATTTTTGTATTTTTTTTGTCACTTTTTCTTATCTTTGAATTTGTATTCATACAGTTGGAAGGGGTTTGTTTTTTTCTTTTTCTACTTTGTTAATTATCTTTATTTTGTATTTTCTACCGCTTTTATTCTATTTTGTAACACTTTCAATTGAAAAAAATTTCAATAAATATCTTATAAAAAAACAACAACATACAACTCACAAGGCGTTCGGGATCCAAGGTACATTTGTTGCATTTGCTTAGTTCTTACGGGTTGTTTTGCATCCAATATTTAAAATGTCAAGGAACTGGGACTTTTGGCAAAGACTAAGAAGGTAACATAGAAGAAACAGGCAGCACAGAGACAGTAGTCATATGTGGGATAGCTTAGTTGGTAGAGCAGGAGACTCTTAATCTCAGGGTTGTGGGTTTGAGTCCCATGTTGGGCAAAATGATTCCTGCATTCACCCTTGCGGTTCCTTCGAACTCTACAATTCTAAACCTCCAAATCCTGCACCAACAGCCTGAAATCATAACCTTCAATAATGATGGTACCTAAATTTGAAATTTTAATAATAATAATAATAATAATAATAATAATAATGTGCTTGAGCCCAGCCAGGGACACTATAACATTACAAGGATTTCAACTAGGGCTGGGGAAAAATTAATACAAATTAGAAATGCAAGACATTATCTGCATTTGTGTGTATGTTCACTACAGAATGGTCTTGAACATTTATGCCCGGGTTTGGGCTGCAATGAGTCCGATTCCAAAGCTTGGAAAAGAAATCTAACATTTTTTTGGGGGGGGGGGGAAGGATTCAAATCTTGTAACTAACTGTGAGTTTCTTGAGCATAAGCCCCATAATTCAGTACTTTTAAGTGTCCGTATTAACTACATGATTCGGGATTGCGCATTTGATTTGGTAACGAAAGACTTGTTACGATTCAACATGAATTTGAGTCCAGGTCTCCACTGCTCAAATTTATCTTTTGCTGCCTCGCATCCAAGACCTCGAGAGTTCCTACATCAGCTCATCACTTGCAAAATCTTCTCTGTCAGGTTTCTACATGCGTTGTCTCTGTGTCTCATCCATTCAGCCCTTGTTTGGATGTCAAGTGTCCCTACAGTTGCTGGCCTTATTTCCCCCAAGTCATTCCACGACAGCAGGCATCCATCTTTCAAATACAGTTACTTCTAAAAACGCAGCGGGGACAATGCTGGAAGAAGGAAGATGGTATTTCTCTTCAGAATATCTGGGCCATGTTTTACAGAGGCATTCATTTTTATCGGCTCAAGAGATAGTACTTAATGGACAGTGAGTAAATTTACTGGCATGTTTCAGTGGTGCAGTATTTTTTGGGTGGGGGAGGTTATGTCTTGCTGTTGTTTGCCAGGGCCCAAGCATAGAGGGAGCAGGTTGGAGGCGCAGGGAAGAAAGGGGATGTTGTTGTTTTTTCTAGACCTGAAGGTCAGTGGCATCTGATCTGGGCTGTAAGCTCATTACTGCGAGCAAGAGAATGCGGCTAAATCATACAGCATGCTTTTCGGTATGTTTATGCAGATACGTTTTCCTGCATCTATATGGGGTCTCCAGACTTTGTGAGCTTTGCTGGAGCCAACAGCCCCCTTGATGTGTTCTACATGTGAAGAGAGCTCTGTCTTGTGATCAAGGGGCGGCCTTGCCCCTGGGCTCACATGGCTTTTGACAACTGGGTGGCAAGAACAAATTTGGCTGAAGATACTTCTGTGAGTCTGCAAGGGAAAACCTTCCCTTCTGAATTTCTGCTTGTAATGCATCTTCTGAAGATAGAGACGTGGAGCAGCTTTAGGGAGCTCTCTCATGCACCCAGACTTGCTGCGTTTGGCTCCACACACAAGGCGTGGGAAGGATTTTTTCTTCGAGATGTTTCCTCCCTTAAATATTTCTTTCAGGTTAACACATGCAGAATATCAATGCATACCTTAACAGATAAACAACTACTGAGCATTTAATTGGGCGGAAAGCCCCTGTTTATTTTTCTCTTATTATACCTTTCTAGTTTAGAGATCTCCTGGCTCTAATCCTAATAGAATATTGCAATTCCTCACCCTAAGCCTCTTGATTGAATTGGCCCATATAAGGTTTATTCAACGCCAAAACCCTTTAATGGATCGTTTATAAGACTGCTGATAGCAAATAAAGTGTCTCAGTTGTAAATAATACCAATATAACAAAAGCTTTTTCTTTCCAATCTTTCCCCTTTTCTCATTAAAAGAGAGTGCTCAATTTACCAAAATAAGGAGTTAAATAAGGACATCTCTTTGCTAATGGAAGGGAAGCATTCGAAAAATGGCTGTGTACACACTCTCATTTACTCTACATCAAGTGAGCTCTACACCACAGATTTGGGAAGAGGCATACACATTATGTTAACCCCAATCCATATATCTATCCTGTTATTTCTTGTGAATATTGCATTTTGATGTGTGTGTGGTTCCCCCCACCCAGGTTTGTTCCAAATTGAGAAAAACAATAACAACCACCTAGGTGTGTGAGGCCAATAAGGTGTACACTGACTTTGAAGTGGTAGGAAACACTCCATTCTTAACACCTTAGGGTCCTATCATGCCATTCTGCTACAACGTGCAGAGCAGGCTTTAGAGTTCGGTGTGGGACCTCTAGAGGTTGCTAGACTACCATTACCATCCTCCCTGACCTGGAGCTCACTGAATGGGGCCAATGGAAGTTGGAGCCCAAGGACACCTAGTGGAGGGTCACAGGTCGGTCATCACTGCTTCAGAGCCTAAGGTTTAGGCTCTAAATAGATCTATTGGCCCAGCAGGCCTATAGACTTTGCCCTCCTGGACATGGGACTCTGATCCAGTGACCATTTGACATGGTGACCCACAGGGAACTTTGACACATGGATCAGACTGGGTTCCGGACCGCAACACTTGCTTCACAAAAGCAAGGGGAACAATCACCGGTACTGATTTACTGATTTATATAAAGACATAAAATACAACACTGTCCTTAAATTGTGGAGTGTGGTGTGATTAGGCAGTGTAGCCACCAGAACATGATGTTGGCGGTGAGAAACTGTGCTGTTCCACCCTCTGCATTGGCAAGGAACCTTCTTTTGGCTGAAGATACATTTTACACATCCCAACAAACAACTGAAACAGGAAGCACAAGCGAGTTGCACCTCACGCTTTCACGCTTTTTCTGCAGTAGAGATTTTGCACTCCCCAGATAGATCAATGTTGGCACCCTTGCTGCAGAGAAAGCGCATAAGTAATCTAAACATGTTTACTCAGAGGTGGGGGAGAAATTTGATCAAGGTTGTGCGATTGGTTTTGATGTTTTGCTAGGGTTGCCATATTTCAAAAAGTGAAAATCCAGACACACGAGTTGAAGTTTTGGAGCTATTTTAAAGAAAATTTGCCAAAATATAGACATAGATTGCCATATGTCCAGATTTTCCCAGACATTTCAGCGAATTCCGCCTGGACACTGTTTATGACGACCATATTCTGGCTGTGTCCAGGAAATTCTGGCTATATGACAACTTTAGATTCGTAAGTCGCTTGAGAGTTACCTTAGCATTAAGCAGTATATAAAATTATCATTAATTTTTAAAAAATATTATTATTATTACCACCACCCACCCTTCACCCTAAGGTTGCCACAACAATAACAAGGAGCACCCAACCTCTGAAGAACTGTTTTGTTTCGTGGGAGGGAAAAGCATGTTTTGACTGAATCCCAAAAGCCATTTCCAAACTGGTCCCACAGTATTTAAAAAATGTGTCTTCATGTTTACGTCCAGGTAAGTATATGTAGAATTGGAGCCTCAGTTGTATTTTTAGGGGGACTCAGCAAAAAGCAACTCATTCTAAAATCCAAGATTTCATATATCATGGGCAGTGTTTCCTACCCCTGCTAAAATTTGCTGAATGCAAGAAAGGGCGGGGGAAGTTCATTTGGATGCAAAGTACTTGAACACAGAAGCTGCCAAGGCTCCTTTTTCACGGATCTATTTTAAGGCCATTCTTAAAGCCTCTGCTTGCATGGCTGACAGGATCTGTGATATCAGCTGTAAGACCCCATTGAAATGTCCCTCTTAAGCTTTTGAAGCCTGACAATTCTTTGGAAACAGAAATAAAAACTGGGAACGGAGGCCATAGTGATGACATTAACACAGAGAAGTAGATACAGCTCCCTTGTAAAATCAGCTCTCATGCCCTCCAACATTTCTCTGATGAAAATAGACATCCTATTCCATAATGATGTCGGTGATAATTATTATTATTATTATTATTATTATTATTATTTATACCCCATCCATTTGACTTGCCCCAGCCACTCTGGGTGGCTTCCAACATATATAAAAACCATAATAAAACAATAAACATTAAAAAATGTCCCTTTTGCTAGGCTGCCTTCAGATGTCTTCTAAAGGTTGTATAGTTACTTATCTCCTTGACTCGGGGGTTGCATAACCCCATACCCTCTAATATTTCTTTGATGGAAATAAGGATGTCCTAAGGAAAAGTGGCAGTGGAAGACAGAAGTGCCTGGCGTGCTCTGGTCCATGGGGTCACGAAGAGTCAGACACGACTAAACAACAACAACAAGGAAAAGTGGGACGTGCCAGGATCAAATTGGAAACCAGGGCGGCTTCTGTAAATTAGAGACTGTCCCTGGAAAATAGGGGCACTTGAAGGATCTGAGTTCTTCCGCCAAAATTAAAAATGAGACTGTGGTTGTCACATTCCTTGCTACTTCCAACAGCCTGGAGTCTCTGGAATGTAAACAGTCTTGTGACTGCAAGCACCGCACAGTGGCAATAAACGGAAACCTAACAACACAATGACCTGATTCACAGATAACACAAATCCATGGTCGAAACAAAATTTAAAAAAAATTTCCTTCCAGTAGCACCTTAGAGACCAACTAAGTTTGTTATTGGTATGAGCTTTCGTGTGCATGCACACTTCTTCAGATACACTGAAACAGAAGTCACCAGACCCTTATATATAGTGAGAAGGTGTGGGGGGGTATTACTCAGAAGGGTGGTGGGAACGGGTGATTGGCTGATAGGTGTGGTAAACCTGTTGATGACTGTTAACGACTGCAATTGGTCTTATAGGAAAAAGCAAGGGGTGAGATGGCTAAAAACAGCTTAATCATGTATAATGAGATAAGAATCCAATGACTCTATTCAGACCAGGTCTCTCCATGGTTTTAAGTTTGGTAATAAGTTGCAATTCAGCAACTTCTCTTTCCAGTCTGTTTCTGAAATTCTTTTGTAATAAGACAGCTACTTTGAGTTCTTGTATAGAATGTCCTAGGAGATTGAAGTGTTCTCCTACTGGTTTCTCTGTCTTGTGATTCCTAATGTCAGATTTATGTCCATCTATCCTTTGGCGTAGGGTTTGTCCTGTTTGTCCAATATAGAGAGCTGAAGGGCACTGTTGGCATTTGATGGCATATACAATGTTAGAAGATGAGCAGTTAAGTAGTCCTGAGATGGTATGTTTGATGTTGTTGGGGCCAGAATGGTGTTGTCCGGGTGTATGTGGCAGCAAAGTTGGCATCTGGGTTTATTGCAGGCTCTGGTACCAGTGTCCATGTTAAGTCTGGTTGTTGTATTATTGTGGGTGAGGAGTTGTTTAAGATTGGGTGGCTGCCTGTAGGCATCCATGGGTTGCTTAAGCCATGGGTTGTTTTAACTAATCACGAGTTGTCTCACAGACGATTAAACAAACTATGGCTTGTTTCTCCAAAGCTGGTTGGTTTCCCAGCTGCTCTTGCCTCATGCCTTTGTAGATCAGTGAGCATTTAAGGTGAGGTGGCCAAAGAAACTGTGCTTAAGGAAGTGTACTGGGCTTGCAAGAGATAGGAAGAGCAAAACAATGTCTATAAAGTAATTGTTGGTATTATAATTATCAAAAGGGAATTCTAGCTGGAAAAGATTTCTAGAATGTTACCTCCTGTGAAGTTCTTCTCCATGTAATCGATGATCTGATTATAGTCACTGATGATGTTGTCTCCATGGATGATTACAGGGACCTCTTCCCCAAGATTGAGACGCATAAACCATGGCTCTTTGTGCTCAGTCAGTGGCATGCTCACATCCCGCTCTTCGCAGGGTAACCCCTTTTCTGCGATGACCAGGCGGACCTAGGGCAAGAAATAAGCGGGGATATGACTCAGGGCTGCCTCCCAACCTCCTGAAGCATACGCAACAAAGACTTAGGGCTGCTCCACATGACCTGCATCTTGAGCATTGCTTGCACAACACTTACATGGAGGTTGGATTATATTGTTGGATAAATTTAAAAAAGGATTCCTAGACTGGAGGTTACCCTTGCAGAAACCCAAATAAAAAGGATGTAGGCTTCAAGTGAAAAGATGGGCATTTATTGAATTATAAATGCACATAGGGACAACCTCAAAAATAAGGAGGAGGCTGCAAAGAACCACATCCAAAGCAATGTTATTGATACACTTCCAGATCACACATACATCAGTTCATTTCGCCAATCAAAGCATCACAACAATCTTCATAGTAGCAACCCAATGTCATTATCTTGATCCAATCAAAATTATTTAGCTCTTTAGATCAGCCCTTATCATAACATCATACGATTACATATAACCATTTTTCAGCATCTTCCTTTATTAAGTCTTTGACTAATTTTCCTGTTCATTAAAAGTCTTCCAATGTCCTCTTTCATCTGTCTACAAAACAATTCAAGACCAATCACAATTGCCATGCCCAGCTGATTCTCTTTTCATGCATACAATGACCACCATAGAGCTGAACGGTTTATTCTTTTCAGTATTCTGGAACAGACATTCACTATGTACAGTACCTAAAAGCAGCTAGTTCCGTACTATAAAAGGCAGGTACAGGTCCTTTTAGTTCAGGGAGGCCACAGACTCAAAAGAAAATGGAATAATCAGAATACAGTTTTATGAAATTATTTTCTCCAGCAATGTATCTTGTCTTACTTGTGCATTTGTTCTGATTTGTTTGCATGGCGGTTATACAATAATGATTAACCTTTTTCCTACATTTATTCTGATTTGCTTATGGGGTGCTTATACACTGTCCTGTTAATTAATCATTTGTTCATTGCACACTTTTTTAAATGCATTGTCCCATCACTTTCCAAAAGGCAAAAGGTCCAGTTCTTAACCAAAGTGAATTTATTGTGCTAGGACCACAGAGCCCTTTAATACTTTTAGCTGTGCAAACCTAGGCTTGTATGCAATGCGGCACTATATAAGCATCCCATCAGCACAAGGATTCCTGCTTCTGCAATGGGACTCCTCCCTCTCTTCTCCCAGTGCAGTCCCTAAATCTGTTTTGGGTGTCCCCCCCCTCACCCTCTGGAACAGATTTGGGTATGGCATGTGGGGGCATCGGTGGGGAGTCCTGTGGCTGAAGCAGAAATCCTTGTGCTGATTGGATGCTTATGTAACGCTGCATTGAAAACAAGCCTGAAAGTTCTGGTATGCATTTGAATTTCTCCCACAAAATTCCAACAGACAGTCTGGAGGCTCCCTTATCCATTGGGGAAGACTGATTTAGACCATGTGTTCTTTATAAAGATCCCATTATGCATTTTTGTTTGTTGGGATTTTAGGGTAAAGAGTGAGTAAATAACAACAATAACTATAATAATGATTTAAAAACCTTTAAGTCCCTTGTACCCCCAGTCATTTCGTGTGTGGTTGATGCAACTACAGTAGTATTCTTTAAATTGTTCATAGTTGTACAACATGCACTAACCGTGATCTCAGTTCTCTGAGTGCCAAACTCAGAATGACATATCAGTGGAGTTTGCAGAAGTACGAAAAATCATTAGGAAAAAAGCCTAAGGAGTGTGGGGGGAGGTTGACCCAAAAACAGCCAGTGGAGACTGAACAGAAAAACTGGTCGAAGAGGGAATGGAATGGAGTGTCCTAAAAACACCGCTGTGTTTGGTTGCAAGTCATGAGACCCCCAAAGCATTTCAAAGGAATAAAAATGGAGTAAAAATATATATGTGCCATAAAATTATAATGAAACACACCAAAAAATAAATACATAATCAACACAAACAATGACGCAATTTTTAGCAAAAGGAGAAAAAAGTCATTTCAACTCAGCCGCTATAGAGAAAATTAAGCTTCTTATGAAGCTAGTATTATTCAGATTTTTCTGCAGATAGGGAAGCAATAAACTAGCCTAGAGACAAAGGGTTATATTCAGCATAGCGCTAACGTTAAGGTTCCATTAGTGCAGGGATTTTCCTTGTGTGACAGAACCTTCTCTCACTCTCCTCACCCCATGCACCCCCTAAATTTGTTCCGGGGTTCTCCGAACCCTTCAGAGCAGATCTGAAGATGGCACAGGTCATGCATGTGGGGAGGAGAGAAGAGAATTACATTAGTGGGAATCCTTGCAATGGCTTCTACTATTGTAATGATTTAGGTGAATGGGGATCAAAGGTTTTGAAAATGCTTTGAAAGCTCTCATTCTAGGGTGGTCATCCGTGGCAGCCAACAGGGCAGAGCTGGGCATGATGGCATCACAGAGGCAGAATAGGGGGTCGGTAGGGAAGGCAGCGCAGTGGAAGGAGTGTCGGATTAGCTCTGCCACTGTGCCCACACTGCCCCAACCTCTCCATCACTTTCCTACTCTTCCTCTCCATTACCAGCAGTGACCTCTGTGCTGGGAAGCCAAAAATGCCATCCCACTCCACGAGCTGCTATTGGTGGCCCCATGCAGAGGACAATCCTTTATTTTGAAGGGCTATCAGAGGACGGTCCTTTCCTTTGAAGGGCTGTCTGGTTGGTCCACATCCAGTTTAGAGATAAAGAACCATAATAGCAAGGGCACTGGAATCACCTATTAGCTGCTAGACCTGGGTACCAGACTGAGGAATCACACAGGTCACCCAGCCACAGCCTTCCCCACTATGGCAAGAGGTATTTTATTTCCATTTAAATTGTCATCATTATTTCTATACAGTGGTACCTCAGGATGCAAACGGGATCCGTTCCAGAGCCCTGTTCGCATTCCGTAGCGAACGTAACCCATGTTTGTGCGTCTGCGCGTGTGCGGGTCACGTTTCGGCACCCCGTTACTTCCAGGTCACCGCGGAGCGCAACCCGAAAATGCCTAACCAAAAGCGTATTTATCCCAAGGTATGAATGTATTGGCACCAAGACCTGGCAGAGAGAGAGGTGCCATTTTGTGGATTGCCTCAGGTGCCAAAATGTCTTGGGCTGGCTCTGGATGGGTGATTCTAAAAGAGAATGCTCCCCCAAGACCAAAATCCTACAGTGGATAATTTGTACACCGAGGTGAAGGCTTAGGCTAGAATCCTTCTTCCTAACAGCAGTTTTTCTAGGCAGGAATTGTTTTATATTTTTTCTTTGCAATGGGGTAGCATTCAAACATTCAACAGTCTCTGCCCTAAATCCTGAAGTGGTACAGACCCTCAAGGACTGTACCACATGATTTTTCCAATTCAGCCTTCTGTTCCTAGCACCAGGCACCTGGCACCAGGTTGAGATAATCTAAATGCATAGATGGCTCTCAATAGGAAAAGTGTGGGGAGGGGAAGGGTTTGTAGATGAGACGTGCAAGGAATTGCATTATATAGAGCAAGTACCTTGCTGAGAGCCAAATTCACACTGTTTAATGCCTTCATCACACCAAAGGGATTGGCTCTTTCCGTTTCCTGAGCTGTTTTTATTCCAATCATGGCTGGTCTGCTGCCTTTAGCTGACAAAAGCCAGAAATGTGCTTAAGACCCTTAAGCTTCCATCTGATTGGATTGAGGGCCTCAATGCCAGATTATCTAGCTGCAGGACAGTGAGAGAAGCAGTTACTTTGGCTTAGCCGGATGGTGAATCCCTCCAGCAGGTGCTGGGATCTGCTGAGCGAAGGAAGATATAGCATGCAGTCCTTCATCGCCCACGCTGCTCAGAGGGAGGGATAGGAAGCACAACTTGGCTGCCTCAGCAAGACCCCTCCTCCCCCTCCCTCCGCTTGCGTATATAAGAGTCAGAGAGTCACTAGCACATGGGTAGGCAAGCTAAGGTCCAATCGCCTTCTAAATACAGCCTGCGGACGGTCCGGGAATCAGTGTGTTTTTACATGAATAGAATGTGTGCTTTAATTTAAATTGCATCTTTAGATTATTTGTGGGGCATAGGAATTCATTTCCCCCCCCCCCTTCAAAATATAGTCCGTCCCCCCACAAGGTCTGAGGGACAGTGGAGAAAGTTTGGTGACCCCTGCACTAGCAAGAGAAAGCACAACTCAGGCTTACTGACTTGTAGATGCTGTCCATTTTCACAGTGTTGGCCCAAAACATTTCGCTGCCCAAGGGAAAAGAACATAGTGGTCGTCTCCATTCTTTGCACAGAAGTTCATTAGATTGGCAATTGTACCTGGCAACAGGACAGCATCTTACACCACACCTGAGGGCAGCAGGCTAGTTAAAGGTATGCAATGATAGCCTGTGCACTGATCTCCATCAGAAGGGAGTGGCCAGCGACTCAGGAGGAAGCTCAAAGTTACTGAGCTTTTTTTTTTAGTAAATCCTCTCAAAAGAGGACATTACAGCAGGCTTTGGTTTCAGGGCAGGTTTCTCGGGGGGGGGGGGAGTTAATTGAGCATTTTCAATGCTTTTTATAATTTTCGTGGATCTGATTTAGTAATTTTTGTCCGTCCCCAACTTGGCTACACCCATGGAAAGATATGCACGTCCTAATTTAAAATCTCTGCTGGGGTGAAGACCCCACAATCCCTCAACACAACTGATTACCAACCAATGGAATAAGTGGTGTTTGCTGTTTAAAATGCACTACGGCTCATTCCTTCCCACCCCCTCACATCAAGCGCTGCAGCAAAAGCTGCATTATTTTGGTGCTGTTGGTTTCTCACAGCTCTCGAGGCACACAGAACAAAAAGCCAATTATGGGGAGTTGAACGAAAGGTAATGAACCGAAAGAGACGAGCCTGCAAGCACCGTTTGGGCAGAGCACTTTGCACACAACCCGGTGACACCACTGGTTTCAGACCTGCATTGGCCACAGGCATGTTTGGAAACCTAACAGTGTAATATTGGCTTTCCCATTTATTCTGGGGGGAAAGCTCATCAAAACACAGGATGGCTATATTTTGTCTTTTCTGAATCTTCAAACATTTAGCTTCACTGGATGCGCCTAAGTTCTAGTGCTACAAGAAATGGAGAAAAACTTCCTTCTATCCACTTTCTCCACACTGTGCAAAATTTTATATGCCTCTATCATGTTTCCTCTTGCTCACTCTACACTTTGAAAATGCTGATGTGTTACAGCCAGTCAAGAGGAAGTCCCTTTCAGGCCCGAGAGAGGACTTAAACCCACCAAGATATGTAAGGAAGGGCCAATTCAGGTAGGAAGCAGAAATGTGATTCTCATTTCATGTACGCATCTCATTTGATACGCTGAAAAAAGCAGGTAATTATCATGGGGAGATTTTCCTCCTCCTGTGGGCAATTTGTATCTCCCTGGGGAAAACACACGTGTCTCACGCTCTGGCACTTCAACTGTACTGCAGAAGCACAGCTGGAGGATGCATGAGTCACAAAAGCTATCATTCATATATTATAAGTCTGAAACAAACTGTGGAGTCACCTCACAGCTTCACGACACAATTTGCCGGTTAATATGTTATTGATAGCCCTGGGGGGCGGGGAGCCAGTCAAATCGATGGGGAGGGAAAGAGATCTACTTCTTCTGAATATGAAGGATCAAAAGCCCTACAGATATGGAAAAGGCATACATTGGAACTGGACTTCATAAAGCGGTCAATTGGGGAGTGGGAACACACACCCCTTACACCATCGGGCTCCAATGAGACCTTCTATTGGGTAGGGGCATTTATTCTGTATAACCTCCCCCATTTAGTATAAATAGTTCTCATTTGTCTATATCGGGTGCCTTTTAAGACACAGAAAATCAAGAGACACACTACTAACATTAATAAAATAAAACAAAATCCTACAGCACAAATACAAATAGCTTCAGTACTGCTATTACCAGGGCTGGCCCAAGGCATTTTGGCACCTGAGGAGAACCACTAAATGTGGCTCCTGCCAGGGAAGAAGAGGACAGTGAAGTTCTGCATCAGGAATGGAGTGAGGAAATAAAGATCAACATCAGGAACGGGGGGTGGGGTGGTGAGGGGGTGAGGACACTAGCAATGCCTCTATTCACTGAGAGACTGCCGTGGTGGCAGGTTTAGGAGGTGGGCTGTTGAGGAGGCTGCAGATCCGGCCTCCAAGGACTGTGCTGTAGCTGCTGCTGACACTGTGGTGGCAGCAGTGGGTGATGCATCCCTTGGAAGCTGGGTTTGCCACCCCTGTGGATCCTGCCACCTGAGGCGGTCACCTCACCTTTCCTCATTGGTGGGCCGGCCCTCACTACTACTTCTACTACTGTTATTGTTGTTGTTATTGAACACCACAAATTTTCTAAGTTCTCTGTATATATTAAAAGGTTAACTTTGTATCTGCCCACAAGCTTACAATCTAATACAAAAGGAAAGCAGAAAGCAAGTATTGCAGCAGCTGCTCCTTTACTGAAACAGGAAGAGTGATGTTGATCTCCCTCTTGCCTGGATGCTGTTGCTGAGAGGCGAAGGGTGCAGCCCTAGGCCTCTTGGCTGGCAGCAGAGATCAGAGCACGACCTCCCCTCAGGCTTCTACAGTCCCAGGGATCTACCATGGTATTAAGTTACAACTCGGATATTACAGAACACAAGAATGGTACGTAAATCACAATGCACTCCAACTGTCAACAGCTGCAACATAAATCTGTCTGTCAGCTGGAGGCACTGCATTTGTGGTGATTCTGTTCCTACCAGGTGGGCAGGGCACAGAAGGTGCTAGAAGCTTGAGGCCCTCTGCTCCACCTCATGATGGGTTCTATCTTGCCCTCTGTGCTGTTCAAAACACCTACTTTGATGTAGTCACGGGATTTCGAGTGGCATATTATGACACCCAGCTCTCCTTCTCCTTTTCATCTGAATTAGGTGAAATGCTAAACCAATGCCTAGTGATGGACCGGATGAGAACAAATAAAGGTCATATCGCCACACCACACATTTAAAGCATGTGACTTCTCTCTAAGACTCCTGGGAGCTGAAGTTTATCCCTCACAGAGCTGCAATTCAGCACCCTTAATGAACAAAGTTTCCCAGGATTCTCATGTGCTTTAAATGTATGGTGTGGATGTGACCAAAGTGAGAATCAAAATAAAAGACAATAACTGAATGTAGGTGGGGAGGCAACTGACTCTGGAGTAGTGTTAAGCAAGGCTCCCTTGGCTCTATCTAGAACAGGCCCACCTAATATAGGCTAATCTGGCCTTGATTTGAATTGGTCTTGAATTAAATTACTTTAAGATCAGGCTCCTATCATAATCCAGGTCTTGCCATGTCCCTGAAGTAACAGGAGACATGAAGAGGTCTGGATGCCTCACCTCCCTAATATTCTTATAAGCTGCCCCCCACCGGAGAACATAATGAGGCAGGAAGGCCTCTCCTGCTCGTGCCACTACCCCCTAAACTTTCATGATGGAGTAAATGAAAAGAATGTTGCAATGCATGTGACAGACATATTCTTTGATTCAAGCCAGCACTTCATGGTGCCCTGGGTTAGTCGCAGCTGAGTCCGTCCCAGGACATATGCTAGGCTGTGGAAGACCTTATGTCATCAGCAGTTTTATTTTCAGTTCCTTTCCTAATGATCCCCAGCATGAAATTTTCCTTTTTCACAGCTGCTATGAAAACACCATAACAGTACTGCGTGAGGAGGCCTAAGAGGAGAGAGTAGGAGACAGGCGATGATGACCACATCAGGGCCAGCTCCAGTTGGATTTTCCATTTCCTGCTCCTCCTCATGTGAATGATTGATTGCTAATATTTCTATGCCACATTTCATCCACATGAACCGCAAAGTGGCTTACAAACAATAAATAACAATAACAGAACAGAGCATCGCAAATACAGCATAAACCAGGTTGAATAATTACCAAGCCATCAGTAAAATCATTACAATCTATAAAACACTGTTAAGAAAGCAACTGCAAAAATAAGCTACACAGCACAATTGCAACAAAAGTCATAGGATTCACTAAGTACTACAACAGTAATGCTGTAGAAAACAATCTTAACATTAACAAAATAGCAACCAAATAAAAAATAAATAAAAAAGGCTAAGCACTGTTGAATTCATGCACACACTCTCCCTACCGCCATGACTCATAATCTTCCATTCAACTGTCCTGTGGGAAGCGTTCTTGGAAAAGGAGGCAGGCAAGCAAAAACCACTTCAAGGCCTACTCAGGACAGACTTCTCTCCCACTCCTGCAATGGCCCTTGGTGTCCATTGGGACTGGTAAGGTAGAAGGCAAGGAGACCAACAGTAGGTGGAGGTAGAACCAATGAAAGGCAGTGCCACCCCCTGGAAATAAAGAAAGCAGGCAGGTGGGGACTGACTGAAGTCTCTGCCCCAATTGCCCTTATTGACCAGGATCCACTGCACCCCTGTGAGAAGGATCCGTGCATATTTTAAAAATATGTAAGTCAATGTTACTTCTCCACCTTAGAACTAGTCCTATCCTCAAGGCCTACGCGGTCATTAGGCAAGGTGAGGCCACCGCCTCAGGTGTCAGAAGTCCCTGAGGTGGCACCACTTGAGGTGAAATGGGA